AAGTGAGGACTTGGGTCGCTTCTGGGTGGAAAAAAACGGCTGGGATTCGATTTCCGTGGCTGACAAGCTTGCCAGGAGGTCAAGGGTGGTGGCGCCTGCAAAAGCTTACAGGACCTGCTCTCTTTAATTTGGGGCGCTTAGTTATCAACCAGGGATTCACTCAGCCTGTTTCCCAATAGCCTCCAACACGAAACCTACACTTTGCAAGGAGAACCATACATGTTTCCAAGGTTTGACAAGGGTTTAGGGTTTGTTTCCGTCTTTTCATTCAAGAACCGGTGGTTCGCACCATCTTTGCATGTTCTGAAGCCAATCCGCGGGCTCGGATTGGTCGCTGTCCCTCGGACCTCGGACCAGGGCTTCAACCACTGCAGTCGGACCTCACGAGCGGTAAACTGAAGACTCGTGAGCTTCTCAGTTGTTTCTGGGGAAGCGGTGGGGTCTAGGTCTAAGACTTTTCCTATTGGGACTATACCCTAGGGAAATCACCGACCCGGGCATGGGTCAAAATCGGAAAAGATGGTGGGGTCCCTTTCGCTTCTTTCCCTTCAAACCGGAACACAAGTTCCATCGACGTATCCAGGCCTCCACATTCACCAGCTCCCGCACGTCGATGTCGCAGTCGTACCTCTGCTACAAGGGTTTGCATCGCGCCGCGCGAAAAAGAGGGCGAAGCTCTGGCCACATCCGTTTGACACCTGTCTTGGGACTTGGCTTCTTTGTATATCTTCTAGTAACCGTTCACTTCCATCGTTCTGGGCAAGCTCCCAAACTTCGTGCCTCCCAGACCTCTTTGACGCTAGGACCTCGCCTCCGAGGAGTGAACAGCCAGCAAGCCTCCAGATTTTTAGCTTGCCAAATGGTCACTCATGCCGATCAGGATGTGTTGCCAGCAGTAAAGGTATGATTTCAGTTTCATGTGCCCTGCTTAGGGTATGATGCTTAAAGACCTCTTCACATCAAGTGTGCCTCCAGTGCTTCTGGTGCTCTGCACCGGAAAAGTGCCAGAGAATTGGCCCCCCGGGCAACAGACACAATTTCCAGTGGGGAATCCATCAAACAAAAAGGGAAACGGGTGCCACTAAACAACTGGGTTTAGTATTGCCCCGAACCCCCCCCCCCCGACGAAACAAATGACAAGTTGGTTCTCGGCAAAAAGAAGCTTGAGGCTTTCGTCGATCCACACGGCGCACGGCAGGTCGTCGTTGGCAGGATCCAGATTGATGAGGGTCCGAGGCCGCTTCAGCCTGAACGTCGGCACAAAATGTGGTTCGGGGACATAGAGAGGAATCTCGAAAAAACGTGAGAGCCAGGGGCCGAACATGCGCTTCCTTGTGGGAACATGGGAACATGGGAACATGAGTTGTTCTGCTGCTTTTGGGGTGAGTTCCACCCCCGATTTGACCAGAGCCAAGTTGGGGCTTTGCCAGTCCGTGCCCTTCTTTGGCTTGGTTTCAGGGGAAAAACCAAGCCACATCGGCGCTTTTTTTTTGTTGCTCCCGTTGTTTTTTTGTTTCTCTTCTTTTTTTTGGGTGGGGGGGGGGGAAGGGAGGGGGCGGGTTCCGCGATTGCCAGTGTTCTTCGTGGGTCTCGAAAATGAGTGCTGTTGTACTACTGTTGTTAGAAATTTTGGTTGGGCCCTTGGAAACTACCCTGCGATCTTCGCCCCACGACATGGTGTCATGCGTCATTGGGCCGTCCTGTCTTTGGCTGGTCACGTACTAGAGTGGTCTCTTCCATTTGGTTGAGACCCTTGGAAAAAATAAAACACATATTTCCATTTGTGATAAATTGCTTGCAAAAACCAACAAGGGGAAAAGATATTCGTGAGCAACTGGAATTTTCAAGCTGGGTACCATCTGGGTACCATTGGCTTCATATCGCATCCTGAAGGCTCGCTCTTGGCCCCCAGCGCACCCAGAAGCTGCTGCATCCCAGTGCAGTAGGTGGTCCTGGCATCTCTGCCCAAAAGGCGACCGAGGTGTCTCTGCACACTGTGACATATGGAAGCCCACAAAGCTGGAGTTGTTTTTCGTGTTTTCCTTGTTGGTGGGAAACTGAGAGCCCCCCTTTTTGGCGGTGCACTCGGAAATCCCCGCCAACATGTCCAACCTGTAAGCGTTGCTGCTGAAGGAAACTCGCTAAAGGATTTGGCAACCAACAAGTCTTAAAATCCACCACTGCCGGGGATGTGTGGCCCTGCAAAGTTCCAAGGGCTTCTGCGATGACAGGGGGCCATCGCTGCAAAGAGCTTGGGGCAGTGGGCAAAACAAAATTATTCAGAGCTCAGCTCCAAGGGTTATCAGGTGCTCTGCATCAGCGCCATTTTTGCTGGGTTTCTGAAGGTTCTCTACTAGGTCCTCCAGTAGAGAGGCTAGAAGAAGGGTACCCGAGTGTTTTTTTTGTGTAGTCTCCTTTAGTAGGGGAACCGAATCTCCCAACCCAAAAAGAATCGGTGAGAAAGGACACGCAGCTGGACCTAGTCTAGAAAGATTGGAAGGAAGAATGGAAAGAATGGACAGGTCTAGTCAAGTCAGGTCCAGGAATCCTGACCTAGTCTATAGGAAGACAGATTCCTGGAAAGAATGGACATGGAAGGCCCTGATTCCGCTCTCGTGACCGGTAGACCTGGCTGGTCGAGGGCGAGCCCGGCAGCTAGCAGATCCAAAGTGCTGGGCTGTGAGGTTAGGCCCTGAAACTCCGAATTTGCGTTTCCTCCCGGAAAGAATGGGAACATACTTCCAGTGATAGATTCCCTTCAAAACTGACAATCAATCATATTCATAAGCAAATGAAAGTAAACCGTGGTTTGGGCTATTATGTTAACCACCTCCTGGTTTCCACTTAAAGGGAAGGGGTTGGTGGTTTAAAAACACATGTTGCCAACATCTTTGCCTGTAAACTTTCAGCTTCCCTCCATTTAAATTTAGTGGTTTGGATTGGCGGTTGTCTGGTGAAGCGGGGGTTTCCTGTTTACCCCCTACGAGGTTCAGCGGTTCAAATCCAAATCCAAATCCCACCAATCCACCCTCAAACTGGGGTGTGGCTCAAAATTAAACAGATGGGGTTACGCAGGTTTTAGTCTACCTTTCGATTTACCAGGTTCCAGTTTGGGCCCCCATTTTGAGCCACACCCAACTCAAACCTACCTGCAACTTCCCCACCTTCCCACTCCTCCCTCCGTGAACCGAAAAACGCGGCGAGGCCGCTTTCCAGCCCCCGGCGGGCCCAGCACAAACTGTCCGAAGATCACCTGGCGAGAGGAGCTTTGGCGCTCGGAAAAACCCGAAGCTTCCAGCCTTGGTTGCTGTTGACCCCCCTGCAACAAGTTTAACTTTTTTGGGGTTTAGTGGAAAACCCAACTTGACTACAACCCAAAAAGTTAAAGTCTAAAGATCCAACCCAGCAGTCAAGCAGCCAAGAGTGAAGCCCTTCGTGCACGTACCACTGGGCAGCGCACGGGAAGCCCGATGGCATTTTGAAGCCAGGGGGTCCGCCTTTTGGGCAAACCAAGTGTGGGTTTGAGTCTTCCCCGCCCCTCAATCAAACTACCCCTTGGCTGAACCTGGCCCTCAAACCGTAGATGGCCCTTGATGGCCCTTGATGGATAAAATGCCCTAATGCACATCTCCCTTGGTTTCTGTTGGAACATGAGGAACATTGGATACTTGGCAAGGAGTCAACCACTATTGTTTCAGCAGTAACTTTTTTGTTACTACGCGCGGACACCTCAAAAAAGAAGCAACATGTTCATAGGGGACTTACCCAAAAAACAACAACAACGCGGCGTCTTTCGTTTGGTTTCCTTGAATCTACACCAAAGGGGTACCCTCAAACACACATGTGAATCTATCTGAACATCATTCCCACGAAACATAGTACTATCACACGTCGTTGGGGAATGGTTGCCTCGAGCTATCTGTGACAATGTTTAGTCGTGGGTGCGCATCCACCCATTGCACCAGACAAAAAATGCACAAGCGTACCACAGAAACTGGCCGGCCCTAACATCCCCCCGGAATGCCCCCAAACCAAAACACACACACAAACACACAAGCTGCGAGTCAAAAGACGCATCACGAGACAAGTGCAGCCTCAGCTATTGTTGGGCCAACGGAACTTTCGGGCACCCTCCAAATGAACGGGAGGCCTACCATGCAACCATCTCGTCGGACAAGTACTGGTATGGGGAATACGTTTCTCCCCAGCCGACTTTGAGCAAGTTTGCCTTGAAAGGCATCCGGAAGGGCGCCCTCTGATTAAAGAGGCCCCCTTTCTGCCATCTGTAAAGTTGTATCTACTTTGGTAGGGGGGGAAGTCATCCTGAAGTGGAAGTTCGATCAGCATCCAGCTACCCACATGTTGATCCAGATGACAACGTGCCGGATGGTCCATGTTGCCGGGCGCCTCCCTCACATGGCACCAGCTGTTGCTGTGTGGCTGTCAGCAGGTGGTATCATGGAAAATCACGCCTCACTTCCTGAGTGGATGGCCCAAACAAGTCTGAACTTTTCATGATTAGAGTTAGGCAACCAGTAGAATGTATACTTTACTGTTTGCTTCACATGGAGCTGGTAAAATCGAAAAAAAATGTATAAGTCTACCCCAGCTTCTCCATTTTCCCACTATGGTCCTCCCCAAAAGCTTCAAGTCCAGGAGCTCACACCGCTGGCTATGAGCTACAATCATGACATGGCTGTGGCGGTCAAACATGCGCTAACCCCAACATGGCTTGCCCTAATGGAAACAAGGACTAAAGCCTGCGGTTCAGTTCCTGGCGGATTCATTTTGACCCACACCCATATCCATATAGACACCGATCTTGTCAGCATAGATACAGGTACAAGCAATGCACAAGCACACCATGCGTATGCTCCAGAATTCGGTAGATTCTCTCATTCACATTCTGCACCATAGTCACAATCAACACCGAACGTGGTCTACCCATTTATACCTGGCATTGTCGCTTACTCGCTTCACTTATTTTGGGCTTTTTTGATTGTGACTTGGCCAACTCGGACTTTTGCTGCGGCTAGAAGAAGGCAGGCTTTGGCGGTGCCACTGCCATTCGTGCCAGCACCTCGATTGGGAAAACACGGGCTGCAAATCAAAGGCCGTCTCTTCGCGGAAACTTTCTGAGCGAGTGAGGTGCTGAGAAGGTCTGGGAATGAAAAGGCGAAAAAAATGCCAGGGGACTGTCTCCTAGCCTTCTAACCTCCGACCTATTGTCTCCCAACCTTCTAGCTTAGCCTTCTAGCCACCTACTGTCTGCTAGTCTTCTAGCCATCTTCTTCCCCTTCGCTGACCCTTCCAAGCCCAGGCAAAGCGCCTCGACCTTTCAAGCCGAGGGCCCGCGCATCTGACGTGGGCAAAGCGACGGTGTAGCTGGCGTTGGCCCCCGGAGCATCTTGGCCTCATGGGTCGCTCTCGAGGTAGGAATCGGGACCCATCCCAAACAAATGCGCCCCGGACAAAAAACATTTCTTTATTCAAGAGAACATGGGACATTTGGGTCCACCCTCTGGCTGCACAAAATGTGGGCGGGGCCCCCCCTGCTTCATTTTCTCCCCAAACCAACAATGGACCACCAGTCCTGGCATTTGGCTCTTTCGATCAAATCGAACGATCGATCCTCGAAACTGGCAAGGAAAACCCGACCACAACCAAACTCGTGGATGCTCGAAACATCTAGCAAAAAACACCCGGGGAGCTTCCTTGGATTTGGTTTACTTGCGATATCCAGGGGACAAGCGTGCTATTACATTCCACTCGAGGCATGGCCTGCATTCCTTCTCTCTCCACGTATTCTAGGTGGATAAACCTCCATAGGCCAGTGACCAGCCAAAACAAAGTGTACACTTTTTGGGCCACCAGTAGTAAAAAGGGAGAGCCACCAAGGAAAAAAGTGTAAAGTGTGTCCACTGGCTGGGTGAGAAACCAAATGACTAATCAACATGGCATCCTTGCACTGCAGTCGGTCATAGCATAAGTTGACCCATTGTTTAGAGAACTGCAGACTGATCATCATAGATGTCCTGCTTGGTCAGATTAGTTGAACATCGACAGATTTGACTGGTTCCGTTTTGTTTCTAGTCATGTCGATTCTATCCACCAAACCAGGTGTCTCTTCAGAGGAACATGATCTTCCAGCACCCTAGTTCTTGGAAGATGTTGGAAGGTAGTGCAGTGCAATCCCATCTTCTCCCCCCAAACGAAGGCCTGTCTCACTTCCTGCGTGGAAATTTGCAAACCAAAAGTCCAACATCTTTCTATTTGCCTCTAAAATGGTCCAAGCCAAGCCCCAAAAGCGACTCAAGTCCATGAACTTGGGAAGTGAGGTCACTGTATTCAGAGTGGCCGGGTGAGTCGGAAGTCTCGGCGCATGGCTTTCTGAGCCCTGGTTGGTGGAGCCGAAGAACTCGTTCTGCCCATGCCTCAAACAGGTCTCACCGTTCCCCTCGGTGTCCTTCAGGAAACCCTTACCACCTCCAAACGGGTGCCTCCAAAACTTGCTTGACGTTGGAAGGGGAGCAACAATTCTCAAATTTTAGCAGTTAAGTGGTTGGATTTCAATTATAAAACCACAATAAGCAAAAATGCAACATGTTTCCCTACGACAACCATGAAACGGACACCAGAGACAAGCACACCAGGACCCTTGAACATTTTTCAAGCCGCCAGTCGGGTTCCATGTTGCGGGGTACCTTCAAAAAGCCTCCCAGTTGGTTGATGTCTTCGGGTGAAGAGACAGACTAGTTGCTCCATGAAACTGGACCCAATCCGTCAGAACTCCTTTGGTCAGGTCGGTGTTCCCTTACGTTGCTGGCGGTGGCGACCTCGCTGCAATAAGTTCTCACGTGTTTTCTTTTGTCCAACTCGTTGAAAATCCTTGCGCTGATTCAACCAAACAGCCAGAGAGTCCAAGCCAAAGATCCCACCAAATAGCCACAAAGATATCTCGTGATCATCCCTGCAAGCCCCAAGTACGCGAATTGGTGCTTTGATCATGCACAGAAACAGCGCCCCAACCCCAAAGGCCTCTCTAGCAACTGGTAAGTGGTCCGGATTCTACTTGGCTTCATATGTTATAACAAGTATGGCCAATACGCATGTGGGCATGTGTTGAAATTGGGAGGACCCCAAACAAAACTCAAACCATGGATTTTGGTTTTCGTTCCCCCGGAAAAAAAGTGCCCACACAACGAAAATGACGGACCGAACGACAGACCCGCGATCCGATCGTCGCATGGCCTCCGTGTGACCACTGCCCGTCCCCCGTGGGGCCCAACCACTTGGCCGTGCTCCGCAGCCCAGCCTCGCGTCGGTGGCTGGGATGGGGTGGCCGTCTTGTGAATTGGTTGCTTTCTGCTCCCCTGCTAAAAGTTGAACTGTTAGTGGTTTAATGGAAAACCCAGTAGTTGGCAAAAAAGTTAAAGTCCTAACATCCAAGTAATGCACCAACTTTGAGATCAATTGGGCTGAAAAGATGATGCCTACACCATCCCAACGAGGATTCATAGGCACTAAGCTCCATGGTTCTGCTGTGGGCGGAGGAATCTTCAGCAAAATACCCATCAAAACCAGCGTTGTTTGCTAACTCCGTGCAGAATGGTCTCCAGCTTGTTGCTCAGCGCGTGTCTTGCTTGTTCTCAGTAGAAAATGTTGGATTCCAGCTACAAGTTCATGCTCTGCAAAGGGTTCGTGGGATCATTCGCACATTCTCGAACGAGCCCCCAAAACACGCGCACACACACACACAGCCTGTGGTCTAAATTTAGACCAAACGACGTTGCTCCAAAGGCCCTGACCTTAAGGAGAATCAAAGGATACTGCTATTCTACCATTGCGGTTTGGGTCCTTTCAAGGATCAGCACAATCCTGAACTACCTGCTTTTTGCCTTGGTTCGGCAGGTCTCTCATAAACACCCTGTTTCTCAAAATGGGTCCCTTTTGGACATCAAAAGGGCGGCAACCGACTTCGGGGATCCGATCTATTTGGAGCCCAACCTGAGCTTCGCCACCTGGGCGCTTTCTGGGCGCCCCTGGCACATGGAGCTGTCCGGGGAGTAGATCAGGGTGCCGGCCTGAGCGAGCCGGCTACGCGCATGGAAGCTCTCTGGGCGCACAGGAAATTTGATATGGCTCCCCTTTTCGGGGTTTCCGGTTTTGGGCCTGATCCCCCCCCCATAAATCAGCTGCGCCCACAGAGGCCCCGTGCGAACTTGAGTGAGTGAGTGAGTTTCCAGGTGAAAAGGGCGCTGAAAGGGTGCCAAAGCTTTGGGACAAATTGCTTGGGACGTTGGGCCAACTTCTCCGCGCAATTGACCTTGGTGGGTTAGAACCCACGTTGCCTGGCGGCCAACCACTAGCGGTTGGGGCCCGTTGAACAGCTTTTGGCAAACTGGCTCCGATTGCTTGCACCAAAGGATCATGTAGCATCCGAAGGGAACTCAAATCTGAGGGTGTTTCTCAAACTAGGGATCAACGAGCTTTTGGTTTCCTTTTAAATAGAGGGACCCGCCATTTTGAGAAAGCCCCATTTGTTGGAGCCTCTTCAACGGGTCACTCATTCCATGATCTCTTGGGCCACTGCCAGCTTGCCGGATCCCGTACACCTAGGCGCGGGATAGGTGTGCCCAGTTGGTTTGTTAGAAGGTTCCCAGCTCCCAAGATTTGGAAAATTTGGAAAAACTAAGGCTGTCGTTTTCAGTTGTTAGTGCTAGGGCCATTACACATGAAGCCACCCGAAGCCAAAAAGGCCAAACGCCTGATTCGCTTCGCTTCGTTTGCTTTCCTGGCCAAAAACAACGACAGACTGGCCCAAGCTGGAGTCTTGGTTTCGTTTTTCGCCTCGGTTTCCCGAAAAGAGACGAGCCTCAAAAGGACAGAAAACAGCTGGCCACGCAACCACGTGTCCGGTCAAACATCATGGTCAAAGCTCCGAAGCTGTGGGTCCTGGTGCTTCATCTTCTTAGGAATCTTTACCGCACTTCCGATCGAGATGGGCCATGGGCCAAGGTCTATGCCACAAAAACGGAATTCATTCCCAAACCAGAAAGTGACTAGAGGCCATGAACTCGGGAATTGGGTTGCAATGGTTACAATCCCCTACAAGGTCCCTATGGCCAGAACCCATATCTTTCCTCTGCAAACATCACCCCCATAAGCTGGCTCACTTTCAGCTGGTCTACCCATCACTCGAAACAGCGTTTTGACCCTCTGTCCAAACTGATCTGCTGACAGAAATGTAGGGGCTAAATTTTAGTGTGGACACCCAACCACAAAGCCAACTGAAAACAACCCAACCACCGGAACTGGATGCTTCGCTGCTCAAGCCTCTGCGCCTCTGCGCCCGGCCTCGCCGGGCAGTTGATGACCATCGCGTCTCCAAAGGTCTGCAAAACGATTCCCAGCGGAGAAACTTCAAGAGCGGTGAGTCATACTCAAAACCCGGTATTGAAATGGAGTCGTAACCCCAGAACCATGCTTCAAGAATTAAGAAGGCGGATATCCGCAGCTTTTTGGGATTGTCCCTTGCCAACCTTCATCTTCCCGGGGTTTGATTGTGGCTCAGGTAAGTGGTTAGTAAGCCTGGTTATAACCCACAAAACCTCATCGATATACGAGTCTCAGTGCAGTGGGTTATAACCAGGCTTACCGACCACTTACCTGACGTACAGTGCCCCCTTGAGTTGCACAACATGTTTAACCGATCCGACCCTGGTTCCCTTTAAAAGGAAACCAAAAGCAGGGTTGTTGTGAACCAACATCGGAGGTTGAAGCTGGAACTTTCAAACTCAGCGCAGATGTCATCACTTTGGAGAAACCCTCAGCGAACGCTCCTGTGTGAACAACGAGCAAGGTTCGAATGGCTTAATTTCAGCCAAGGGGTCGGCCCTTTCCTAGCTCCTCCAGTAGAGAGCTTAGAAACAGTTGCTACCCACTTTTTTCAGGACGTCTGTTTTAGGGGAACCGAATCTCCCAACCAAAAAAGGAAACGGTGAGAAAGGGCACCAATTGCTTGGGGACCTACTGTGGATGGACGAAAAATCCTGCACCACTTCGAAACCTTGGTTGAAACCACCGTTTGTTGGAATTTACAAGGGAATCATCATGAATCATCATTCCAGGCTTTCTGAACGGTGGTGCGAAATGGATTTCGCAACCATCCACAGTTTCTATGATACCAACATCTTCGATTCGCGGCGCCTGGAAACCGGCCGAACCAACGTCTTTGGCATAGCTTCTGAGCTCGGGACTCCGAAATGGGAGGGCGTGTGCTCAAAAGGTCTGCTCAAAAGTTCTTGGACCTTTCTTTTCTTCTCCTTTTTTTTTTGTTTTTGATTTTTTCTACCTTTACTGCCAAAATATGGAATCCTGAATTTGCGGTTTGGACTACTGGTTTGGGAGTTTGAACCCTATACTTCATTTTGAAGCCATATGGGGAAGCTTACTACCCCCCAACCTCCAAACCACCAAACCAGGGCTGTGGGAAATGACCACTTCTGTGATACAACAAAAAGGGCTTCTCAAAGGCAAACCTGCCAAGGGGGGATAATCCCTTGTATCACAGAAGTGGGGACAAATGGGGACAAATTCCTTGATCCCACAACCCTGCTAGCCCCAAACAACTTCGGGGCTGGGTGAAAAGAAGGGCGAGCAAGCCCCAACCTGCAGCGGAAGCTTCTGAAACGGCTCCATGCAATCCTCAGCTCCGCGCTTTGTGTGCGCACGCGTAAGAATAAGCTCCGATGAGGCTCCATTGGCTTGGTTCGGACAAATGGACCCCGCTCATCCAACTGAAAAGCAGACACATCCAACTTCTGACATTTCGAGGTCCTCCAGTACAGAGGTTAGAATAAGGCTACCAACTTTTTTTCTGTTGTCTATTTTAGTACCTCCACCCTCACCCAAAAAAGAAACAGGAGAGAAGGGCACCTAACTAGGGGGACCTAGATTTGGTTTGGAGGCGGGCCGGTTCTCCATTTAGGACACGGTGCAGCACAGCCACGCATGCTCTGGCCGAGGGGCCTCTACCACGTGCTCGGGCGGCAAAGCCCTACCTCGAGCTTCGGAGCAGAGCTAGGTCCTCCAGTAGAGTGGTTGGAGTAAGGGTACCAACTTTTTTCTGTAGTCTATTTTAGGGGAACCTTGAACCCTCCCAACCAAAAGAAACGGTAAAAGGGACGCAGCCTCGAAAAATCCGAGCTGTTTCAACCAAAGAGTGAAGCCCAAAGATCCGGTACCACATCGCTCTGAAAGAACACATTTTCCTTGAGAAGGGGCCTGGTGTTTCCAAGAGATTGGATGTAGCTTTGGATAAAACGAAACGTGGCTTTTAAACTTGGGGGAAGATTCGGGGGAACTATCGATCGAAGAAATCGTCAGACTTCCCGGCCTCATCCCTCAAGACTGTGGATCAGACTTTCCAGATGCAAGTTTGGCGTGTGTCGAAATAGAGGGGCCCACCAAACTGTGGCGTTCGCTCTGGTTTTTTCCGTTCGACCCAACCTGAAAGGGTTCCAACTCCCAGCAAAGACCCGCATGCCCAGTCTGAGTGCCCCCTCTCATATCCAGCGAGTCGGTGGTATAGGCGTGCCACGCCTGCGAGGTGTTCTTTCTCCGGGCGGCGCCCAACTTTGATCGGGATGGTTTCGGTCTTTGGACTCTGCAAATTCTGCTGACCTCCTGGGTCCTCCAGTAGAGAGGTTAGAATAAGGGTACCAACTTTTTTCAGTAGTCTATTTTAGTAGGGGGTTTCCCTCCCAACCAAAAAAGTTGGTGAGAAGAAAAGGCACTACTGGGGGATTTAGCCAACTTGGATTGGGATGATCGTTTCGGTCGTTGGACTCTGCAAATTCCGCTGACCTCTTTCCAAGGAAATACCCAACGCCTTCGGTTCAAAACAATATGTCACATGGTTCAAAGAAGAACACCCTAAGGCAACATGTGGGTGTGGGTAAAAACTAGGTACCCAGAATGGCTTGCCCTGGTAAATGGAAGCAAAGACTAAAACCTGCGGCCCAATTCCTGGTGGTTGAGCACTTTGACCCACACCTCTCAGATTTATAGTCTCCGGATGTTTCTCCCGTCTTTTTGGAGGACATGTGAGATTTCCGGTTTCTGATTTTTGTCTCCTTCCTTCCTAAAAGGACCGCCGAGCACACCAAAACTCCTAAGGCATGGCCCCCGTCCGTTTTTTCCTCATCTTTTTTTGAGGAACGACGTGTAGCAAGCCCCAGCTTCCATTTGGTTAAGACCCCTGGAGAAAAAAATAGCGACATTTCCAGTAGTGATAGGATTCCCTTTAAAAGCAACCAGGGGAAATCAATAAACAAACCGACATCTTCGTTTCAGCAGAAGAATGGACGCCCAGTGGACTCTCCCCACGGACGGAAAGCCGCCGCGCTTCGGCTCGGTTTCGGCGCCTCGCCCTTGAGCCCGGTGGCACTCACGGACACCGCCACATTGGACTCCTCGGCTTCGAGGCTCCCGGGCTCCCGAGGGACTTCCCCTCAAGACATCGCCCGAAAGAAGGGAGGCTCACTTGAAAGGGAAGCAAAAAACGCTGAGGTTGAAAACCACCCCAAAAGGGGAAATCACTCGGGACCCCGGAAGTTTTGCCGGAGCAAGGTCCTCCAGCTTTGGGAGCTTCGAATTAGTTGGTACACGATTTGTTTTTTTGGTTTGGTCTATTTTAGTAGGGGAGGATAGAGCAAGGGTACCAACGTTTTTCTTTTTGGTTTATTTTAGTAGGGAGTTTCCCTCCCAACCAAAAAAGTTGGTGAGAAAGGGCACTACTGGGGGACCTAGGGAGAAAAACACGGGGACTGGAGGACGAGGGGCTGAACCGGGGGGGGGGAGGGGTGAGGGGCCTCCGACGTTTCTCCGACTTTTTCGGAGACAATTTGGGATGTCAATCTCACCCCATTTTTTTTTGAGGGATTCAGGGACTCTGAGGTGGAGGGGTCCAGCTTTTTGATTTGTTTCCTTGATCCACAGACTCTTAAGTGTATGAGGGGGGGTTCCAGGTGACTTGTTCTTGACGGGGGGCCCTCAGCTGGAGGGATCCAATGTGAAAGTCAAGTACTGCTCAGACCACATCCGGTGTTCCCAGATGCCTAAGCCTTAGAACAATTGAAAGAACATTCTCCACCTCAACGCAACGTGAAAATCAAGTAATCGAGCGCTGACGGTTCGATAAATTGTGAAGATTCCCCCCCCCCCCCCCGCCCCCACTATAATAGGTCCTCCTGTAGAGAGGTTAGAATCAGGGTACCAACTTTTTTCTCTTTTGTCTATTTTAGTTGGGGGTTTCCCTCCCAACCACAAAAGAAATGGTAAAAGGGCACTACTGGGGGACGTAGAGTGTAGAGTTTATTCATGGCGTGTTCCCCTCAACAAGTGGTCTGAATCCCCACTAAACCCAGAAATGGACAACCCTACTTAGTATAGATTTCCTTTTGAGCCAGCCAGTCCAATGGCACTGAGCGCCGGACACCTCCCGAGTAAGACTCCAGGCCTGCCTTGGCTGCGAACCCTCCCACAAGGTAGGTCTTATTTTTCGTTTCCCTCGAAAACCGGAAAGAAGGGGTACCCTCAAGCAAACACATACCCTCCCACCAACTAACATGGAAGTGCACCAACTAACATGGAAGTGCACCAACTAACATGGAAGTGCAAAAAGACCCTCTTTCCAAGAGGAAAGTAGTCGTTCTACAGGGGTCTGTGCACTTCCATGTTAGTTGGTGGGAGGGTACCCATTTCGCGTTCATCAAGGTTGGTCCGGTTTTGGAGATCTCTTTTGATGGTGGCTCACCTTTCGGTTCCGTTCCTTTTGTCTGGACCTGTTCACCTTTCCAGCAAGGTACCTTGACCCTCAAACGACTCTATGGCATAGTTCGAGCTCTTGGGGGTTGAAGCCTGAAACGGGGAAACTTGACTAGGTCCTCCAGTTGAGAGGTCAGAATCAGGGCACCCATTTGTTTTTTGTCTATTTTAGTAGGGGGTTTCCCTCCCAACCCAAAAAGAAACGGTGAGAAAGGGCACCTTGCTGGGGGACCGAGTTAATGGGCCCCGAAACCGTTTGGTGTACATCACACTTCGGGGCGTTCGCAAAAAGGTCCAACATCCGAGCCACGGGTTTGCCGAGCATTCGCTGAGCTTGCACAGGAGCAGCCTGCATTCGGCTCTCGCCGGGCGTGCGGACAAAAAAAAGTCTGGACACCCAGAAATCCTATCCATCCCCCCTGAGTTTCCTTTTAGTACCAATCAAAGCATGGGCAATTCTTGAGCCTGTGGGACAAAAAAACTGGACCAACTCCCTTGAACATATCCTCCTGACTGACGTGATCATGGAACTTGACGAAGGGCAGTCCTTTCGACGACTCGAAAAAGATCTCTCGTGCCTGACATGCTCTTGTGAAGGCACCCTTTTCGAGTTTGCCTCTGGAGACCAAAGCGACACCTTTCTTTTGCAGGCAGGATGGGGGGGGAGGCGGCTGGGCGACCCTCAACGACAAAAGGACACTCACTTCCGATCGAGTGGATCACCAATCTTCTTGCACGCCACTAAACAAAGGGCCAACCCCCAAAAGTGACTAAAGTCCATGAACTCGGGAAGTGAGTTTCGGAAGTTCAGCTTGCCTCTTCGGAACGTTCAGATTTGGCCATGGGTCAAAATCAAAATTGTACCCCCAGTGAACATCCCAATCCCCACTGGAATAGACTACAGTGGGTGGTGAATTCACCAATCCCAACCAAAATGGGATCCCAAAACGGTTTTGACCACCACAGCCATTTCTCGTGTGGCAAAAAAACCGAAGGCGACTCGGTCGTTTCTTTCGTGGAACCTCGGCAAACCAAAGGACCTCGAGCTCAAATGTGATGGATCGCATGAGCATGCCCCTTGTGCAGGACGGAAAAACCAAGGGAACAGAAGCTTATTCTCTGTCTCTTTGCCATGCCTTGGTCAGAATCATCTCGCCGCCGTAGACGGGGAGCACCCGATCCACGATGGCGCCCAGGCCTTCAGCACCACATTTTCTCAAGCAGCTCTAGGTCCTATAGAGAGGTGAGTCGTAATCAAAACCCGGTATTGAAATAGTCGCCCCAGAACCATGTAAAGAATTAAGAAGGCGGATATCCGCTGCTATTTATGGTTGGGATTGTCCCTTACTTACCTTCATTTACCCAGGTTTTGATTGTGACTCAGGTGTTGATTTTCAGCTAGGGCTACACGTATAGATCCTGGCCAGATGCTTTGTAGAATAAGGGTACCCACTTTTTTATCTGTTGTCTATTTTAGACCCTCCCAAAAAAGTGGGTGAGAAAGGGCACTACTGGGGGACGTAAAGTTTATTCATGGCGTGTTCCCCTCAACAAGTGGTCTGAATCCCCACTAAACCCAGAAATGGACAACCCCCTATTCATAAACTGGTTGGTTCGTTGACATGGGGTCAACATTCGCTTGAACACGGGGGATCAACCCGCAGTGCTGGGGAACACATTCTCGTGTTTAAGGATAGTTGGAGGGCACCTTCTCAAATGGCGGAACCCTTCTGGTTGGTATTTAAAGAGAAACCAAAAGGACACCCACCATTTTGGGGTTACTTTAGCCCAATTCCGAGCAACACCCAAATGGCTTCCGCTGGGGGGGGGGGGGCCGGGTTCCAACCTGAAGCCAGGTACCCCAAAGTTGCTCGTTTGGGTGAAAATGGGAGCTTCGTGTGGGCTCAAATGGGAAGCTGACATCTGTGTTGAACTAAAAAGGGCATATTTTCTCGGCTGCCCTCAGATCCCCCGCTACAAGTGACTAACTTTTAGTGGGTTAAATGGAAACTACTGCTAAACACTAACAGGATCTAAAAAGCTAAGGAACCGGATGGCTGGGAACCACCAAGTTTTGAGGGTTTTTCAGGCGCCTGAACTCCCCAACGTTTGGGGATCCCTGTGGCTCCGACGTCTCGGCCGAGGCGTAAAAGGCTTCGAGGTGCCGGCAGATCGGGGAGCCCAAGGGATGCACCCCAGTGCCCACCGCCACGGCGGATGGCCTAGGCTGGGAGCAGCCAACGAGCCGACGAGCCGACGAGTCACCTTCCACTTCTGCGCCAGCGGGTTGTCTTTCCATGGGATGACGACGTTGGTTCTCTTCCCTTTAAGCCCCCTGGAATAAATATGTCCAGTGATAGATTCCCATGAAAGCCAAGAAGGAAACATAGACAATAACTAGGTCCTCCAGTAGAGAGGTTAGAATAAGTTGCTACCCACTGTAGTAGGGGAGCAAAATCAAGTAATTGAGCGCTGAGGGTTCGACAAATTGAGAAGGTTCCCCCTCCCCCCCCCCAACTTTTGCTAGGTTCTCCAGATTTGAGAGGATAGAATAGGTTGCTACCTCTATTTTCATTTTTGTCTATTGTAGTAGGGGACCCTCCCAACCAAAAAAGGGGTGAGACAGGGCACTACCGGGGGGGACCTAGCTTTCCAATGGGAGCAAACAACGTGGGTTCTTTGCAGCTAATTGTAAAAATGAGCAGAACCAGCCAAAAAGCAAGAAACCGACTCTGGCATGGGAAACGTTGGTCCTTCGCAGCCAACTTCAAACATGAGCAGAACCAACAAAAAGCAAGACACCAACCCTGGTATGGGAAACAAGGTTGGTTTTTTGCAGCCAACTAAAAATGAGCAGAACCAACAAGAAGCAAGAAGCTACCAGAAACCTAAAAACTGGCCAACAACGGTGAAAAGACCACCTCAACGATGTACAAAGTGGAGAAGGTGGAGCCTGGTCAAATAGAGAAAGGGGCTGAAGCCGAGCACCAGGTGGAATGTGATTTGGTTGAGGGGGTAAATGAAGGAACCAAAGGCCAAATGGGCCCACCCTGCGAAAGGTGAACAACGCTTTGCTTAGGGCAAACGAAGGAACACGTTTAAGGGCCTAAAAGCAAACAAGTGAGCCAAGTCTGGCAATGTGGGGAACCCATTTTCTGGGCTCTCAGGGAATCAACTGGGGTTTTGGGAACGAACCTGGGCAATCCCCTTAACAAGGATTGACCGGTGTAAGCATAGAACTCATGGATATAATGGGACTAACCGCAGTTACCCCAGCTAGAACCATGGCTACAAGTCGCTTGAGCATCCTGGTGCCCTCTCCAAGTCCAGCAGTGACTAGGCTTGCTGGTGCTCAGTAGGGAATGAGCCGGGTTTTGGGAATGAACGTGGAGACTCCCCTAAAGGAAAAACAAGGGGGGATGGGGTCATTTCAACTCATTCCCTGCTGATCACCCGGCTGCCCAGCTCAGGTGCCCTGATTCTTGGCCTCTGAAACCTGCCAGGGCCCCGTGCTCGCGCTGACAGTGTGCTGGGCAAGCCTCAGCGAAGCGAGTTTCCGGCGGCATCCCGCGAAGCAAAAATGAGACGTGAGAGCAACGTCTCAAGACTCCCTCAAACGGCCTAAAGTTGATCCCTTCCCCAAAGACGCCTCCCTGAAACTGCCAAACCGGGATGTCTCGAAAACACGAGGGACATCTTCCTGATACATGCACCGAGGGTTTTCCGGATTCAGGCCCTTCAAAGCACTCCCATGCTCAAAACCGGATCCAACAAAACCCCTCGAGATGGGAAGCAAGCCTTGGGTCCAGAAGGCGTTCCAACCACTTTTGACCCACCAAGGAAATGGGCCAAAACTCCCAGGAACCCCAAGATCTGAGACAGGGAACGGACTTGCCAAACCCAAACCTCGGAATCCAACGCGCCCAAACGTGCGGTGCGCTGCTTCGCTGGTCAACAGGGCTTCGGGAATGAACTACCCGAAAACAAAACAAGGGACTAGGTCCTCCAGATTTGAGAGGTTAGAATAAGTTGCCACCAACTTTTTTCATTTTTGTCTATTTTACTAGGGGGTTTCCCTCCCAACCAAGGGTGAGAAAGGGCTACTGGGGGATTTAGGGGATGGTTGACAAAAAACTTTTCGCATTGGAGCCATGGCAGTCCAGAAGACCTGAACCACACACCTGTTTGAGAGCGCGTCCCATGCTAGGAGTCATCTTCCAACTTATTTGTTGCCATATCTTATGAAAGGGACTAAACTGAGCTTTTGCTTTCATATCTTACTTATGGCATCTAAACTTCCAATGAGATCAGATGGGGGTTGTTCAAAATAACAGTTCCTGGAAACGGCCCTTTCGCCGGCCTTTCGCGGTCCTTTCGCGGCCCCATGTTTTCCTTTCGCGGTGACAAACCAGTCCTGAAAAACTGGTTTCCGAGCCCAAACGAGGGTTCTACCATGTATTCGTTATGTTTCAAGTCCTTTCGCGTTCCTTTCGCCGGCCTTTCGCGATGCAGTGTTTTCCTTTCGCGCTAGACCTTTAGAACCTCCCTTTACTTAATTTTAAGACTGGCAATTTAGAACGACTCCCAGATGCTTTCCTGATGCTCTTTTGTTGATCGATCCAAGATGTTCCATCCGTCGCAAAACCCTGAGCTCCTCACCACGCGTGCCAAGTTGCCCTGCCACCGGACATCGTGGCCCGTGGATTGGCACGACAACATCCTGACGCTGAGGGACATACCCAACATTCTGAGGATTGGCACGGGAGCGAGGTTGAGCCAAATTTGTCTAAACAACAAGACCCTGTCCCCCCAACAGAGAGACGCCAAAAGGAGGAGGTTTGTTCAAAGATGTCAAAGGGCCAGGCCCAGGACTAGCCAAAGGAATCTTGAAACATCATCCAAAACACCAACTTATACGGCTTCCAGTGACCGCAATGGTAGCTAAACCTCTCGGACTTTTTTGCCTCTAGATCTTGCGTGATGGTTTCCCTGGACAGCTAATTGTTCGAGCTGTGCCAGGAAGAAGTGGGTCACAAGGGAAACTCCCAACATGTGGACCATGGTCCTGCTTCGAGATTCCTAACAAACTTGTAGGCGCGATAGGTAGGGAACGTGGTTGAGTGGTTGAATGAACCAGGCTTTGGTCCCTTAACAAAACACCAGGGATGCTTTATAAGGCTCATTCCACTTCTCATTCCCTGCCTATCGCACCAAGACAAAGGGTCCATGACGGTCCCAATACACAATTCCGACTGGAGCTCAGGTGCGGACTGAACTGCCTTTGGTTCTTGGAGGTCATGGGACATGGGCGCCTCGTCTTCTTTGACCTTAGGCAGGAAGTGAGTCAGTGAGCCAGGGAGTCATGCGCCATTTGTTGGGCGACCCCAAAATCTCTGAAATTCGGTTTCAGGCGCCCCCCCCCAGCCCCCAAGGTACTTCCACTGACCAAGGAGCGAAGAAGGAGCCAGCCGCGCCAGGTGCGCCGGTCCTGGACTCAATCGGATCTAGCTGCACTGCCTCCCAAGATGTCCTGCTGGGAAAAAAAACCTGATGAAGTCTGGTCAACGGTTACCCTCCTGTTGCCCGTCCAAAAAACAAGAGCAAAACACTGCAGCCAGTGCCACTTTGGTGTGTCATTTTCGGACGTACCACCTTGCTTTCTAATTATTGGTGTTTAAAGGGAAAACAAAAGGACACTCACCATTTTGGGGTGTCTAACGAGTTGTTTTCTAGCCAGCTGAATGGGCCTGCTGCGGCGCTTCTTTTTCAAGGCTGCGCCGATCAGTCCTTGGGCTCCATAGCACCTCGCAAGCGCCACGACGTGGCGGCAAAAGCGCGCAAAAGGCGACACCAAAAAAACACATGGGTGTGGCTCAAAATTAAACAGGAGGGGTTACGCAGGTTTTGGTCCATGTTTCCACTTACCAGGGTTCCATTTTGGTACCGGTTTTTTGAGCCACAGCCACATGGGATGCCACCCCCACTCCCCCAACCCCCATGGATTTTGATTTTGCCCAAAGTTGCTTTCCAAAAAGGCGGCAAATCAGAAGCGAAATTTATGGCAAATTGAAGAACCAACAGGATGGTGGGGGTTAAAAACGGGAGGGGGGAGTTGACATCCCATCAACTCTCTCTCTCTCTCTCTCTCTCTCTCTCGGCCAGCCTCCTCATGAGCTCCTGTCAAGTTTCCATCACCACTTGGGCCCTCCAGCTTCCATTTGCTTAAGCCTGGAAGAAATAAAAACAATATTTCCAGTAGATCCCCTGTAAAACCAACAGGGTAAAAAAATCCGCCGACCCTCTGCCTCCCGTCCCAGCCTCCTGCAGAGGGGACCGGCGTGGGAAGTGATTGGAATCAATGACCAGTCCTGGGACCGGTCCTGGGACTGGTCCTGGGACCCTGGTTCTGCTGTTTCAGATTACTAGTCAGCCAAAACTGGTCCTGGGACCGGCTTTTGGGACTGGACCGGGGTTTGGTCCGGGACTGGTCCCGGGACCAGTCTCCCAGGACTCGGGGTTTGGTCCTGGGACCAGTCTGGGAAGCCGGTGGATCAAGTCCTGGTGTGACTGCTGGCATCAGTCCCACTTCAAACTGCTGTGGTGCCACCTCAAACCGCTCCAGACACCTTTCCGGACTGGCACCCAGCACGACAGGGTCCCAGCTCGTCACTCCCTGCGACCAGTTGAGGGGGACCAACAGCCTTGTTTCTAGGACCAGCTCAACGTGACTTGGGCACAAACCGGCCCGTGCGGTTATTGACGGACGAGCTGTCATCTGTCTGACTTTTCCGTTAATCCTTGTGGTAGTAGAGGATCCCTGGATCTATTCTGCAAGAGAGTCCAATACGTCGAGTCAAACCGCGCCAGACTGGGACCAGCCTGGACAAGTCCCGGTCCCTGCCGGCGACCGGTCCAGGGCAACTTCGGGAGGGCCAGTTTCAGGGCGACCTCGGGAGAGGCGACTGCTCCCGGGCCAACTCGAAGTGACTTGGGCGCAAGCCGGCCCAAGCGGTAGTTAACGGACTAGCTGCCCTATTTCTGACTTTTCCGTTAATCCTTGTTTGTGGTCGTAGAGGATCTTATAAGTGGTCCCTGGGTTTGCGGACGTGTTTCAGGACCGGTCCTTGTGACTTTTCCCTTAATGCGCCGAGGGTCGGCGGCAGCAGGCGGGAGCCTGGTTAATCCGGCCACCGGACGTGATCGGGCCGCAGGCCAAAGCCCGTTAGGGCTTACCTTCAGGTATAAGGCCGCGCGCCCCATGCCGCCGACCATGCTCCGACCATGCGCATACGTTTTGTACTGGGCCCACCCTTATAAGGGGCGAAGGATTCGCGGATTGGTTTAAGCGATTTTTGTAGCATCTCCCCGCAGGGGTGCCTAATACTGGACAACACCCCCAGCATTGCCAGCATCATCCCGGATGATGCGGATGATGTTATGCATGCTGGCGATGCGGGGGATGCTGGGGATGTTGTCCCCTAAGTCGGGCCAATTTTGCCGAAAACGTGCAACCTGAAAATCTTAAAATCTAAAGTGGATGGAAATGGATGGAAAATGGCCTGGATTGAAATCTCAAAATCCTAAAGTCTTAGATTCTTAAAATCTTAAATTAATATCTAACAATCAATCTTAGAATCTCAAGATCTTAAAATCTTAGAACTTAGAATCTTAAAATTTAAAAATATAAAAAACTTCCTAAAGTCTTCGAATCTTGAAATCTTAAAAACCTTATGTCTTAGAATCTTGAGATCTTAAACTCTTAAAATATGAAATCTTAGAACCTTAATTCTTAAACCATTGAAACCTTAAATTCCGAAAGTCTTCAAATCTGAGACCCTTAGAATCTCAAAGTTTTTAGAATTTTAAAATCTTAACATCTACTCATCGGACTTACAGGAAAGGGAAGTGACAGAAACCCTCATGTCTTTGAATCTTCAGATGTTAAAATCTTAAAATATGAAATTCCTAAATTCTCAAAGTCTGAAAATCTCAGAATCTTAAAAGCTTCAAAAACTTAAATTCTTTAAATCTCGAACTATTGCAGCCTGAAAATCTTAAATTCATAAACAAGTAAAATATAATAAAATTCCTTCAATACGGGCTATTTTCTTCTAAATTCCTTAAACTCTTAATCTTCAACTTTTGAAGTCTTGACATCTTAAGATCTTAAAATCTTAAATTCCGAAAGTCGCCAAATCTGAAAATCTCACAAAAATAGAATCTTAAAGCCTTCGAAATCTGATAATGGATGGTAAATGGCTGGGCAATGGCCTGGCTGTTATAACCTTCAAAAGCCTTAAATCTTCGAATCTTAAAACCTTAATTCTTCAACCATTGAAACCTTAAATTCCGAAAGTCTTCAAATCTGAGACCCTTAGAATCTCAAAGTTTTTAGAATTTTGAAATCTTAACATCTACTCATCGGACTTACAGGAAAGGGAAGTGACAGAAACCCTCATGTCTTTGAATCTTCAGATGTTAAAATCTTAAAATATGAAACTCCTAAATTCTCAAAATCTGAAAATCTCAGAATCTTAAAAGCTTCAAAAACTTAAATTCTTTAAATCTCGAACTATTGCAATCTGAAAATCTTAAATTCATAAACAAGTAAAATATAATAAAATTCCTTCAATCCGGGCAATATTCTAAATTCCTTAACCTCTTAATCTTCAAATTTTGAAGTCTTGACATCTTAAGATCTTAAAATCTTAAATTCCGAAAGTCGCCAAATCTGAAAATCTCAAAAACAAAATACAATCTTAAAGCCTTGGATGGAAAATGGCTGGGCAGTGGCCTGGCTGTTATAACCTTCAAAAACCTTAAATCTTTGAATCTTAAAACCTTAATTCTTCAACCATTGAAACCTTAAATTCCGAAAGTCTTCAAATCTGAGACCCTTAGAATCTCAAAGCTTTTAGAATTTTAAGATCTTAACATCTACTCATCGGACTTACAGGAAAGGGAAGTGACAGAACGGGCAGGGCAAGGTGCCCGGTGGCCGGCTGTGTCGCGTCAGCGTGTAAATAAATAATATTGTTAAGCAAATGGAAGCCAGTAAAGAGGTTAGAATAAGTTGGTGTCCACTTTTTACAGGATGTCTGTTGTAGAAGGGGGTTTCCCTCCCAACCAAAAAAAGTTGGTGAGAAAGGGCACCCAGCTGGGGGACCTAGCCAAACCGCCGCTGGGCAAAAAGGAAAACGCCAGACGCCAGGCGACGTCAAAGCGACGTCCTTGGAGCAGGCGAGCGCCAGTGGCACCCATGGCCGAGTCGGGGCTCTGAGGTGCTTTCAGGAGCTGCTCAGCCTAGGTCCTCCAGTAGAGAGGTGAGAATAAGTTGGTACCAACTTGCTTCTGTAGTCTGTTTTAGTACCCAAAAAACATGTAAAAGGGCACTACTGCAAAACCCAAGTTGCAGTTGATCTGTCTTGGCGGTTTTCTGCACGGCGGATGATCACTTTTGGGTTTGCATGGCCCATTCTTCTGCGGCAAGTCGCCCCCGCAGTTCTGGACGCTTCAGCCAGCCGAGCAGTGCAGCACGCGAGTCTCAGGGCGAGGCGACGGTTTCACCTTTGCATCACTTGGAACGCACGAAATGAAGCCATGCCCCAGTTGGTCCTGTTTCTCGGTTTCCTTTTCTTCGATGTGGGAAGAAAGGCCCCCGGAAGAAATAACACAATTTTTCCAGTAGTGATGAATTCCTTTTAAAACCAAGGGGAAAAAAGTAGTCTTAAGCAAATGGAGGTGTTGGGAAAGATGGCACTAAATGATTGGAACCACCATAACAAAGACATAGCAAACACAATGCCATCTGAGTTACAAGTTAAGTGACCTAAAACGGCTAGCTATGGCAATGGGTGTCATACAAAAACACTTCCGGAAGTCTCTCATTCGCCCTTTTCCAGTCCACTGTGCAGAGGCTTGCGGCCACGCAGTCAGGCCTGACCTGCGCAATGCGACTCTGGGCAAACCCCAACCCCCCCCCCCCCCCGCCGGTCGGGACAGGAGAACACCATAAGGATTGCTATGCTTTTGAGGGCGTCCTAAAGGGTCAAAGGGCCACGAAACGTCCCCCGGTTCGCGGAACACCACCCAGGATTCCTATCTTTTGTTGAGGGTATGTTAAAGGGCGAACCTTGCCCAGAAACATCATATTACAACACTACACAAACGGGAAACGTGGAATTCCCCCCCCCCCCCGGGTGTAAAGAAATATAGACCCCAATTTGAGGTGCGCAACCTCTCGTGGAAAATATGGGTCCTCTGAACTATGGAATCCAGAATGCACATCAACCCTTCTGAGATGTGACCGACTGAAAGCCAGGGTTTCATTCTTCGCCCAAAAGGACTTGACCCCAAGGGGCCGAATATTGTAAATGAAAGTATGTGCCATTCTTGAGAGGAGAACTTGCTAGTGGCTAATTTTGGAACACCAGCAAAAAGCTAACCATTGAATTTTCACCGCCAAGGGGCTGGTGATGCGGAACCCAAAACGGACCCTTGCCAACTTTTGGATTATGGAAATTAAGTATTTTAGGAGGCTCCTCTGACAAGTCGGGTCCTACAGATCAACGGGAAGTCAAGATTCCCCAAAAGATGAAACCGGGCCCTTCACGGGGGATCGCGCCAACGCCTCTCAACACATCCGGTCTATGGGGCGATTTTTTGCGTTTGAATGAAGCTGTCTAACTCCAAACCCGTTATGGCATCCCTCGTCCAGGGCTCTCTGATAAATAGCGGGGGGGGGGGGGGGCGGCGCACCCAGAAAGGTGATGCCGGGGAGCAAAGTCGGACCAATCCCGTACCCCCAGTGAACAGCCCAATCCCCACTAAAATAGACTAAAATGGGTGGTGCACCTACCCCAAAAATGGGATTCCATTGGTTTTCACCCACAGCCATGTCTCGATCCGTCAAAATGAAACCAAGGACGCCCGCCTGCATTCTCTGAAGGCACGGCGTCCTCCAACTCCAGCGTCTTCTCGTCCAAGGCCTTCTCTCCTGCGCCATCGATCTTCCATGAGATTTGATCTTTCTGGGTGAATTATCATATTTCACCAGCCTGAAGTAAGGTGGTTGGGGGGCTATTCCCCACATAAACCACCATTTGGGGTGAGGTCGTGTGAGGTCGTTATAATTCACACAGATCTTTGAACTGGCGGCTTTTTGCGGGGGAGTGCAAAGGCCAGTTCCAGGCTTTTCCAGTTTGGGAAATCAATGTTTCGCACTTTTCTGGGCTGAGCAGTGAGAACTGGCAAATGGGGAAGAGCACCTGCCCCGCCAAGAAAACTGCTGACTAAGGTTGCCCCCTTTGGTAAACTAACAGCGGATGAGGGGATTCTAGACAGGCTGCCACTAAAACGTCTTCAAAAAGGGGTGACTAGTGGACGCGGACAACCCCGAGCCCAATTCATGAGCATTGACGGCTTCTTGCTCGGTTGCTCGGTGGTAGACATTCAAATCCAACAGGTTAAATACACATTAACTACGCAATCCAACAGGTTAACAAGGGACCACTCAAATACAAAAAAAGAAACGGGCCTCGGAGATCGGCGCTGAAGCGAGTCAAATTTTTATGGGAACGCGGCCACATGCCCTAGGTCCTCCAGATTTGAGAGGTTAGAATAAGTTGGTACCAACTTTTTTCTGTATAGTCTATTGTAGGGGAACCCTCCCAACCAAAAAAGGGCAAACGGGCACTACTGGGAGACCTAGGTAGGGTCCTACAGATCAATGGGAAGTCAAGATACCCTCGAAAGACTAAACCATACCCTATTTTAGTAGGGGGGTGTCCCTCCCAACCAAAAAAGGAACGGGCAGTGCAAGGGCACCAATTGCTGGGTCCCCGACCCGGCCATATGACCCAAGAGCCCGTCCTGAGCCTTCCGTTGCTTCGTTGGGCTCCTGGCGTGAGTCGGAGGCCAACGCATTGGCTCAAGCCAGAAGATTCCAAGACGCAAACAAGCGAAGGACACGCAACAAAAAACACCCAGCAGCGGCTCGGACTCCAAAAACGCAACAACAAAAAGGTCGTCCAAAGGGTACGTAAATGCAACCGGCAGATTCCAACTCAAACTCAAAAAAAGACAAAAAGCTGCGAGCGAAAGCCTTCCGGGTTGGGACCTGCGAGACCCGAGATTTTGGCGTCGGGCTCCATGCGAAATTTCCCCATGTAAAGACTAGAAGGCGAGCTGAGGGAGCGTGAACTTATGCGGTTATGGGACAAGTTGTAAGCCCCTTTGGCCATGGACGGTCTATGGGGTCTATGGGGAGGTCGCCCTTGGGCTTATCCAGGGATAGCCCCCCCCTTACCCCCCAAAGCCTTAGGGGTCCGTGAAATGAAGTGAGTCTTTCCATGCCCCTCCCAAATTGGCCATACTGAGCTTCACGTGGGCAATTGGATTCTCCAACTCTCTCTGATCAATGGTTTCGCTTCAGGCAACTGCAGATCCGAGCTGTTTTACGTGGGGTCTTCATCACCTGAACCACTCTTGTAATGTTGGGCCCGGTCCATTTGCCCCTTAAACATATGGCCATGGGTCAAAAGCCCGGTTCTCCCCCAGTGAACATCCCAATCCAACCACTAAACTAGGTTCTAAAATGGGTGGTTGACCTACCCCAAAATGGGATCTTATTGGTTTTGACCCACAGCCATATCTTTAACAAAAGGAGTTCACTCCAAATTGGTCCAACAGGTTATGTCTCTTCGATTCTCCTTTTCGCTTTCTTTGAGACATCCCGACGGTAGCGTCCCCTAACACCATCTCAACAGTCGCTTCCCCTTTGCGACGCATCCCAAGAGTGGTGCCCGCCCCCCCTCCCCCCAAAAAAAAGAGGCACATCTCACAAGCTGGGTTCGATCGAAAAAGAAAAAAAGACACAAACAACAAAGACAGTTCAGTTGAACAACTCATCCGAAGAGTTGGTTCCCTTGAATTACCAACTAAAACATAGCCGACCGGTGGCTTCCCTTATTGCATCCAACCAAAAAATACCAGCCCAAATTCTAACTATCTTCTAATCATGGGCCTCTTCTAGCAAACTGACCACATAAATCGGCTGGTAACCTAGGTACAGCAACAACCCACTTCTAAGTCCACTGTTCAGCGGGGTTTAACTTGTTGTCAGGAGGTTCTAACCCAAGTGGCTAACCACTTGCTGACTTGCCAACGACCATCCACGCAATCAACATCCCACTTAGGTTATAGTTTGTATCGGTAGTTTATCAACAAATGGTTTGCTTTGCATTTGATTCTTGGCCACAATTAAAAGTAGCTCAGTTGCCCAACGGACCAAGAAATGAAATTGTGATCACCTTTTAAGGCCATGACTCAAAATGGACCAAACAGAAAGCAACAGGTCAAAAGGTCGATTCGCTTTGGGCAAAATGCCAGTAGTTGCTCTCAGAGTGGATTGGCCAAGTCCGAATTGTTTGTTTACCGCCAAAACGGTCCAAACCCACAAAGTGAGCACAGTCCACGAACTCAGGAAGTGAGTTATGGTCCTTATCCTCCATTTGCTTCAGAGTCTCCTAAATGAAAAACATATCCAGTCGTGGTAGATTCCTTTTGAAACCAACCGAATCAAAAAAACGTGTAAAAGGAATCTACCACCATTGGAAGTAATTTCCAACCTTCTAGCAAGCAACTAGGTCCTCCAGTAGAGAGGTTAGAATAAGGGTACTCTTTCTTGTAGTCTATTTTAGTAGGGGACCCCTCCCAGCCAAAAAAGGAACGGTAAAAGGGCACTACTGGGGGACCTAGCCAACCTCTAAAACCAACACCCACCTCATCCTATTTATAAATACGCATCCTATAACTACCATTGGAAGTCAAAAAACAACAACCTTCTAGTAACCGACACCTACAATCTACCAACACCAACCTCATAGCAACCTCTCCCCCCCCACAACCATCGCCCCAGACTCCTTGTCCAGCAGCCTGGGCCCTAGCAGCGCGATGAGCGCGGCTCCCGGGGGCGCTGTCACCAGGATACACCTCAGTGATACACCGCGCCAGTGGTATCTCCGAGCATACACGTCCCATTTGTTTGTCTTTTTGTGGTTTCAAAAGGAACATCTCCATTGTTCGTGTACTCTTTTTTTTTTGGGGGGGGGTCGTATCACTGTTTAACCACTTTTGAACCAATAATCAATAGATAGAGGGAATGTATCCAAGTTGCCCAAAGTGGTTTGGGGGTGATGCGATTTAGAAACATGCCGGGAGTTGTCAAATTAGCTCACCCTTTCTCTTGATGGCTGGCGAGACCCCTCGTCTCGCAAGAGTTGAGCACTTTGCGTGGGTTCAACTCGGAAAACCCTTGATTTCCCAAAAAGCTAAAGTATAAAGATCCAACCCAATAACAAACAAGTTTGGGAAATCTTTTTGTGCTTTTAAGGAAAACCACAACTTGTTGGGGGTCCTCTAACAAAAACGCATGCGGGGAGTGGGTAAACGCGATAATTGGGGCGTGTCTTGTTTTAAGGAGACCCTTTCTTTTGTGCTTTCAAGGCAAACCTCTTTCTTTTCTTTTTTTTGGGGGGGTCCCTCAACAAAGACACAAATCACAACCATTCTTGATGTTTTAAATGCCAGTTATCCCAGCCAAGGTACGCAAATGGGGAAAATGTATGGGGAAAGGTCCTCTAATAGTACCCCCCCCCCCCCTCCCAAACATTATCAATGGGCTATGCGACGGTGATGTCTCAGAAACCTGTTTCTCGGTGAGTATATCAGCTGCTCAACACATTCGTATGACATTCTCTTGTCATACACCTATCATGTTTTCCAAGCTACAATACTGTGGATGGACGAAATCCTGCACCACTTCGACACCATGGGAAGCCAGTATTTGTCGGTATTTATAGGGGAATCATCAGAAACCAGCGTTTCTTAGGCGGTGCAGGATTTCGTCCATCCACGGTATGACATGACAAACACTTTCAATACTCCGCACGTTCCTATGCTCTGCCCAAACGACCGAAATCTGTCTATATGGACGGATGAATATATTCGCCCACGTGAAACCCACTTGGCAAATGGCTTCGCGAAGCATTACTTGTGGCTTCAGTATGGAAACTAGCCACCTAAGGAAAGAGGATCGACTGTGGTATACAGTCAGGCGTTCATGAGTGTTTTTCGAGGCCACCTTTTTCAGCGATCAACGGAAACCCACCAGAAAAACGCGGTGGTTTCTGTCTTTTGTTTCAGGGGGGGGACCTCCAAAAAATAGCCCCTAAACCCTTTGATTAAGCCCCTGGAAGACCTATGTCCAGTAGTGATAGATTCCCATGAACGCCAAGAAGGGAACATAGAGAATAACTAGGTCCTCCAGATTTGAGAGGTTAGAATAAGTTGGTACCACCTTTCTTCTGTAGTCTATCTTAGCGGAACCCTCCCTACTAAAAAAAAAGAAGCAGTGAAAGTTGGCACCAATTGCTGGGGGACGTAGATGACTCATTTCAGATGGAGGTGTTCAAATGATCCAAGGAGTCTGAAGTTCCCTGCCGCGGCGCAGCACTGCCACGGCCAGCAGCTGCTTGGCCATCCTCGGCATGGCCACGGGCAAAAAGGCTGTGGGTCAAACCCAGCAAACCCCCGGTGAACATCGAAATAGGTGGCAAATGGATGTTCATCCACCCCAAAATGGCTTGCCATAGGTTGTGCAACCCATGGCCAAATGAGTGATTCGACCCGAATCCAGCTCATGAGTCTGCCTTCAGCTAGCTGTAAGCCAATGCTTGCCTTGACCAACCCTCAAGCAACCTTGAACCAACCCTGAACCCGTCGCCCAGCCCCAACCACCCCCGCGCCATCTCCTCGCGCCTGGAACCGCATAGTCCAGTGTCTTTTGAACATTCCGCCCCTTTTCCTGGGCTTTACAGGCAAAACAGCAAAAGAAAGACCTCCGAAAACCCGGCCATTTCCGGGGAAACCCGGGTCACCACTGTCTTTTGACAGTTTCCCCCCCTTTTCCTCCTGGGTTTTACAGCGCAACCAAACACGGAAGACCAAAAAACTCGGCCATTTTCGGGGAAGCCCCACTTCTCATGGCTCTAAAGCACCTATTTGAGCGCCTGTTGAAAATACCCCGCTTCTTTGTAGCTTTACAGCCCCTGGGCCCCCGCGCTGCAGCTCCCGCGCGCCGCCGCCGAGTTCCCCGCCGCCGCGCGCGGCCTCGACGCGGTCCAGCGCCAGGCCGCCGATGGCGGCCTGCACTGTGGCCTTGGGCATCCAGGCCGCTGCGGTGAAGAGCTTCTCCTAAATACTCGACGTCACAAAACGCGCCATGGCGCCATGGCAACAAGCTGACGCGTGAGTTTTCGCTCACGGCGTGAGCGAAGTGACCATGAGCTTGGCAACGAAAAGAACATCGCCATGGCTGGGGGCAAAAAATGCCGGCGTTGTGTTTCCTTTGCACCTCCTACAACAAACGAGCAGCACCCCCCCCTCAAACAAAAAGAAAAGAACAAACCACTGGCTGCTTCTTCTTCTTCTTCTTCTTCTTCTTTTTTTATCCCGGCCCCGTCTAAGAATGGCTATGACACAAAAACGCGCCATGGCGCCATGGCTTGGCAGCGAACTGACGGGTTTTGTCTTCTTGCAGCCCCCCACTACAAATGAACAGAAGCAACAACAAAATGCTTAAACACGCCATAGCTTGGGATGGGCGAAATCCATTTCGCACCTTCAGAAACCTTGGGATAAGGTTCTTCCTGTAAATGCCAAGAAATACCAGGTCCTCCAGTACAGTACAGAGGTTCCAAAAAGGGTACACTTTCTTGTGTAGTCTAGTTTTTCATTAGGGGAACCCTCCCCAAAAAAGAAAGGGTAAAAGGGCACTACTGGGGGACATAGAATAAGAGTTGCAACCATGGTTTCAAAGCGGTGCAGACCTTCTTCCATCCGTGAAACTTGACTTCACAACAACCAACTTGCGATCGCTGAAATTTGTAAGGGAATGAGACATGGAAGGAACCGGTTTGGGATTCCCCCAAAACGGAAACCACGAGTGGGATGTTTTTTCTTGGGGTCCTGAGCCATTTCTCATTCCCTGAGAACCAGCAAGGCCAGGGCCGGGCAAAAGCCAACTGAAACATTCTGGGCTGTCCTCAGATCCCCCGCTAAAAGTGACTAACTTTTAGTGGGTTGAATGGACATCCCCACTAAAAAGCTAAAACCTAAGGGGATGGCTGGGAACCACCAAGTTTTTGCTTTTGTTTGCAGGCGCGTGCGAAACATGAACAGAGCCAACAAAAACATGAACTAGGTCCTCCAGTAGAGAGGTTAGAATAAGGGTACCCGTACCTATTTTTTTCTGTAGTCTATTTTAGTAGGGGAACCCTCCCCCAAAAAAAGGGTAAAAGGGCCCTACTGGGGGACCTAGGTAAAACAAAAAACAACAACAAGCAACTTGCCAAGAACAGTGAAGGTGAGTCGCTCACAGAAAAGACGATCCCTCCCTAAAGATGGTAAACCAAAAAACAACACCACACCAAAACCAGACCGACAGCTCGAGGTCGGCTTTGCCTTCAGCTGTGACTCAGATCGGGGAATTGAGTCGGAATGAATTCGATCTGATCCAACCGTTGGCTTCCGTTCAGGTGATTTTCTGGTTTTCCCAACCCCCTCATTCCACAAGGCGAGTCAGGTTCTAAACCTGTTTCCTTTTGGCTATGGGCCTCCCAAAAAGACTCCCCTGCAATCCCAATAGGGGTAAATAGCACCTACAAGTGTCTATTGGGCCAAGAGGTAAACTACAAACATGGTTTTGAGGTTGCCACAAAAGGTGGGGAGTCACAACTAAAACCATTTTGGCATCACTCACCTCATATTGGGTGTCCCTTTGCATTGCATACTTTGGATGGACAACATCCACTTTGCATTAGTTGGGTGGTTTATCCCCACTGATCCATGTTGTGTTCCATGCATGTACAGTCTGAAACCACACCAAGGGAGCCCAGGGGTATGAAAGGAGTCTACCTCGCTACATGTAGAGTCAAACCAACATCTGGTATAAAAACGAGTCTATCAGGTTCCGCAAACGGATCACGGTTTGAGGGTCCAGGTACTCCAAATAGCTAGCTTTTGGAGGGTACGATGTCAACCTCTGACTCAAAAAGGAGTCATTCGCAAGGATCCCCTTTTCCAGTCTGAAGTAGTGGATCAAAGGAAAGCACCGCCGCTCGACTTTGATGACCCCCGGCAGCCAAATTGATGAACCCGAAATTGGATCCCCAATCAGACCCAAGAAGGATAATACCCAAACCCAACACAGGCAGTTGCCTCACCCCGGGTCGCCAAACGCATGGAAAATAGCTGGCCCCATGATTGCACCACCAGGTAAGCCAGTCCCCTCCATTTTTTAAGCCGAGCAACCTATGGCCCCAAACGCCTCCGGATCGGCCCTATGATCGAACCACCAGCTAAGCCAGGGCCCCTCCATTTTTTCAGCCAACCCACCAAAAAGGATCTGATTTTTCAGCCAACCAAAAAAATAAACACCTCTGATTCCCCACCTCTCGCCCCAAAACGCCTCCGGATCTCATTGATCCATCGCTCGGTCTCCTCCCGCCGCAGGCCGCGGCCGCTGAGCGCCAGCTGCACCGCAGCCGCGCGAGCCGCGCCCGCGGCGGCGATGATCGCCAGGCCGCTGCCCAGCGTCTGCGAGTCCAAGGCCTCCGCCTGAGGCGAGCCGAAGCGGAGGTCCTCACAAAGAAGCCCCATGGCCGGGCAACAAAAACGGCGTGGTGTTTTTTGCACCTACGAAACATGAACAGAACCCCAAAAAACAGAGAAAACAACCCCCCCCCCAAAAAAAAACGCCCTTTTCGGCACCAAAGCCATGGCTTGGAACCAAACAACTGACCGTCCTGACAACCAACAAAAAACTCATGGCGCGTTTGGGGGCAAAAAAAAACGGCTGAAACGTGGTGTGCCGTTTTGTCCCTGTTGTTGACCCTAACGGCATGGCTTGGAACGAAAAGCTGACCGCCCCCGTAACGAAAAATGAGAACAGAACGAAACATTGTTTTAAAGCCAAGACCAGTGAAGCAGCATTCGGCCAAAAGCAAAGGGTCCGTCAGGTACCCCACTAAAAGATGACCGCTGGATTGAGTTAGGGGAACCTTTATCAAATCAAAGTTGAACAACAAAGTCCTTGCCACTGTGCAAGTGGCACCAGATTTGCGGTGGGTTTGGTTCAAGGGGATTCGTCAACAGATTCCTGACACCTGCCTCGGATTTTGATTAAATACCAGCCACACATTGAATATCAGGCACAATGTAAAAGGATCATACTGGACATAGCTGAAGCTTTAGTTTTTAACGGGATATGGAAACTGGACAGCCAAATACGCTCGAAAGTGGGTCTAACAAACCTAAAACTGAAACCACCGATGCACATCTCCAAATGGGGATGTCTTTTGTTTTGATCCGCACGCGACAACCAACAGATTGTTAAAATCGTCGAGAGAACCAACAAATGGTTCAAACCAGACCTTTCAGGCGTCTAAAACTGTCAAGACCAGAAAACAGATCATCATATGCGTGGATGCAAATAACACCCTGGGTCTGTTTGGGGGGAACATAAAATACAAACGAAACAGCCAAGTCCACTGTGAAGGAAACACAAAGGAAGCCAGAAGGTTGTCAAAAACAAGCAGACGATGAAAGAAGAGTAAAACACTTGGAACCTGTATGGCAAGGAAGAGCAACTCGTCTACAATGCCATGATACACATTCTACAAGAACGCTTCTAGCCAGAAAGCAAAAACAAACAACATAGTAACGGAGCATCCGTGCGTAAAGCCTTTTTGGGGAGATCTAAAAGTGCTCGGGACAGGCAGATCCCCTTTTGACACAGTAGGGTACTGGAAGGAACTAAACCGGGAAACCGCCTCCAAGCCACTTGGAGTTGATCGGTAGCATGGTGCGGTGTGTCGGACCCAACCCTTAATACCGACAGGGAAACAGAAGCACAACCCAGGGCCCATGATTAGAAAGTTCTTTGGAGCCCAAACACCCTGCCATTCACCGTGGTTTCCATCTTTCCCTGTAATACATGTACGAAAGATGTATAAAATCCTTCTCTTGGCAATCACTATAGCTCACTGGACAAGAAGCCCCCAATAACAACCAAATCGGTTCAGCCTTCTGAAAGAGGCTCTTGGGTTCTCTTCGAACACGGCTTTGAGACTTTTTCGTTGATGGCTTGGAAGGAACACCTTCGGGGATGTTGGAAGGCTTGCCCCGTTTGGAGACAAACCCACCCCAAAATGAGGCGCTTTAGTGAGGCTCACTTCCTGAGTGGATCGGCCAAACTGTTCATTCAACACGAACTGATCTTGGCGAAAGGGTCCTGCAAAAGGGTCAGCAGGAGGTTTCTCCACATAGACACGCTTGCTTCGGTTTGCTTTCCCAAAAAAACCAGGGGTACCTTCCATTTCCATTCTTTTCAGGCATGCTTCTTTCTAAAAAAAACACCCAACACCCTGGTTGAAGCAGCTGCTTTTTTGAAAAGAACGATGGTTGAAAAGAATGGAAAAGGAATCAACCCCTAGAAACAAGTTTTGTTGTCCATGAGCTCAAGAAGTGAGGTGGAACCCGTCGCTGGAGGTTTGGGCAAACGCATGGCACCCGGCGTGCCGAGGCGCTACCACGGAAGCCCCCACCAGGCTGAAGAGCAGTGGCTGCGCCACACTGGGCCGAAGAGAACGACTTCACATTTGGAACTACCGCTAACAAGTGCCTAAGTAATCTAGAGCAGGGTTTTCGGGTGATTCTAATCCAGATTCTGCCATGATTATAGGAAGCTGCTAGTAATTTGTTGAGGCCCTTATGTTGCAAGGTACGTACCCATTTTTGGTGGGTGTGGAGGGAAACCCAAATCACACCAGCCTTTCTTCGTTTTTTTTTGGGGGGGGTATCCTATTTCAATTTAAGGGGACCCACCAAACTTGTGGTTGTCTTTTTGGGTTCCCTTCAAACACGGCAACACAGGGGTACCGACAAGAAAAGACCCCCCCCCCCGTTCTACTTGACATACCCATTTCCTATTCTTCCATTTACTTTTTCGCACCCCGGAAAAAATGAGTAAATATGCCCAGTAGCGATAGGTTCCAACTTTGCAACCAACAAGGAAACCTAAAAAGAAAGAAAACACCACCCATGTCACATTCCTTTCAATTTCCATTTTTCATTTCCGGACCCCGCCCGGGCGGCAGGGCCGAAGCGCAGGCCGCGCCTGGTCCACAGCTTGGCGACGACAGCGGCCACCGGTTTGGCCGCCGGGCCCCAGCCTGTAGACAGCTTCATTTGGCCATGGGTCAAAATGTGTATGGGTCAAATTTTAACCACCAGGGACCGCAGGTTTTAGTCCTTGGTTCCATTTACCAGGGCACCCATTTTTGACCCACAGCCAAAGCGAAAAAGTCAACTTGCCAGTGCTCGGGGAATGAAGGAATGCACCCAGGCTTTGGTCCCCTTAAAGGAAACCACGAGGCTGGTTAGGGGTCATTGCATTTCTCATTCCCTGCATATGGCCATGGGTCAAAATCCAAATCGTAGTCCCAGTGAACATCCCAATCCAACCACTAAAACAGGTTCTAAAATGGGTGGTGCACCTACCAACCAAAATGGTATCCCCAAACGGTTTTGACCCACCCATTGTTAAGTGAAACCTGTGCCGCCAGTTTGGACCCAGGTGCCTCGTAACGTGGATGCCGTTTGAAGGGGCCCCGGAAAATTTTGACAACCCCTTCGAGAGTCCTCAAGTGCTTTGAGGTTCTTTTTGAACTCCTTCCAAATGGTTGGCTTCGCGATTTCCCTTGAAACTGGGGTGGGGGTCCCCTGACTGGCTAAAAATAGGCGGGTCCATAACAAAAAAACATGCAACCATCCCGTGTTGCCTTCCCTTTGGCGAAATCAAGCAGTCCATGGACGATTCGGGGCCCTAACTCTCCAACCCTGAAACACGAGATATTGAAGTGCTATGAAGCAGGGATCCTTACATTATACACCTGAACATTGCCTTGTAAATGGTGCGTTCCCTTTATTTTGGTGGAAAAAGCAACATGTTTCAAATGGGCAAAATGTATCTTTTAAGGAGCCCTGTGAAGTGCTTCCCCATTTTGGGCTTGCGGGTCTCCAGCTCCCCTTTCCCTCGGCCTCCACTCGTGGAAGATCCCCCGCCTCTTGCACACCCGGCGCCCAGCACCAAGACCGCCAGTGCCGCCGCGCCCGAGAAGCCCGCCTCTCGCCAAAAGACAAAGCAGTCGCCGGTGGGGTACCGATTCATCTCTACTTGCGGCATGGGAGCGAAAAAAAAACTTTTTGTTTTTTGCAGACCCCCGGTAAAACTGAACAGAACCAAAAAACCAAAAAACTAAAAAAACATGCCAAGAGCAGTGAAGGATTGCTGGTAAGCAATATGTTTTTTGAGTGTCCACTTAGGAAGTAAGTTTTTGGGCATGTCCCATTGACTTGCTGGATCTGCAGGGAATGAGAGACGGAAAGACCCCGAGATAATCCATGCCCTATGGTATGCCCTTCCGGTTCATTACCACCCGGAAGGTCATTCCCTATCGCACCAGCAGGTTTAGATTATTCTAGGGGTGCCTTCCATTTCCATTCCTTCCAGGGATCCGGATCTTTCTATTCATCATCCAGAGGACACAACCTTTTTTCTGGGGGTACCTTCCATGTCCATTCTTTCCAGGGATCCGGATCTTTCCAAAAAACCTCAAAAAACCCGGGGCCAACGGTGGGTTTTTGAAAAGAACGATGGCTGAAAAGAATGGGGAATCAAACCCTAGAGGTCTGCGCAGCTTTCGACCTGTTCGCTTTCCTTCAGTGGGGCTTTGGGTAGACCTCTTCTCTACCAGAACTGCTGGTTCTCAGCAACAAATGAGGGAAGGCACATCTAGAAACATGCCCCTATAGTGTCCTTTGAGGGAATTTCTGGGTTCGTTCTCAACACCTTGGGTCATTCCCTCAGTAGCAACAAGCTTTGGGCTCAAGTGCGGGTGGCCTTTCCGGAGAGGCTCCCACCATTTTTGGGCTTCAGATTGAGACCTTTCGGTCGAAGGATTCAATCCATAGGCCTCGCTATGAGGCCAGGTTCGGCAGGTAGAACTCCCTCTCACTTCCGATCGAGTGGACTGGCCAAAGAAAGCTCAACCAAACTTTTATCGTCTTCTCATTTAAACCACTCAAATGGTCATGGGTCAAAATCCCATACCCCCAGTGAACATCCCAATCCCCACTCAAATGGACTAAAACGGGTGGTGCACCTACTCCAAAATGGGATCCCAAAACGGTTTGACCCACGGCCAAGTCGCAGCCAACCCCCAAAAGTGGCATTTCAGTTCGAAGCGGAACTCGGGGAGCGAGCCGTACAAATCGCCCACCGAGCTTTCGAGCGCGAAACTTTTTCAGCGCGGCCTCGCGCAAGCCGAAGGCGGCAGCCAAGGCGCCCCCCAGCAGCAACAGCAGCCGGGTCTCCGTTGCCTCGGCCTCGACAATACGTGGTGAGAGGCGCTGTTTCCCGGCATCTAGAAAAGGCATCTTCCATGATCTTCCCATGCTTGCTTCGAAACTTCCTGGGGAACTCATGATCTTCCTGTGTTTGCTCGTAATAGTCTTTGGGGAAGCCTTCTCAATCATCTTCCTGACGCTTGCTTGTCAATCTCGGGGAACCCTTTGCAATCACAGTTTCGAGTTAACTCTGTTCAACCAACTTCCTGACTGAGTGGATGGGCCAAAATAAGTAACCCAACTTGTTGGTTGCCACAAAAACGATCCGTCTTCCCCAAAAAGTGACTCAAGTCGCCGGGGAAGTTGTCCCAAGATCGAGCTGGCGCCTTCTCCGCTGCCTCGGGCGTCAGAAGCACCACCAGCGCCTCAGAAAGCGCCAGACATCGCGCGCTGTCCCGAAACAGAACCAACCACTCATCACAAACAAAAAAAACCACTTGCGGTACCCCCCAAAATACCAGCAAGCTGGGTTTCTTTACATTACATCAAGTCAGCCACATTTGGCCTACCCCCAAAATAGCAATCAAGACCCAAGCGCCCCAAAAGCACATCTGGGGTCTACCCCCCCAACATGCCAAAAATCAAAAAACGACAATCAAGACCCAACCCGGAAAAAAACCAAAACATTTGGTCTACCCCAACATACCAAAAACGACTAACGACAACCCCTAAGCACATTTGGGGAACCCCCCCCCCAACATACCAAACACGAAAACGTAGCAATCAAGACCCAACCCCCTGCAAAAAGAAAGAAACATTTGGTCTATACCAAGCAACCCCTAAGCACATTTGGGGTCTACCCCCCCAACATACCAAATACCAAACAACCCCTGGGCTTGTTTGCATCGAGCGGTGCTCCCTTTGCGCTTTCCGGCGAATCGTCTCGTCCAAGGCTCGGCGCCCAACAGGCCGGAGCCTCGGAGATTTTTCTGCGCTGTGGGGATCTTGGGGTTCTCACATTTGGAGCTGAAAGGGGGGTTTCCCTTGGCATCAAAAAGGAGGGCACCACTTTTTTCTGTGACGGCCTTTGTTGCGCCGGTCTCTTTCTCGGGGTACCTTCCATTTCCATTCCAGGGATCCGGATCTTAGAACATCTCCGGAAACTGAGGGAAAACGGATCCGGCTTTCGGAAAGAACGATGGCTGAAAAGAATTCGGCCATCAACTGCAAGGTTTTTAGGTGGCCGCAACCACGGGTCCTTCTCTTCCCAAGCGACCTGAGTTCCCGAGTTCCGGAAATCTCAGGCGGTGAGGCTCTGAATGAGCTGTGTCATGAGGACACAAATCGACATCTACCCCAAAAAGACGACGCCACAGTGAGGCTTTAGGTTGTCCTCTGGGAGGTTTTTTAGGGCCATGAAGTGGGGGATCCATGAGTTGGGCTTCAAACTTTCAGATGCAAACAGAAAACACCACCAGCTCGACTTCCATTTGTTGCGTCTGTTACGTTTACCTGAGTAGATTTTGCGGCACCGGCCGCCAGCCCTGGGGGCTTGACAGTTGAGCTTCCGAAAAGGAGTCCCAGCAAATAATATGAAACCTGACAGGGGAGTTTTGGACGACCATATCCCTTTTGAAGCGGGAGGGTAGCCGCCTGGGTAGTGCCTGGACATTTACTCAGCTGGGCCAACAAAGCCGGGACAGGGTAAGCCATCTTGACTTTGGGGAATAACCACATGGATATGTATCAAAATAGGTGACCCGACAAATTATGGTCGTCCTTTTCGTTGCCCTTTAAGCCCACCTTTAAAATTGGGCACCCTCAAAAGCACACACCCATCGTGGTTAAGGTGACACTCACCCACCCAACCAAAGAATACTTTAAAGGATGGAATCTCCTGAGCAACTGGGCAACTCCTTTCCAAACCCATTCTCTTGAACTGTGCGCCTAAGATCAGCTGGAGCCCAACAACTGAACAACTGGGTTTGGAAAGCCACAGAGCCATCAAGCCATGCCCCCTTTTAACCAAGCTCCCCCAGAAATGAACAAATGGTTCTCCGCAAGCTACGAAAAGATCATGCCCCCGACCCACGAATGGCCATAGAAATTTCTCCACCTTGGGGGCCGTTGGAGCTGCTTCTAGGCGAGTTCGGGTATCTAGCAGGCTCGCTGGCTCCGGCATAAGCGGCCAAAGGCCGCTGACAGCTTTCTTTGCTCAAGCCCTCTGAGCCTCTCTCTCTCTCTCTCTCTGCTTTTGCAAGCGGTTCTCGTTGTCTCTTTCGCTTTCCTTCTTTCTCTTTCCGTCTTTCTTTCTCTTTCCTGGCAACTCTCTATCTAAGGACTTCCAGACATCAAATCCTTCATCTAAAACGACTGGTAGCTTAAGGGAACCATCTTGTGGTTTCCGGCGAGTCCGACCGACCGCTCCGTGGTGCCGCTCGGTCCCCCACTTTCCATCAAAACGGTTTTCGCTGTTCTCACCAAGCTCATTTGGCTGTGGGTCAAACCGTTTTGGGATCCCATTTTGGTTGGTAGGTGAATTCACCACCCATTGTAGTCTATTTTACTGGGGATTGAATCGGATGTTCACTGGGGGATAACCGGGATTTTGACCCGTGGCCATTTGTCCTAAAAACATGTTCAGGATTAGGTGGGGCGTTTTAAAGTTAAAGGGGCCGGATTAGACATACCAGAACATATTATCCGTGACACAAAAAACCAGCAGGGAAGCCTCCCAACTTTGCGGTTTCTTGTTGGTTTCAACTGATTTAAGCCTGACATCCACGAGTTTCTCTCAAAATCCACCCCCCCTCTCATCATCGCCCTCCCCCCAAAAAAGCAATTACACCAGCGTAGACCCCAGATAGCACATCGCGGCTACGAACCATTATGCAGCATCATCATGGTTCCCGAGGCATCATGATGATGTTGACAGCATCATGATGATGTTGAAAGCATCACGCACAGCCACTCAGCATGTGCGCTAAATAGACACGAAGACAGCGTCCTAATGAGTTCAGCAGCAAAAATGATGATGTTGACAGCATCATGCTGATGCACCAGCAACGAACGATCCCGCGCCACATATCTAGCAGAAAAAAGGCAGAGACGACGTCCTGATGAGTTCGACAGCATCATGATGATGCGGACAGCATCACGATCATGCGGACAGCACCACCATGATGCGGACAGCATCATGGTGATGCGAACAGCATCATGGTAATGGTAAAATTGAAAAGGCAGCATGATGATACCACAGCCACGAATCTTCTCGCGACAGCGTAGTGAAATTCAGCATAATCCTGATGTTGGCAGCAATCATGGCGCCACCACACCCACGAACCATAACGCAGCATCGCAGCATCGCAGTGACAGCAGCATCATGACGCGGGTGACAACATCATGATGACACACCAGCCACGAACCACGCACCGTGACAAACGACTGTTAGACTACTAGAGCAGCAACAACGTCCGAACCGGTTCAACACCCTGCCGTCCATATGCGCCCACACCGTCACCAACACCTCAAGACAGCAGCCCCAACAGCACCCCAACGCAGCACCCACACCAGCATTGAACAGCTCCCCGAGCACCAAGCACCTTGCCGTCACGTACTGTCACCAGCCCGAACAGCACCTCAAAACTGTACCTGCGCCAGCGCCCCAAAGTGCATGCCCCCTAGCTCCCAACCGTCGATCTTGCAACACAATCCCACTTCTTCATTAGAAGTTAGAACCCCGGCAACCCAACACAGCAGTTGCACCACCACCCCAAACTGCGTCAAGCTCGCAAAACAGCACCAGCACCCCGAACTACATCTGGCACCCGGCCGTCAATCTCGCAAAACAGCACCTCCACCAACACCCGAAACTGCATGCCCCTAGCACCCGGCCATCACTCTCGCAAAACAGGCAAACACTCTCGCAAAACAGCACCTCCACCAACACCCCAAACTGAATGCCTTTAGCACCCGGCCAACTCTCGCAAAACAGCACCTCCACTAGCACCCCAAACTGCATGCCCCCCAGCACCCGGCCGTCACTCTCGCAAAGCAACACCTCCACCAGCACCCACTGCATGCCCCGTAGCGCTCGGCCATCAATCTCGCAAAGCACCTTCACCAGCACGTCACACCTGGCACCCGGCCGTCAATCAGCACCTCCAGCATCACTGTCGCAGAACAGCACCTCCACTAGCACCCCAAACTGCATGCCCCCTAGCACCCGGCCATGCAAAACAGCACCTCCACCAACACCCCAAACTGCCTGCCCCCTAGCACCCGGCCATCACTCTCGCAAAACAGCACCTCCACTAGCAGCATGCCCTTTAGCACCCGGCCATCACTCTCGCAAAACAGCACCTCCACTAGCAGCATGCCCTTTAGCACCCGGCCATCACTCTCGCAAAACAGCACCTCCACCAACACCCCAAACTGCATGCCCCCTAGCACCCTGCCATCACTCACGCAAAACAGCACCTCCGCCAGCACCCCACTGCATGCCACCCGGCCGTCAATCTCGCAAAACAGCACCTCCACCAACACCCCAAACTGCATGCCCCCTAGCACCCGACCATCACTCTCGCAAAACAGCACCTCCACTACTAGCACCCCAAGCTGCATGCCCCCTGGCACCCGGCCGTCAAGCTCGCAAAGCAGCACCTCCACCAGCACCCCAAACTGCATGCCCCCTAGCACCCGGCCCTCAATCTCGCAAATCACTTTTCCTTTTTTATTAGAAGTTAGAACCCCTATAGCTTTCAGCTATCTGGGGAAAAACAAACAAACACAAACCGTTTCTTCCTTTTGCTTCTCCTCTACACCGACCCCCCCCCAAAAAAAACACACACACACACACACACACACTTTTCTTCCTTTGGTCTCCCTTTCAACCAACCCCCCAAGGAAAAAATCGAAACAAAACGTTTCTTCCTTTTGCTTCCCCTCTAAACCAACCCCCCCGAAAAAGAAAAAAAAACAGAAAACAGCAAAAGACAAAAAAACAACGTTGGTTCCTTTTGGGTTCCCCCTGGAACCAACGCCAAGAAAAAAATGAAAAAACAACAAGAACCACAAACACATATACACACACACACCAAAAAAAGAAGAAGCAAACAGAACCGACACCTCCGATGCGGCAAACTTTGGCTCGAGGCGCCGAGGCCTAGCACGAGCTCCAAGGGCGCCCGCGCGTAGCTGAGCCAAGAGCTCTCGAAGGCGGAGCCCAGGCAGATCCCGAAACCTCCAAAGTCAGCTGTGTCATAAACAGGGATCCTGACTTGGTTGCTGTTGACCCCCCTGCAACAAGTTTAACTTTTTGGGGGTTTAGTGGAAAACCCCTTGATTTCCCCAAAAGTTAAAGTCTAAAGATCCAACCCAATAGCAGTCAAGCTTACATTATACACCTGAACATTGCAACTTGTACATGGTGGTTCCCTTGATTTTGGTGGAACAAGCCAAGTTTCAAGTGGTTGCAAAACAAATTAAGGAGCCCTGATAAACCTTTTGTGTTTGGGTGAGTCTGGTTTTGGCGTTGGTGTTCGCTTTTGGTTTTTGGTCATAAACCTCCAAAGTCAAATGAGTCTGGTTTTTGCTTTTTTGGCTTGTTGGTGTTGGTGGGTACCCTTTTTGTAGTAAAAGGTTGAATCTCGCCATTCTCAGCGCTAAACAATGCTTCGGTTGAATCAACTTGGATGACCCCTTGAATGGGTTAATCCTTAGGTCATAAATTAGATGTTCCGCAGCTCATATGACCCCTACATCCTCAAATTAGGCGCCCCCACAACCAACTCATATCCCATTCAACTGCCACGTTCGGAACTCTTAAAAATTGCATCTCGCCCCATGGGGTGATGTTCCATTTCGGGTAGGGTGTCCTTTGGTCAATTTTTGCACCCGAGAGGATTTGTTAGAAGCATAGGTGTCCCTTTTAGGTTGGTTTGAATACAAACACAAACCGCTCACAAGTTTTCCAGCCGGGGTTTGGGCATCTTTCAGCGCGAAACACACCTCTCACGTCCTTGCAACGCTAAAGTCCCAGGATCCCACCAAACAGCCATAAAAGTCAGTGCCTTACATTTTGTCCACCCCCTCCAAACACTCCGTGGCTAAAAGTGACCGACCCTCTTGACTGGTTTGAACATTGCCTGTCGAAATAGGAAAGGCCCATCTGAGCCGAGCTTCCTTTCGCGCGAGAGGAAGGACCCCTTTGGAGGGTGGGTCCTTCTTAGATGGCTTCAAGGCTGATTCAGGCTCAGGCCGCCAACATTGGGAAACAAACCCATTCTTTACATCAGGGTTGTTCAAAAAGGGTACACCTTTCTTTTTTGTTGACCCATTGACCGGCCTCGTCTAAACATCATTGAACATCATCCACAAAGGAGCCTCATGTCAAATTCGCCTAGTGCACGATTGGCACGTAATGTGGATGTGTCTTGTTGGGAGCCACGTCTTTGGTTGATTTTACAGACCATTTTAGGGGGCCCCCACAAACGAAGGGTCATGCGGATTGCCTGAGGCTCCCACTGTTGTTGGCCCCCAGCCCAAGAACCGTTGGGGTTTTAGATTCCCTACCTAGAGGCTGGGGGGGGGGAAGGTTCAGTGGCCGCAACCACACTTGGTTTTTCAACGCGCTTGAGTAGTTAGAAAGGGCCTTAACGTCTTCGTTGTCCTTTTGATCGGTGAGTTTAATTACAAATAGGTTCCACTGGTGTAGAAATTGGTTTTGTGCCATCCATTTACCAGGGAAATCCATCGGAATTTGTCCAAAAGGACACCTATGGCACTAACCGCCACCACGGTTGAACACCCAATTGCAACAGGAGCCGTAATCCCCACTGCACCACTCTCTTCAAGCAGTGCGGCGAATGCCCCCTGCACCACAAGTCTATAATTTTCGCAGGTCAGTGGGAAAAACGAGGGAAGGTTAAGTTAAAGACTAACCTGGGGGAAAACTCTTTGGGAAAAACTTGTTGGTTTCGCAGGTATATGTCCCCGAATGGGACCTGTTGGCTCCAAGTGAGAGAAGCCGCCGGCCATCCTCCGAAGGGCAGCGGCTCCTTTTCTGAGAACCCAAAGTCAACACGTCTTGAGCAAAACCAATGGTACCAGTTTGGGTGGATTGGGTGAATTCACCCATTTCAGTGCCTATTTTAGTGGTTGGATTGGGATGTTCACTGGGGGATAACCGGGATTTTGACCCATGCCCATTTCTTGGCTGGAAGCAGGACCCCAGCAAAAAATATATATACATATATATATATACATATCTTTTTTGCCTGGTTGGTAGAAAACAAATTCGCAAAAAAGCAACAAATCCAAAGGGGAACCAATTATGGGGAAGTTTTGTTCTGCAAAGCGCAGGGGGCGGCCTGGATGGGAGGGGGCGCTCCGAACTCTCCCTCTCGCCTGCAATGGCCAAGACATCGTCCAGGGGGGCCGCTGCCACCACCATGGTGGGAATGCCCGTGCTCACGCCGTAGCCTTGCTCCTCTAACTAATTCGCTCGTGCCGACTTGGTTCTGCGAGGTCAAGGTGGGCTGGAGCATGGCCCCTACTAAGATGGCCACTAGGAGTCTTAGGCACTGCTCTTTTGGTGCTGGTGCATGGGGTTGTGGAACATGGGCAGCTTTCTGCAACGCCAAAGTGGGCCGTTGCCATGACTACAATACACACTTCAAAAAAACATCCCTAAAAACAGAGGTTTTGCGCCGCAAACACAATAGCTTTACATAACCATGGCTCGGTATTAACTTTTAGTGGTTTAATGGAAAACCTGTTAGTTGGCAAAAAGTTCAAGTCCTAACATCCAAACAAAAAATGCCCCAAAGATGGTGGGAGTAGCAATGCTTCACGCCACGTGCTTGCGCTGGTTTGTCTTTCCGCCACTTGTTTAATCAACCGAGGTAGCGCTTGCTCGCTGACTCTGCGGCATACATGTTCGGCCTGCTTCCTGAACTAGCTGCCCCAGCACTGGGGAAGCTCGCCTCTTTCTGTGGGCCATCACCAGTCTCGTTTCACCAGGGCATCTCAGCTGGGATTCCCCAAAGTCACCCTCACAAAATCCTCACAAATACCCACTTGTCATTGAGTATGAGAGCCCAACTTCCAACGCTCGTCTGGGTCTGTCTTGTCCTTTCGGGCTCCCCCCAAAATAGTGGTTTTCCCTGTGGTTTTCTTTCAAAGCCCACCAGAAGGGGGGAGACCCTTGCAGAATGAGCCACCTCATTTGCCTTTTGGAGTGCAATCTCCGATCTCTTTTCACCCGCTGGATCAAGAAGGATGAAGTTCTCCGTTGGGTCACCAAATTTCTTCCGACGCCGGCCTCGGGCCCTCCCCGTGAACCCTTACCTTTCCGGAGGGTTTGGAATGGACACCAAGGCAAACCCTGAACGGAGCTTTTGCAATGGTTCCGTAAAATACCTACAGGTTGAACCCAGCCTAAACACATTTCCAACCAAACCAACTCGCCATAAACCCACCTCAAAAACCGACCCGAAGCCCACCCCAAGCTACCTCAACCCGACCCCAAACCCTCCATTTACTTCCAGTCGTGATAGAATTCCTCTATAACCAACCGGGGAAATATGCAAATATTCTTTTCAGCAAATGCTTGGCTACCTCAACCCAACCCAAACCGCAACCCCAACCAATCCTGCAGCATCTTTCAGAAACCCTGGTGTCTGATTCGATTCCCCTGCAACAGTGCAATATAGCAACAAACAGTTTGTGTTTTCCCATCTCAACCCAGCCCCAACCACAAGTAGCATTTCAGCAAATACTTGGAATACATGGACCAAATAAGCCAAACATCGGGGAAAAAAAAAAAAAACACACTGGCCTACAGTCGGATTGTTTGGGTATGCCCTCAGATCCCTCGCCAAAAGTTAAACTTCTTGCGGGTTCAATACGGAAATCCAACCACTAAACACTAAAAAGGACCTAAAAAAGCTAAGGAAAACCGGACGGCTGGGAGCCAAATACCTCAACTGACGGGTTCCCAGTTCAAGGTTTCTTTAGTCGGCTCCTGCAGGGCCAGCAGCGATGGCACCACCACCGCCGGGGAGATGGCTGCCACCACAAAGCCCAACATCAGCGCCCAAATCGCCGGGAACTCCTGCGAGGTCGTGGTGCGCCCGGCTTTGTGATACAAACGTCTTCCCTCAAATGGCTGTGGGTCAAAAACAGGTACCCAAAATGGAACCCGCTAGATGGAACCAAGGACTAAACTCTGCGGTCCCCACGTGGTGTAGCTTTGACCCATACCCAAATCAGCCCCATCAAACAACTGTGATCATCCTATTCGCCCATGATCAAACTCGCACTGCTTTCCGATCGACTGGCGGGGGGCTCAGCTTCAACTTTGAACGGGGTGGGCATTACCCAGGGGTTGTGACCACGGTGATGCCTATGGTTATATCTGGAGGCTCTGTCTACAGACACAAGGGGGTTGCTGAGGCAAGGGGGTCGTCCGTTGGGTTAAGACCTCTGGAAATAAAAAAAACATTTTTTCCAGTGGTGATGAATTTGTTTTAAAACCAACAAGGCACAATAAAAACAAATACTCTTAAGCAAATGGAACCAAGGGGTTGTCACCATGAGAAAATGTCTATGGTTCTGTCTGGAGGTTCTGTCTATGGTTTTGACTGGGGTGTTCCAACGTCAGGTAGATCCCTCACAAGAAGGATGTCTTTGGAAGACCCTCTTTGGCTAAGTGTGTAAGATTACTCCTTAGATATTTAACCAAGTTAGTAAGGTTACAACTGGGCTACGACTGGGGAAACTGGCGCTAGTCCTCGTAAGATCCACTGTTGCAACCTACTTACTAAGCTTTCACACCCAGGCAAAGCGTCGTCTCCCCACCCGTCTTTTTCCAACTCCTTGTTTACTTGTTTAAGGTATTGGGTTTCAGGGTTCGGGTCTGCAGAATAGTTGAGGCATCCTCTCTACTGCCCGGACCATTCGGTTGGACAAACACTGAAGACAACTGATCCACATGTTTTCACACAAATACATGTCAATCAAAACCTGGTATTAGACTGGTTTACCCAAACAAATGTAAAGAACCAAACAGGCGGATTTTCACACCGATTTTCTGCTTGGGAGTGTACCTTCAACTACCCGGGTTCTGATTTGGGCTCACATGATGTTGAGTTTTGCGGAGAGCCCCCCACTCAGCTCAGAGTTCCATAGGGAGCACAAGTTTTGAGCTGACCCCAACCCCCCCCCCCCAAACAAATAAATAAATAAATAAATAAATAAATAAATAAATGAATGAATAAATAAAACACAAACACACACACACACACAAGGCCCCTGAAACTTCCCCTGCTTAACGGTCCATCAAGCCTTTTGTGGGGATCCTCTAAGACCAGCCACTAAACATGATCTTAATATTGACCCATCTGTCAAAGATCCCTCTCCGAAATTGAACATAGATTTTCGGACCTGGGGCAACAGAGGAAGGAGGGGCGGAGGTTTGCTTTGGGTGAGCTTAAATGGCTTTCTTGGAATACGGGAAGCCCCCCATTCCAAAAGAGGTGGACTTCCTTTTGGTTTGACTTAAAACCAATCCCCAAAAAGGTACTCGCAAAAAATGACGCACCCAAACGGGTTCTAACACACGGGGCTCCGGGATGCTACCTGGTTGTTTACTGGAACAGGGGAACCCGTGAAAGTCCCCCCGACTTGCGCCAATCCCTCAGCCTCCCTTAATCCTTAAGCGCCCAGAAGACAACCCATCAAGAAACCAAACACTATGAGGAGCCCTCCATTCCTGGAAAACACACACCGCCCACAAAAGTGTGATGTATCCAAATCGCCCTTCAACCATGAGACATAAGGTGTTTGAAGGGCAGCGAAAGCAACACAACCACCTGGCATGGTCTCTATTTTGGGAAACACCAAGAGTTGGAAGGTCACACATATTTCGCACATTTGGGCTCGTCTAAACATAGGGAACGCCCCAAAATGGCGGGCTCCCCTTTAGTCTATTTTTGATAAACCCCTGCAAAGACGGGGGGAACAAACTCAACAAAAAGCGACACCCATGATTGTTCTTCGCCGTTTGCGGCCACGATGACATAATTTCGCCGCAAAGGTACCAACAAAAACGGGATACCAACTCAAAAACACGCTGGACAAGGCGGTGCCATAGTTGTGGGAGGGTATCTGGAACGTACACTTCCCCTACAAGGGACTCTGTCAGGTGCCATGTTAGTGGGAGAACGGGTACCATTTCTCACTTCCAAAGTAGATAAGAAAAGTCCAAACAAGTTGGTCCCCCCCAAACAAAAGTCCAAGAACTCCGGACACGACATCAGAAGTAAGTTTCTTTCCCCCCTTCTCCCCCCCTTCGGTGTCCGTCCGGGAAAAAACAACTGGGCTGCCCTCAGATCCCCCGCCAAAAGCTTAGCTAGTGGTGGGACAACATGGATAATACTGTGGATGGACGACATCCTGCACCACCTAAGAAAGCCCGGAATGATGATTCCCCTGTAAATACCAACGAACAATGGCTTCCCATGGTTTCAAAGTGGTGCAGGATTTCGTCCATCCACAGTACCACTACACACTAAGAGGCAAAAAAGCTAAGGAAACGGATGGCTGGGAGCCACCAAGAAAAAAACACGCCGTCGACGGATCGGATTTTTTCCACATGAGAAGTTTCTTTCTCCCCCTCCCCCCCCAAAAAAACACAAAACAAAAACAAAAACGCCGTCGAGGATTTGTTCCGGCCGAAGAAAAACAAAAAAACAAGTCCAGCAGGAGGTGGGCCAGCGCTGCTGCCACCAGGGCCTCGCAAAGGCACGGCAAAGCTGCCAGGCGCAATGCCTCGAGTCGGAGATGCGGGGACTCGTTTTTGTTTGAACAAGAGCTCGGATTGTTTCTTCTTGCTTTCCTATCTTTTTTTTGAGAGGCAGTGTATTTTTTGTTGTTCTTGTTTCTTGAACATTTTTTTTGTGGGGTGGGTCAGGTGCTCATTGAAGCAGGATTTCCGCTTTTCCTTCTTTCTTTTTCTTTATCCTTTTTTTTTGGGGGGGGTGTCAGGTGTTCTCTCTTCGTGTGTTGTGATTGGGGAGGAGGGAAGGGGGGGGTGGCTGGAGAGGGGGAGTAAGTCATGATCCGATTTGTACCCTCCCGTCCATTCACATGAAATCTGACTGATGGATCCTGCAGGACTATTTTCTGGTTAAAGGGACCCTCGGGTGATCTTCCATGTTTTGTGGACAGGAGGTATTTTCCCCCGCAGCTGAAAGCTGCCCAAATAGGTTTTTGGGAGCCAGGGCTTGATATCCGGTTCCGAACCAATCCAAACCACCAATTCAGGGTTGCCTGATAGAGGGTACCGAAAGGAAATGCCCGACAAGTTGGACCGGACCAGAATTTGATGTTCCCCTACTATGTCATTGCTGGGAAAGGGAAAGACCCACGACTTCCATTTGCTTTTGCGCCCCCTAGAAACAATGATAACATATTTGCAGTAGTGATAGATTCCAACTCTAACACCAACATGGGCAAAAATAAGCATTCATAAGCAAATGGAAGCCCTTTCTGGGCGGTCCGTTTTCAGATTCCCTGCTAAACGAACCCCAACCACTAAACCCCAAAAACCTAAGAAAGCTAAGGAACCGGACGGCCGGAAAGCGCCAAGCTTTTCGGTTGGTTGATCTTGCACCATGACCACCCAGGTTTCTCCTCGTTTACCAGGCGGTGTCGGCACCATCCCGACCCACTTACTCGTGGAACCACGCCAAAATGAATGGAACCGTGATTCATAAGGGGACTGGTGCTCCTTTCGCTCAATCTAAAGCCCTTTATTGAGGTTGATCAAGGGTCTCCCCGTCCCCCTCCAAAGAAAAGGGGAAGAGGCCCAACAATCAGCCAAAGACGCCCGCGAAACTCGAAAAGAGCTTGGCCGGCTCTGTTGGGTTGTAAACCCTCTAGCTTGTGATAATCTCACTTCCTGAGTGGATTGGCCAAACATGTCCAAACTTCATAGCTTGCCACTAGAATGGTCCAACCCCAAAAGCAAAAAGATCTTAGGGAGCCAGTAGCTTCCATTTGCTTTTTCGGCACTTGGAAAAAATGAGGACATTTCCAGTAGTGATAGATCCCCTTTAAAACCAAAACGGAAAATAAATCAAAAAAACACCGTCATTTAAGGTAACACTGGGGAAACCCACCGTTTCCCAACAAGCTAAAGTCGGACAAGATCCGTTCCCCGGTGGCAAACGAGTAAAGCGCAGCGTTCCAAGGTGCCACCCAGAGCAAGCGCCTGAGCGCTACCAAATCCATGGCCAAACCCGCGCGCGTGAGGATCAAGGCCAGCGCAGCCTGCCTGACGTCGTTTTCCTTTTTGTCCGGCTCGGTATCAACCCCCCCCCAGCCCCTTCACCCCACCGCAGTGGTGTTTTGTGCACAAGTTGGTGTCCCGTGTGTTGTGCACAAGTGAGTCCCCCGGTTTTGGTGGCGGACATGTCGGTGCTCTTCTGGTTGCGGGACAGGGTGCGTTTGATTTTTGGACAGAGGAAGCGGTCTAAACCCCCAAGAGCGTCTTTCATCCTGTAGATTTGGAAAGGGGAAGCCCACTCGACACAAAAAACGATCAAGGAAATGCCGGTTCAGGTCTTGGCGTCTTGGTCATGTTGACCCTGGATTCATAAACCCCGCCTATCATTAAGGCGGTGTTCCCCGCAAAAGTGGTCTGAATCCTCACTAAAAGGAGCACCCCCATTCATCAATCCGACGTTTATTAATCCGGGGTTCACATTAAGCCAAGGAGGCCAGTTGGTTCCATTTCCCCTGGTTGAAAAAACCGGGAAGGGTTGAAAAAAAGGATGCCCCTGATTGATTAATGGGGTTCACATTGAGCCAAAGAGGCCAGTTGGTTCGGCTTTCCCTTTTGGGGCCGGATGTTCCACATACCCGCCTCAGCGCGGAAGACACCTCAGGATCCACCTGACGTCGATTCCGGCGGCGAAACTCGTCGCCCGGCGAACCTCGTGTGCGAGACACCTCCCTCAAACGATCAACACCGCCAGGACTCTACCAAACTCGGTTGCTTTCTGCCCCCCGGCTAAAAGTGACTCACTGTTAGTGGGTTTAATATGGAAAACTCATTAGTTGGCAAAAAGTTAAAGTCCTAACATCCAAGCAAAATGCACTAAACCAAATCTTGGGCTTGCTCTGTGTGGAGAAATAGGGTGTGGCGCTCTGTGTGGAGAAATAGGGTGTGGCTAGCTATGTTTGCCCTTTTGGTCGCTTCGCGCAGCACGTTCAAAGGCTGCTTTATTAGACTGGAAACTCAAGCTACCCTCAAACAGTTCAACATTTCACCATAACATTGATCAACTAGGTCCTCCAGTAGAGAGGCTAGAAAGGGGGTACCCTTGTTTCTGTAGTCTATCTTAGTAGGACCCTCCCCCCAAAAACGGGGTGAGAATGGGCACTACTGGGGGACCTAGTCAATGTCCCATTTCACGTGGTAGTGTGCGTGTGCATGAGCGATCATGAGCGTGTGAACCGCCATTCGCCTTGGAAAGCTGAGCCACATGCGGTGAACATCGCTCCACCTTTTTGCGCGCGCCTTGCTGCCCACGTGCTCACCCAGAAAGGGCAGGTTCCGCAAACCGAAACCAGCCAGCAGCCTCGGCTCGAGGGGCCTTCCCTTCTTCAAGAGAAGCTCGAAAGTCGGTTTCAGGTGATGCTTAAATCGTCCATTAATCTCGGTTGCTTTCTGCCCTGCTAAAAGTGAATAACTTTTGGTGGTTTGATACGGAACACACATTCGTTGGCAAAAAGTGGAAAGTCCTAACATCCCTTGGCAAAATGCAGCCAAAGCAAAGGGATATACAAGGACCCAATCTGCCGGCCTTGGCAACCGCCAAGGGAAACTTAGCCGAAGTCGGCCCAAAAGGTGCTACCGGGGATGAACGAAATCTATTTCGCACCACCTAAGAAACCCTGGTTTCTGATGATTCCCCAACGTAAATACAAAAAAATAAATGGTTTCAGCCATGGTTTCTCAGGCGGTGCGATTTCTGGATGTCGCAACCATCCACAGTAGGTGTCACTTAAAATGGAGCTGAGTCCCATGGTTTGTGGTGCAGGATTTCGCAACCATCCACAGAATGTTTAACCGACCAAGGGAGGCAAAAGCCGCGAGGCGAAGGTCCTGAAGTGCTGCCGGAGCCGCATGGTCAGCAAAGGCGGCCACTTCTTCATGGGCGCTGTCCTCGCGAAACGAGATGTGTGGGGGCCCAACTCACGACACCGGTATTGGCAACAAAGAAGAAGAAAGAGGAGAAGAAGAAAGAGAAGAGAAGAGAAGAGGAGAGGAGAGGAGAGGAGAGAAGAGAAGAGAAGAGAAGAGAAGAGCAGAGAAGAGAAGAGAAGAGAAGAGAAGGAAGAATAAGCAGGATAATAATAATACATATGAATCAACATAAGAAAAATGAACGTGTTGCTGCAATCAAATCCCCTCGAAGCGAACACAAGAGCGTGAGTCGAGGTTTGCCCGAGAAGTTTGAGTCACAACCAACACACCGACATTGGCCGTGTTCCTGATGGCATCCACCCCTCGACTTCCATTTGGTTAAGGCCCCAGGAAAAAAACAAACATATTTCCAGTAGTGATGAATTCCTTTGAAAACCAACAAGGGAAAATCATAATAACAGAAATATTCTTAAGAACATGGAGGTCGAACAAACAATACCAATTCGATCCCGAAAGGAACCCCGCGCACTGCGCATTTCCTCGGAGCTGTCCAAGATGGGACTGGAGCTGGGTGAAGAAGTTGAAAAGGACACCAAGCATTTTGGGACCACCACTTTCTGAACACATACGAGTACAGAGGTATAAGAAATGCAGGAGTCTCTCTGGGACTTGACGTACAGAGCTATAAGAAATGCATGAGTTTCGCTGGAACTTGAAAGCCTCCATGTCACCATGTTGCTGATGGTTGCTCCGTGGCTTGTAAATAACCCATCCACATGCCGGAAAGCGGACACGTCAGTTGTTGGAAACATCAGTTGGACCCCATAGAAAGAGGCTCAAGCGGAACAGTTTTTGTCCAAGTATCCCCATACTGGTTTATAGTTCAGCTTCGAATCTCAGGCAAGTGTGTTCAGTTCAAACCCTTCATTTTGGCCCCAGTCACCACTGTATATACAAACAAGCAAGGCAGATCAAACGCCTTGCCTACAAGCTAGTCACAACTCGGAGTCCACTTGAGTATGTCCTCAAACAAGAAATTAGCTCCAAATGAGCTTCGATTTCCTCTGGCAATCCCAAAACGGGGTTTCTCACAAAGCAATTGACACAGCACCCACCTCCAAGTGGTTTCCCTCAGCCCTTCAAAGCGACCCCCCAAAACCGGGGGATCACCTCCAAGGAAGCAACACCCACTTCTGAGTTTAAGATTCCGCGTCACATTTGGTCAACCTGCAAACCTAACATCGCTTCAAGCTGCCAGACTTGGCTCTGACCACACTTTGATCTGCCATTCTTCGACGTCCCGGTGGCGCCACCCAGCCCCCGGCTCGCTGACTCTCGCGCTAGCCTTTGACCAAGCGGCAGCTTGGCGCCCCAAGAGGCGCTGAGGTACAGCGCCAGCAGCGCGAAGTGGGAGCCCCCGGGCGCGCCTTCTGGGCCTCGCGGAACGGCGCGAAGGGAGCCAGCCGCGTCGGAAAAAGAAGCCGGGCGCAGCTTGACCTGGGTCTCAGAAGTCCTAGAAATGAACACCCCAAGGCCCCACCTCGAATTGGGGATGGCTCTGGGCAGTCTATTTAAGGGGGAATAGAATGTGTCAGGGTGGGGCGACATTTGTTTAAAGTTTCAGGTTGCCTGAGGGAGACAAAACCATCGGAGTGTGTTTGAAACAATTCCATAGTTTCAACAAGAGGTTGACTCGTCCAACCCACGCTATTGGTAGCATGGGGTTGACAGTTTTTGGAGGGACCTCACCAAACAAGCAAAGGGTTCCAACAAACAACTGCCACCGCTCCAAAGGGAACACACAAGGGCAACAAATAATTACCTGGGCTATGTGAAATTCGTTCAAACAAGTACCCTTCGGAGCGTTCTGTTGGAGGGTCCTTTGAGAACTTAAATGGACTAATCGAGACCTTCAGGGGTTGTGTCCACCAGGGACTCGTCAGGGCCAACCTGAACATCGGAGGGTCCGAGGCTCAAACTACATTTGAAAAATCACACCAGTAGAGAGGTTAGGGTATACCCCTTTTTTTCTGCAGTCTAGTTTAGCACTACGGGGAAACCTAGTTCTTCAATCATGGCGTGCGTTTCGCCAGGTAGTTCGCTGGAGGGTGGCTTTTCCACCGGTGGTAGTTCGATGGTTGTTTCGCCCCACTCACCGGTTCAGTCCCGCGGGCCCGGCCTGTGGCAGCGAAGAGAATCGTCCCCGCCAGCAGCGCCAACAGCAGCTGGGCGCAACATTGGCGCCACATCCCACTGGGGCGGCTGGGTCTTCCCAGCCGCCAGTGACCCTGGTGGAGTGGACAAAAAAGGAGAAAAGACAACTGGTGCCCGGCTGAACAAACGGCTTTGTCACCCCCAAAGTAGCCGGAACCAGGTTTTATTCATTTGCTGTTCTTTATTTACTATGGGGGAGGGGGTCAGCTTTAATACTTGGCTTACCCTTACCTGCTATGGGGGGCTCTGCAAAAGCAAGCAAAAGGGCGCTTCGCCCTCGACCTGGGCTTATAACCTGGCTGGCCGGCCGCCCCCCTGTTGAAACATGCTGACACCACTGTTGCCGCACAATTCTTGCCCCACCCTATTCTCAGTTGCCGCAAGAACCCGGAATTGCAGCTTCGCATTTTGGGGGCTATGACCATAGGTGGCTGCCAAAAGCTGGGAAGCACCAAAAGGCCCAAGGCCGGTCGATTCGCTTGGAGAAAGTGGCCGCGCCAATTTCTTGGGTGCTGTAGATCCCCCAGTAAAAAGCTTAACTGTTTGCTGGTTAAAAGGAAAATGCGAAGGGAGTCCAAAAAGTGAAAGTCTAAAGATCCAACCCAAGAGCGGAAGAGACTTGGGGCTGTTGGAAACGACTGGCCGTCGATTGCTTCGCAATCGGCCCTGCGAGCCGGAAGAGCGCCAACCGTGCTAAGGGTGCCTTTGCAACAGGGCAAACTCCCTTTCCCACACCGGGCCGCCCTCACATCCCCCGCCTAAAAGTGACGAACTTTTAGTGGGCTAAATGGAAACTACCACTGAACACTAAAAAACAAAAGGCTGTGGGGATGGCTGGGAGCCACCAAGCACAGAGGTGTGTGTGTGTGTGGTTTGAGGCTACCCTTTGTTGGAGTTTGACCTCACGTGCTTTTGGACGGTTGAAAGGGGGGCGAAGGGCACCCTTGTGGGCTACAAGGGAACTGAGTGGCCGCTGGCAATTGGGCCACCAAAACGGGTGGCTAAAACTCCTCACTTCCGATGGCCAACAAAAGTCTAAGCTTTTCTGTGTGCCACTAGAAGGGTCTTCCCAAGTAGCTCAAGCCCAGGAACTCTGGAGGTGAGCATCTGAGAAAGGAAGCCCAACTCCTATCTTCAACACCTCGCAGTCGGACGATCCGTTTTCGCTCGGGCTATTGCTGGTGCTGCGAAACTTGGGATAGCCTTGGTGAACAGTAAGCACTCCCGCTCCGCTGTTGCCACGTTCAAACGAACCGGCGCCCAACTCAGCCAGACTTCCGGAGTTTCACACATTTCGGCATCTTTTGGACCCCTCCTAGGTCCTCCAGTAGGGAGGTTCGAATAAAGGTACCAACTTTTTTCTGTAGTCCATTTTAGTAGGGGAACCCTCCCCCCAAAAAAAAGAAACGGCAGATGGGCACTACTGAGACACCCAGCCTGACATCTGTTACCTGGGTGGCCCAAACCCCAAGCTGCAAATATGAGGACCCTTCACGAGAGAACGCGCTGGGTCCTTCCACCGAATCCGATCTTGCCGATCCCAAGCCGCTCAGCTTGGCGGGGTTTTGACTGGGGACGCCCTTTCCAAGATGCTGAACCCACTTGGCTGTTGGATGGCCCCAAAAGAAGTCCAAGCTTTATGTTTACCACTCATCTTCCCGAAAAGTTCAAAGCTCATGAACTCAGGAAGTGAGTGAAAGACAAGAAACTGAAAGGAACCGACTCCCTTGGCAAAAGCCAAAGCACCAAGATGGGTCTCCCAGTTGTTCAAACTCAGATCGGGACCCGATCCTCCGCACTCCGTCGGGCAAAGCAAAAAAAACAACGCAATCCTGAGCTCGTGACACAGGCGGTGTGACCTGCAGGTCGAAAGCAATCCCCAAGACGAAGGAAGCCTTTTAGAGGGGCTCCCTTGGTGTGCAAGAAATATACCTCCATTAAGACAACAAAGCTTTGGATAAAAAACAAGAAAACCTCCATTTAAAATATGCCTCCATGTAAAATATACGTCCATTTGTTTTGTTTCGCTCCCTGGAAAAGATAAGAAACAAATCCAATAGTGATAGACCCCAAATTAAAAACCCACAGGAGAAAATAAACAATATTCTTCAGCAAATGGAATACTCTCCCTGGAACCCATCGCTTGTTGGTCTTTACGTTGGGGAATCGAATCAGAAACCGGGGTCTGAACGGTGGTGAGAAATGGATTTCGCAACCATCCACAGTACTAACATAGAACCCACGAACCTCCAAAAAGAGGTACCTCCTTTTGTGCTTTTTGTTTCGTAATTTTGCAGGGGAGGCAAAAGCTCTCGTGGTTCTTACATTGTTTTTCGCCACCAGCCCCATTAAAAAATGGTTGCCCCAATTTGGACGATGAACATCCTCAGGTAGAGAATGGTGGAATTATAAGATACACACATATATATATATATATATATTAACCCAACCCTGGTTTTAGGGGTGACTGAACCCCAAAACACCCGGCCACATGCAATCAGTGGCTAGTGGCTAACTGCAACGAGCGGAACCGCGAAGCGCCTCAGTGGCCTGGAGAAAGGCGTCCGGGTCCTGGCACAGGGCCCCTCATACCCCGCTCCAATACCCGCCCTGTGGGACAAAAAAACATCCTTTCTAAATGAGAAAAATACCCAAGTCCCTTTTTAGGCAACCTTTTGGGGAAAATCATGTTTTTACTGGTAAATTACGCCCTATGAAGGGCCGACGTTATACCCTGCAACAAACATCGCTTGGAACCCCCCAAAATGGTTGCCTTTTTGTTTGGACAGCCGCTTCAAAACGCCAGAAGTTCGCCTCAAGTGAGGGGAACCTGTCTCCAAGACACCCGAAAACCAACCCCATGAGTTTTGGGTACATGACCTACTGTGGGTGGCTACGAAATCCACTTCAAGTACCGCCGCCAGAAGGTTTTCTGGCTTTTACGCTGGGGAAACATCAGAAGCCAGAATTTCCAAGGTGGTGCGAAATGGGTTACCCACAGGAGGTTTGACCCCCAAACATGGCTGCAACGAAGCCGTATCAGCAAGCCGCGGGTTGGGTGGGGCTGTCCACTTGAGTAGGACTGCGCTGGAATGCTAAGCTGTGCTAAACATTAGGCATTTTGTCGGTGCAACCTGGACCCTCCCTTAACCTACACTTCATGGGAGGTCGACATCGCGCCACGCTTGTACAGTGGTTTACGGGAAGCTTGAGGTTCCAGGCAATCAATCTGACCGGCGGCAAGGTGCCCAGCACAGCGCGTTGCGCTCACACATGGCCCAGGAGGCACTTGCACCGCTCCGTCACCCTGCAGTCTCGCCTGTGTGCCAGTGGGGAATAGCCGGACAAGCCGCGCGCCAAGCATACTTCAGAGAACACTGAGCAAACCGCGTGTGCCTGCAAAGTATCGGCAAGGAACATGAATGGGCCAGCAAGCCAGACACAAAGTGATCGACGAACGTATTCCCACAGCTACCGCCAGACTTCAGACTGAGCCTCGCTGCTGCCCCCAGCAAGTCGGAGCTCAGTCTTCCCTGGCCGCGCTGTCGGCAGCAGACTGGCTTCTTGCTGAGCCTTCCTGGCCCAGCTGTCCTGTTGGCTTCGGGTCGCCCAACCAGCCAATCTCTTGGCAAGCCCGCGGGCAAGCCCAAGCCTGAGCCTCATGGCTGTCCTGGCGAGAGCCTCAGGCTTCGGGCTGTCACGGCTGTCCTGGCCGGATTCTGCCGCATTGCTGTCCTGCCCGGCCCCTGGTTGTGGCGGTTGGCTGTGACTTACAACCCCAAATCTGGGTGGGGAACAACAAAAGCACACCAACTATACAAACTAGGTCCTCTTGTAGAGAGGATAGAATAGGGGTACCTTTTTTTCTGTATTCTCTTTTAGTAGGGGAACCCTCCCCCAAAAAAGAAACGGTAGATGGGCAGTACTGGGGACCTAGCTAAACAATAAGGACTAAACAAACCACGCACAAAAGAGAAGACCAAAACGACTTAACCAACTGAACAAAACCAACCTAACCACACAAACCAACTGGACCACAGAAAACCAAAAGGAAGGTTTGTTGCCACAAAACTAACGCAAATCAACCCAACCCCCCACAAACACCGACTTCGCAAGCTGCGGCTGCGCCTTCGCTCCGGCGAGGGAGGGGTCCTGCGCGCTTTCGGCCTCCTGGGCCTGCAGGGACTCCAGCTTGGCCTGGCGGCTAAAGCACCGCGCCCCACTGCGCGGGGGGACATCGGCCAACTCTTCCCCCCACAAAAACTCCCTGCGCCCTGGGGAAGTTCTCATCTTTTACAGACATATAGCCCAGGTTACCCAAGTTGAAAAGTTGTGTTTTTAAGAGGTAAGAACTCAGTAGGTGAAACGCCATGGCCAGGGCCATGGACATAATTCACCTGCTTATACTTAGTACTGTGGATGGAAATCTTGCAGAGCCTAAGAAACCTGGAGTGATGATTCCCCTGTAAATACCAACCAACGGTGGATTCCCATGGTTTCAAGGTGGTGCAGGATTTCGCCCATCCACAGTAGGGAACCCACCCAAAAAAGGGAAGCTTAGAGGGTGGAACACACTGGCTAGGGAAAAACCGGAAGGACACACACAACGAAATGGTGATGTGGAGCCCAGGACACACGCAAACCAGTTTAATGATTTCATTTCCAGCCGGTAACCAAGGGAACCCTTGCAAGAATTAGAAGGACAATGGCTGCTTACCCATCAAAATGGGGCTAAATGGCTCCGACGCGTTGGGAACAACGAGGCAGCACAGTTTCCCGGTTGAGGGCCTCCTCAAAGTCAATTTTGTGTCGAAACACGTGGTTGGAGTTATGGCTGCGAAACATTTTGAGGGTGTTCCTCAATTGACACTCAGTTCTCATAGCCATATTATTGATCAAGGGTGTCCTGTTGGATCATAAGCAAACAACCTGGGCGGCAAATTGTTCGAGGTAATTCTTCCAAACGCAAAATGAGGGTCCCCCCCCAAAAAAAGGATCCTCACCTCTCTGTCGGACGCACAGGGTGAGACCTGCAGGCAATCAAGCTCCTCCACACAAAAGGCACGGATGAGGGGCAACCCCATCCGGACATCAGACACCACCCAATAACAAACCCCCTAAAAGGACCTTTATCTTCCATTTGCTTCTGCGCCCCCTAAAAAAACAATCCACCAGTGACATCGATTCCAGCTGAAAAACGATTCCAACTTAAAACCTACGCACCAATTCGACACCTCTTCTCTTCGGAAGCTCCGCGCAAAATTGGCACGGATGAGTGGTCACTTACAACCAGTGGAACCAAAACCCCAAAGGACCACAGGACCCGCTTAAGCAGAAGTCTTCTTTCAGGCAAACCCTCTGGTGGGCGCCATGTTGGTGAACAGGACGGCAATCAAGGCATAAAAAGGAGTTAGGCCCAGTTATAGAACAAACAAATTTTGTTTGCTTCAATTTGAGCCACTGGTACAATGTAAAATGTATCCTAAGTCTACCCCAGAAGGAGAAGCCAAAAGGAAGTTTATTTGTTTGCTGGTTAAACGGAGTATGAGGGGAATCCAAAAAGTTAAAGTCTAAAGATTCAACCCAATAGCAGTAGAGCTCCAACCCCCCCCCCTCCAACCCCCCCCCCAACCCCCCCCAATCGATCGATTCGACGAAAAATCGACTCCAAGTGGCCTGCAGCGTGCCCTCCTGCCGCTTCACTGCTTGCAGCTCCTGCAGCAGGTCACCGACCGCCACCTCGGCTCGGGACGGACTCCCTGTCCGACTGAGTCCGTGGGCGTTGGGGCCCCTTGGCTCGGTTTTTTTGCTTGGGGGTTGGGGCGGATTTTCCAAAAGCTTCAAGGGTTTGGCTGGTGTTTTATTATTATTATTATTATTATTATTATTATTTTGTGGGGGGAGGGGGGCTTAGTCGTTGTTTTGTGTTTGGGGGGCAGGGGTTTTCAAGGGGTTTTGAAGGGAATTAACAAAGCTTGAATGGGGTTGGACGTTTTCCATGGGAGTTTTGTTCTTGTGGTGCCATCCGCCGCAAACGCAAAGCCGAAGCCCAAGTTCGCATCCCCGATCAGAGCGCAAGCAGCCTGCCGCCGAGCGGCCGTCTTCTCGGACTGGCCTTGGCAACGACGCGCGGTGAACAACGACGCTGGACCTAATTTTAACCCCGGATTAATAAACCCCTCGTTGATTCATAGGGGGGGTGTCCCCTTTTAGTGGGGATTCATCCCTTTTGGAGGGAACACCTCCCTAATAATGGGAAGGGTTTATTAATCCTGGGTCAACATTAAGAACATCCCAAGGAAAAGCGAGCAGTCGATTGCACCCCTTCCCAACCTCTGGATGCTTGCCTGGGCGCTTTGAATTGCCTCTTCCAGGCGAGCAATCAATTCCGACCTGCGCAGTGCAAAAGGAAACCAATTTTGAGGGAAGCCCTGCCAAACATTTGGGGTCCAGTGTGCCAAAGAGGCATGAAGTGGCGCGCAAGACTTGTAGAGAGCACATCCCCCAAGGTCAGGTCCGAGAGCCCAGTTCCAGTCCAAATGCCAGGATTCGCTGTTTTTAGATTCAAAGAACCCCAGACCATGTGGGCAGCCCTATACAAACGCTTGGTCCATGAAGGTAAATGTGGGTTAGTGTTACCTACATGGATTGTGTGGGAATAGCCCACCCAAGTCCATGACAGAGGTTATCCCATCTTCACAAGCCATTGCGCTCCCAACCCCATTACCTTCCATCTTAGCCCATAGATTGTAAGAGTGCATTCTGGTTCCCGTCACAAAAGCTCACAGCCTGAGCGGAAGTCCAGGAACTCGGGAAGTCAGAAAGACAACGTGGTCTTGAAAGCTTGCTTTTGAAGGAACAACATGCCCCCTTCTACCTGGGTGTGGCTCAAAATTAAACAGGAGGGGTTACGCAGGTTTTGGTCCAAGTTTCCACTTACCAGGGCAACCCATTTTGGGTCCCGGTGTTTTGAGCCACGGCCACATGGAAGGATGCCCGTCAAATCACGATCTAATTGGCCCAAGCAAGTCCGAGCTTTTTGCTTGCCTCGTGACTGGGACAAAAATACCACATCGAATACTTCCATTTGCTTAAGCGCCCGGGAAAAAAAAAGGTCCAGTAGTGATAGATTCCCTTCAAAACCAACAAGGCAAAACAAAAATATATTCTTAAGCAAATGGAAGAATACAATTGGCCGGGCCCCCTGTGTCGCTTTGGAGCGGTCCCTAGTACGTGACACTGGCTACTGGGAAATTTAGATGCCCCTTTTCGTCCTCCCGACCAATGATGTCAGTTGCTAACTTCAAAGTGGGACTGCGCGGCAGGTGCTCGCACTCCGTTGCAAGCGTCAGTCTGAACATTGACTCCTTTTTGGCCGACCTGGAGACAAAAGAGGAGCTCAGCAAGGAAGCTCGGAGCTAGCATGCCCCGTCCACATTGGATCAGGGAATAATCGAGGTGTGGGAAAATGCACTGTGGCCACAGAAACCCGGGAAGAACCGAAAGGGAGAAATCCTCGGGAAACCTCACTCTCCCGTCGCCTCTTCACCTGGCTGCTGAGCAGCTGCTCCTTTAGCAAGCTGAGCTCTCGCGCCTCCTGCCGGCACCGCCGTTGCTTTGGGTGCTCGGCACTCGGCGCTGAGATGGGAAGTTCTGGGCTTGGGGAAAAACCGAAGAGGTGGTCTGCTTGGAATACGTTTTATTGAATTCTGAATTCTGATTCTTGTTGAAGGAATAACACACTTATCGAGTTCTGGTCTTTGTTCCAGGCGTCTGGTTGGGGAAAAAACCTGAGAGGAACGCCTGGAGGCGTGTTGTTGCCATTTGGTCGGTCTTTTCCTGAGGGTACCCATTTTGGGGTGGGCAAAAAAAGGGAAATCCAAGGAGAACCAAAACCGAAGCCTCTTTGGAGGGGTCCGACCATTAAGAAGACAATCCCCCCCCCCCCGCATTTCTTCCTTTGTCTAGGTCCTCCAGTAGAGAGCTTAGAATCAGGGTACCCTTTTTTTTCTGTAGTCTATTTTAGTAGGGGAACCCTCCCCTAAAAAAGTTGGTAAAACGGCACTACTGGGGGGCTTAGTTGTGTTGTTCTTGTTTTGGGGGGACCATGTTTTGGGCTTCTTCGGCAAGCTTCCAGGACCCACTCTCCCAAGCAGTTGGCACGCTATCCGAATCCTTCCAGAAGGCCATCTTGAGAAACCCAACAAAAACGGGCATTCTGACAAGAACGATGGCATAAATCTGTTCCATGGTTGAAACCGGTTTTTCCCCGCAAACCCTGGTTTTGGTACGCTATGTTTCCATGCGTTTCACAGCGCACAGGTGAAACCCAGCCCGGGGCACCTGAATTCTTGGGATGGCCAGGGGGAACTCTATATGAGACTTCTCTGACGCAGGCTTGCCTGGACCAACCAACCCATTCCAGCGGGGAAACAATCAGACCAGAACTCTGGCCCCTGAGAAACTAAAGAAGGAACCCAATTCAAATTTCCAGCCTCATGATTTGATCATCTTTTAGAAGCTCCAATTTCAATCTGGGTTTCGGTCGAATTGATTTTGAGCAGCTTGGCTGAAACCAACATTCTCACCAAACGTCAACACGTCTCATCGCGTGCGTCCTGCACAATCTCCTCCTTTAGCTGCGATTCGGAGCCGCGCATGTTGGCGACAATCCTGCGCATGGTTATGGAAATCACCATGTCTGTGATACCAAAGTGGGGGGGTATGCCCCGCGAGGTTTTCTGATCACTTTCAGGGGAATCGAGGGCCGACATTTCATAATGAGGTTTGTTTACCTGCAACCCACCAATTTTAGGGACGCCTTTCGTAGCTTTCGATTCAGGGTTGAAGTTGATCATGGCAAAACGTTGGGCCCATGTCGGCTATGGTCCCTCCCTTTTGGCTAGGGCGCGAGCATCCTCGCACTTGTCATAGGATGGTTGCGGAAGATTGGGGTTTAAGCCTACTTTCCGTGATACCAAATGCCAGCTTAAACATATCCGGCTTCAGACTCTGACTCCTGGAAACAATCAAAAACCAGTTTGTTTCTTTGTTTTTTCGTTAAAAAACAAAAAACGTTTCAGCCTCTGCACACCAAAGGCCGAAAAAAAAAGAAAAAAAGTCCTGCTTTCTCAACCTGGTCTGGCCTCCCTTGGGCTTCCAAACCGGCTGGCAAGGCCCCATTTTCAGACCAACTTCCTGTTGGCCCAAAAGAAAACTCGGGGTGCTGGGTCCTCCAGATTTGAGAGCTTAGAATAAGATGTACATAAGATAATAAGTTGGTACCCGATTTTTGCTTTTCGGCTTTGTCTATTTTTTGGTAGGGGAAGCTTCCCAACCGAAAAAGTTGGTGAGAAAGGGCACTGCTGGGGGACCTAGTCCTGTTGGCCCAAAAACACAATTCGAGGTTTACCACTATGGTCCAACCCAAGTCTCGAAAACTGGGCTGTCCGATTTCAAATCCCCTGCTAAAAGTGACTATTTCTTAGTCTGTTGAATGGACAATTCAACCACTAAACCCTAAAAGCCTACAAACCTAAGGAGCTGGACGGCTGGGCACAGCCGTAAAAACAACGAGATGCCAACTTCGATGTTCACCCCCACTCGCTTCCCGAGTAGATAGCCCAAAAAGCTCCACCACACTTCTTGTTTACCACTAAAATGGCAAAAGTGACGCAAGTCCAAGAACTCAGGGAGTGAGTTGAGCTTGACTACTTCAGGGTACCCCTTTTGAGGTTGATTTCAGCCCAAGTCCCCAATCGCCGAGTCACCTCTGCGGCTGGGTGGTTTGGGATTTGGAGCGGGCGACCCGAGGCCCGAGGCTCGGGCGTCTGGAGCTCCCCGGCAACTTGCCACTTCCTGGGACTTTCAAAACACCACTGGAAACCAAGTGGTGCCGATCATCGCCACCCAAGCAAGAAGAGCGAAAAGAGTTTCTTGGAAGGTGCCCGTTTTTGGATGGTTTTTAAAGGAACACCCAAAGGAGGCCATTTTTGGGTTTTCCCCCCCCTTTTTGAGAAACCCGTATCTCACTTCCTGAGTGGACTGGCAAAAAAGCAATGCCAAACTGTTTGTTTGCCACTACAAAGATCCAACCCCGGAGTGACTGTAGTCCGAGTCCCGGATCTCGGGGAGTGAGATGAAGACTTTGTCTTTGTGTCGCATCCTTTTTTCGAAGATGCTAGAACTACGATTCGGTCACAAAAATTGACAGGATCATGTGAGTCATAATCAAAACCCGGCACTAAAATCGTCAAATCCCCGCACTATGCTTCAAGAATTAAGAAGGCGGGTATCCGCACCGAATCATTTATGGCAAGGAGCTTCTCCCTTAACCTTCACTTACCCAAATCAGGTTTGAGCACGTGGCTCAGGTGATTGCAATCCAACACTTGGGACTACTCCTCAAGACTTAGCACCAAAATGGAACCCGGGTTAACATAAATACAAACTCAAGCCTGTGGTCCATATGCTCGGTGGTTTAAACATTTTGACCCATACCCACTTGGACAACCATTGCACACCAGGCATCGACGGCTGTTTCGTTCGAGGACTCGGACCCAAATGGCAAGTCTCCCTTCCGATCGAGTGGATGGGCCAAAAGGCTCAACCAAACTATTTCTAGGTTCTCCAGTAGACAGGTTAGAACAAGGGTATTTTCTGTAGTCCTTTTTAGTAGGGGAACCCTCCCCCCAAAAAAGGGAAAAGGGCTGCTGGGGGACCTAGTTTTTGTCCACCACTAAAATGGCAACCAACCCCCGAAAATGACTAATAGACTAAAGTCCAGCCGTTTTTGCTTGTAGCTCGCCTCAGGTTTTGAACATGAGTGACAATCAAACCCTGTTACCAAAATGGTGAACCAAAAACCAAGGCGGCACCCTTACAAACCTTTCACCACAAGGAAGCGCGCTAAGTCACATCATTCAGAAGTCACATCAGTGTTGGCGGGCGCTGGTCCAACTCTGGCCGGCGCCAATCACCAGGATTTGAGCAAGTGGCTCACATGGGGGAAAGAAATCGTTGGATGCTCGGGAGGGTCCCACAACATGCAGCTGGTCCATTCTGCAAAACTAAAAACAAACTGGAAACCACATCAAAAGACCTCGACGAAAACCAGCATTTCCTTACAGGACCTCCATGAGCGCAAACCTCCAGCCAGGGGAACAAAGGGCAGATCTTCTGAAGGGAAAACCCCTTGAGGGAAACAGGTCATGGGTTAAAGAGTGACCTGAGGCAGTGTTCACTGGCCAAACACGTCTGAATGGAGGCTTTTGGTGGAATTCTAAGTTGCCAACTCGGCTTTTTTTTGCGGAGCCCCAACTCATAAGGCAAGATTTCCAGTGCTACGCTTTCGGTTTTTGTAAACCCGCAAGTTCACTCCTGAAAACTTGGCTGACGTTGGAAGGGGAGCAGTTTCTATTTGTTTAGCAGTTAAGTGGTGATTTCCCACTAAACCACAATAAGCAAAAATGCAAAATGTTTCCCAACAACAACCATGAAAAGCTTGAGACCGCAAAAGGCCCAAAAGGCGAGGCACGAGAGATAGTTCTTGACCAGGTGGATGGTGCCAAAGGTCTCCAAAGTCTGGCGCGCCGCCCGCACCGCGAGAGATTCGCGAACGCAAAACCCGTTGAAGGGGGTTCCGATGGCTAGCACCAAATGCTAAAGCACAATCAGGTTTTGTTGTATGGGTTCGCATCTGAAAGGAACCCCAAGGGTGATTTTGGTCATATGAGCCGTGCTCGAAACTCCTTACGTGGCCTATGGGCATGGTTCCCTTGGAACCATTGTAGTGGTTACTAAAGATCCTTGCTACCAGGTCCATGACCATCCCTACAAAGGGACCGGTCTTTTGACCATGGCACATATTATCTTTGAATAGTGTCAATGTAATTGTTCTATACCTCCATGGGCAAGTCATCTCAGGATGAGTATTATGAGCAGCGAACGTTTTAGGTGGACCTCTGTGAGGCCTTTGCAACGGCCGTGTGCACCAAGTCATGGCGCAGTGATCTGCAATGCTTGTGGGCTACCAAGAAAGCCTTCCAAGCGCGACATGGCGTGATCTAGAGATGAGGGAAGTATGACCTTGAAGGGAAACCCAGAGAAAACCACAACCATACCACTTGCCACAAATAGGGAGCGCCCTTTGGGAGACCTCGTATAAAGGAAAACAGGAACCCGCAACTATACGCATTTCAGCTTCCCAAGTCCCTCCCAGCTAGACGTGCTGGGGATTCCGCCCTTTGCGTACATGATGTTTCTTGTAGCAAGCCAAAAACCGAACGGACATCACACGAAACAAGGTCAACATGTTCCGAAGACAGGACTTCCAACCACCACAAACAAAGCCTGCTCACTTCATATTCGCGTGCTCAGGGGGAAACATCAGTTCCAACTCGTGTTCGGGGTTGAATTATGGAGATGTACAATGTATACATACACACTGGAAATGTGTATATATATGTATAAATAATACACATGTACAAACATTACCTCATACCAATTTGTAAATGCCCATGCTGTATTTCTTGGTTCCTGTTGACCCCTCTGCCAAAAGCTTAACTTGTTGCGGATTTAATTGAAAACCCCTTGATGTCCCAAAAAGTTAAAGTCTAAAGGTCCAACCCAATAGCAGTGAAGATTTGTCGCCGTCCATATCTCCATGGATGGCTCCCACCTGCGCAAGGCCGAAGGGCTCCTGCGAAGGGCCCTGAGGCACTTCCTTCAGCATCTCTTGGACCTGCATGAGCCGGTACCGCACCACGCTTTGCCTGGCCAGCGAAGTTTTCGGCTTCCCCCTAATTTGGGTGGTTCGGTGGTTAATTGTCGGATTTTGGTGGTTGGGGGGGTGGGATTCTTTTGAGGAAACTTGGATCTTTGACTCAGATTCCCTCTCATTGGTGGTTTGGTGGTTTGTTTGCCGTTTCACCTCCACAAGCACCAGGGACCCCTTCAAATCCCAAACCAACCCAAGGGGGTACCAGCCAAATGACCCTCCCATTTGGGAAATAAAAATCAGGGCCCCCCCGAACTTGGATGGACAACCTCGGATCAAATCCACGCCTGATGGATGAAACCCTGAAACCCCAAAACCCAACTTGGCTGGAAGAACAGGACCCCAGCAAAAACATATCCTTTTTGCCGGATTGGTGGAAAACAAAGGGAACCCCAAACAAGCAAAAAAGCAAAAAGGGGAGCTAATTCTGGGGAAGCCAACTGGATGGTGTTCGTCCTTTCTTTGGTGGCCTTCATTCCCCTTTGTTGCTTAGCAAAAACAACGTGGCCCTGACATTGTGGTTCTCCTTTTGGTTCCCTTTAACACCGCCAACAAAGGGGTATTGTCAAAAAAGCGACAGGTGTTGTTTGCCACAGCGGTCTTCCCAACATGTCAGTCCAATCAAAGCAATCGAGACAACACAAACAACTCGTACTAATTCGATGAGTCAACTTTCGCGGGAGCGAGAAAACCACTTTTGGGTAGAATTCCATTTGTTAGAAACGTTGCGTATGCTTGTTAGAATACGGGTACGTACGCCCGTTTGGTTTCCCTTTAAACCAAAGTGAAAAGGGTAATTACTGGATAACCCCCCCCAGGTCGACAAGGTCCTGGAAATCTGGGGGGGCCCCTGGCCTCTGGTTCATCCTGGCCAGTCCTCTCCGGTCCTTTCCTGTCTGGACCCCTGTCTGTCCATTACGCTCTAGGAAAGTATTTCTAGGGCTGGAGAGGCCCAGGATTCATCCGAGTTTTTTTGCTTTTTTTTCCGGAGGGAGGCTAGCCTTGGGGGGGGGTATCCTTTGCGAGCTTGTCAAACCTTGGTTATAAGACATCTGCTGTTTCCGGCTAGCCTGCTTCTAATTTCTGGAATATTATTCAGAGGGGTCTTTTGGTATTGTGGACAATTTGAGCATCTTTACTCAGAAGCGGTGTATTCATCACGGGTCGACATCACGCATGGTTGGCTTACACATACACACAAACAAAGACGCACACATATATATATATATATATATATATATATTATAGGCCATGGAAGGCCGGCACAGGGGCCAACACCAGCCAGGGGTGCGTGCGGTTCACCACGTTCTCTGTCTCCTGTCTGCTCGGGACCCCAACCTCGCCTTGTAACTTTGCTTGCCTCAGACAAGATGTCAAAACTTAAAGTTGCAACTAGTGACCCACACACTGACAATTTTGCATTTTTGCTCGGATCTCCATTTCTAGTGACGAAACCGAACAAAAGGGACGACATAATGCCAGTAACTTGGAACTTGAAAGTCAGCGGAGACCCACACATAGCAAAGTGCATCCCCCCCAAACAAAAAAAAGAAACACAATTAAACAAGTATTGGGGCTCGGCTCGCTAATATTTCACCCTTGAACACCACCTCAAGAGAAAAGTCAGTTCAACACAACCACAAAGTATGTCTGAACTGGTTGGCGCTTGCAAATCTTCAAGATTGCTTCTTTGCTTGTGGTGAAATGCCCATTGCCATTTGCTTCCCCTAACCCTCCAGTGGCCATGGGCAAAAACCATCCCGAAAGACACCCTGAAACCGTGGAACCCCTAGTGACATCGTAACACTATGCCCAAAAACAGCAACTACAACAGGCCCCATTATTTCACACCCATCAAAGTCACCCCCGTTCCGTGGTAGGTTAATGGGACACCACCCCAATGTCTGACTTTCGCGCAACCCCAGAAACAGGGCAAACCAAAAGACATCATGGACCCAATGTCTCCTGCAGTGCGCGGTCCACGCTGGTCAGGCTGCACAGCGCCTGGCGGTTGTCCTCGGCCGGAGAAAATGACGGCACAAATCTTGGTTGCTGCAACGACCCCCCTGCAAAAAGGTTTAACTCTTTGGGGGTCTAGTGGAAAACACCTTTGATTCCCAAAAAGTTAAAGTCTAAAGATCCAACCCAATAGCAGTCAAGAAATAATAAACTCCCTTCCGACCGAGTGGATTGACTAAAACTGTTACTTACCACTAAAATGGCTCAACAAAAGCTTCACCGAACCTTTGATTTACCACTAAGATGGCAACCAACCCCTCAAAGTGACGAAAGTCCGAAACGGAACTTAGGAAGTGAAAGCTGAGACCTGGAGGACAACGGCCAGACCATTTGTTGAAACTCTCCTCACCTCAGGTGAGTCTCAGATGTTTGCACCAAACGTCAGAGGAGGCGCAAGGCTAGGGGTGGGGTGTGAGGACCATTGCTTCCGTTTGCTTAAGCCCGCTGGAAAAAAACAAGTCCCGTAGTGATAGATTCCCGGTAAAACCAGCAAGGGAACATAAAACAATGTTCTTGAGCAAATGGATGATTGGGGAAATGGGACATCCACTTTACGCAACTAAAAGAACTTTGGTCCAATGATTCAGAGCCGATTGAACGGAGAACGGGAAGTTCTTGGCGACCCCAACAGGCACGCTACTGTATGGCTCTTAACCAGTAGTATCAGTATGCAGGAGAACTTGTTGGAATAGGAACCTGAACCCAAAAGCAGGTAACAGGCCGAACGCGTTGGCTAATGGGAGGAGGAACCTTGGACAACTAGTGAAAGTGGGGAAGATCGGAAGACTGAGACCTTATGATTCAGCCAACTCTGCACCATTCTCGGCAACCAAAAACAGACGTCAAATCAATCCCATAATACCCCGCCGTTGGGATCCTTGCACCCTCACACCCACATGTGAGGCCCTACTGGGGACCTGATAAAAGCTTTTGGCTTGATTGCTATTATACGTTGGATCTTTCGACTTTAACTTCTTGGAAAATCAAGTTGTTTTCCACTAACCCCCCCCCCAAAAAATAGTATAAACTTGTTGCAGGGGGTCGTTGCAGCAACCAAGTTGGGGCGAAGAAATGGGCGCTACTGTAAAATCGGCTGGAACTCCTCTATGGCGCGCGCCTCTTCGCTCCCCTTCCGCTTCTCCTGGCGGGAGAGGAGACACTCAGATGCCCAGTGGCCATGGGATAAAAAGGGCGCCCTTCTTTTGGTTGGTTGAGTTTAAAGGGGAACCCTTAAAACTAGAAAAAGGAAAAAAGAGCACCACCGGGCACTGGGGACAAAACAAACCGAGTCTTCACGTCTGGGCTGTCCGTTTTCAGATCCCCTGCGAAAAGCGACTCACTTTTCGTGGCTTGAATTCGGAAATCCAGCCACTAAGCCAACTCAAATCCGCTAAAAACCGAAGGTGAACCGCGTGGCTGGTTGAACCAAGACAGCCATCCTTAAGCGAGTCTCCCCTTGTGAAGAATCCTTCACCTCCCAGGCGTTTCTTGGCTCGCCGCCGCCTCCGGCGGGGTCTTTTTCTCGGCCCAAGCTGGGCTCAATGTCTGGTTCAATCCGTGTAACTTCCAATTGGTTAAGACCCCTGGAAAATAGAAAATATGTCCAGTAGTGATAGATTCCCTTTAACACCAACAGGGGAAAATAACAAATATTCTCAAGCACATGGAAGGTAAAGAATCAACAGGCCGGATTGTGCCCCCTGAATCCCTACTGTGATAGACGAAATCCTGCACCACCTACGAAACCTGGAATGAGGATTCCCTTGTAAATACCAACAAACAATGGTTTCCCATAGATTCAAAGTGGTGCAGAATTTCGTCCATCCACAGTATGAGTCGCGTTGTTGGCCCCTAGAGATTGGGGCGCCCCTGGGCAACCATAGGTTCCCCGGGCTTTTCTTGCGACTCGATTGGGTGTCAATCGACTCCAAGGTCGGCTGTCCGATGACCGTCGCGTGCTCACTGACATGCCTCCATTTGCTTAGTCCCCTGGAAAAATAAAAATGCTTCCAGCAGTGATAGATTCCCTTTAAAACTAACCGGGGGAAAATAGAACATATTCTTAACCAAATGGAAGCATGGGGGAGGCCCCACCTCTTCGCAGAAGCCTTGCAGGCCCTGGCAGGCAGAACGCTCATGGAAACCAGCATCGTCCACGTGAGCTTTGTCCAAGCCATTGGTAGATCTTCACAACCCTTGCTATGGTTTGGCAAAAAAAGAAGAAGTTTTGTTCTTGCAGCCTCCTACTAAAACATGAACAGAACCAAAAGCACAAAGAACTAAACACATGCCAAGAACAGTGAAGACGTGTTCATCCAGCCCTGAGTTTGCCGGCTTTCGCAGATGTTTTTGAGAATTTCCGGCTTCCACTTTCCATGAGTCAGCCAGCCAACACAATCCACGCAACGTCTGCGTTTTCAACGTGTGGGATGTGCCTTGAGAGCGTTGGCAACTCCCTCCACGTGGAGCCTAGGTGGTCGAGACTGAACACCTTGACTGCTTGACGCAGCACGCCCCTCCCCCCCTCCATATTTTCCGCAGGGGCACTCAGTGAGCAGTCAACACCCAAATTGTAGACATGTGTTTTACTTTTGTTTTCACATGCACAGAACCCCTCCCGCCCCAGCGACAGCAAAGCCGCTTTTTTCCGTGTCTGAACAAGCCAAGTGCTGGCCACACAAAAAGTTGGGGGAGGGATGCTCCGAACCGCGAGAGGACGGTATATAAGTATTCCTCTGGTTTTCCTTGAGGCGCCGAATTTCAATCAGTGTGCCCTTGTCTTTGGAGCGTGGTTGAATCGATGGGGGCGCTTTTCCTAAAAAGCAGAAGAGCAAAATACACCAATTTCATTGATCTAGTCTTCCACACAAAGATGGAAATGGAACTATAAATCTTGGGCGCTGTAGATCCCCCTTCAAAGGAAATATGAGGGGAATCCAACAAGTTAAAGTTTAAAGATCCAACGCAATAGCGATAGAGAACTGGAGTTCAAAGGGTTTCCCCTCCCTCCCCCCCTTTCTAACCTCGGTTGCTTTCTGATCCCCTGCTAAAAGCCTCACTGATAGTGGTTTAATTCGGAAAACCCATTAGTTGGCAAAAGGTTAAAGTCCGAACCTCCCTTGGCAAAATGCAACAAGCGCCATGGTTGCTCCGAGACTTCCGAGCCACCGGCCGGGGGAACTTCCCCAGGGGTGAGGCACCGAAGCCTCGGAAATCCGAGGACCCCGCGCGCGCTTGTCAGAGACGTGTGGGTCAAACTTGAAGCACCAGGATCTGGACCGCCCGTTGTAGTCATGGGCTCCATTTACCCAAATTCCATTCTGGGTGCCTATTTTGACCCACAGCCAAATGTGTTCTCTTCTTTCTCTCGCTTCCGAGCGAGTGGGGCCAGAACTGACCGATCCTGATCCAGAATCTCTATAGGGGAGCCACTACAAAAGGGACCGGTTCCTTGCGTCACCCGAGGTATGGATTCAGGAAAACCTTTGAACAGCCCAGACTAAGGGGGCTTTCCCAACAAGCATGAGTTCCAGGAACTCGGGAGTGAGTTTTGGGGTATTCTCCCCCCTGTCCTTTTTTGGCTGGCGGGGGGGGGCACCCACGACCTGAACCAACTTTTTCTGGGACAACTCCAATTCTCCCTAAACAATATGAAAAGCAAGCTCCAAAACTTTTTGTATGCCACTAGTATGGCAACCAAACTCAGAAAGTGACTAAAGTCCGTGGCTGGCCTAGGTTGCACCCTATCAAGAATGCACCTGTGACAGGCCCGGGCTCGATTGCGGCGTGACGCCCACGTCTTTGATGGGCTCGCGAACCTCAGAAACCATTGACTGGTTCCACCCCAAACCAGGTACCACCTACTCATGGGCCTGGAGGTAGGGCCTCATGTTTGAAGCTTGGTTGCTACAACGGCTCCGCAAAAAGGTTGCACTCGTGTTTCAACCAAGCGAAAAATCCAAAGACCCTTCGAATCGATATAAAGCGAAGTTAACCCCATGAAACCGGGTACCTACTCAAACGGCCCTTTTCATGACTCGGTTTTGGGCGCGTACATATAAAAAAAACCAGGCCCACTCAAACAGCCCTTTGACGCACTTCCTGAGTGGGCTGGCCAACCAAAGCTCCCACATTTTTGGTAGACCACTAACATGATCTTCCAAAGTACAAAGTTCGGGAACTCAAGGAGTGAGCTTTTCATTCATCTCTTTGGGCGCTCCAAGTCGGTACCTGTTTATTCTTGTTTGTTTTTCAAGGGGAGACCAATGAAAAAACACCTCGAAACCTTTCTCCTCAGTCTTGTGATCCCTGTCTTAGTTTGCAGGTATAAGGGGCGAGTAGAATGGAGTCGTGCTTTGAATTCATAGTGAGTCATGATTCTGAGTCATGATCATAGATAATCATCTATCTATACATATACATGTACACATATGGCCCTGGGTCAAAATCCCGTACCCCCAGCGAACATCCCAATCCCCACTAAAATAGGTTCTAAAATGGGTGGTGCACCTTCCCCAAAATGGGATCCTATTGGTTTTGACCCACAGCCATATTATTCAGCCTCCATATTATTTGTGTTCCGTCACCCTTCACAACCGGAACCTCCAGTCTCAAGCCTGAGCTCTGGTCCGAGGAGTCGAAGAGATTTTGCATCTGCAGAAGCAGAAGGATCACTTTGGCCTGCCGCGAATCCGTCGAGTTACGGTCGAGTTACGGTCGAGTTACGGTCGAATTGCTCGAATTGGTCAAATTGGTCGTTTATTGGTGTGGAAGTGTGGGGGCCGAATATTTCAGTTGCAACACAGACACACAATTTGAAGAAGAAAGCAAACATGGAACCAAAGCGGCTTTCAAGGCGGCCCATTCTTAGTTGTTCCGGAACCCACCAAACAAACATAACGAATTCTGAAAGATTGATCCACTGAACAACTCCTTTCCAAATCCTTCCTCCTGAACTTTGAACATGAAAATCTCTCGTGCTCCCCCCGCTTACCATCTATTGGCCGATGAACCTGATGCTTGGGCCCAAATAAACCCATACTTGGGGTTCTCACAGATCTCATTTTAGTCACAATCAACAATACAGTAAAAGGGCAGCTGCACCGATTGATGCGTGGGGCTTTCCCTTACTAACCTTCACTTACCCGAATTGGACTTGGTTATGGCACAAATATGGAGGTTGATCAAAAGGTATGGAGGAAAACCAGCAAACAAAGATGATATGTCAACCACATGGACAAAGCCCCCACAGTCAAACCTGGCTGCCTTTCATGGCAGATTGACTCACTTGCCCAAGGGAGCCAAATATCAAAGGATAGCCTTCTCGGATGCCATGACGAAAAATAGGAAACCAACCTGGGAAAACCAAAAAAGGACGGTCAGATCGATCGGTGGATTGGCTTTGGGCAGAGTTGATCAAACCGTGTGTGGACATTGCAGGTCGCCATCGTCTGCTTCTCAAAGGAGCTATCTTGGGGTGGAGTTGGAGTTATAACTGAGTAGAGCCATGGTTACAACCGCTATGAATCGACCCGTATTCTTGGCTGGAATTAGGACCCCAGAAAAATAATATATGTATATGGGGGTTGTCCTATATTCCTTTGCCCGGGATTGGGCCCTTGGGCCGCACTTGCGCGGCACTTGCGCGGACTTGCGCGCGCACAGTGGCGCAGAAACTCGTTTTCGTCGACCTCGGTTTGCGAAGTTTTCGTGTGGATTGCGCGCAAGCTTTTCTAAGCAGTGTGTTTGTCGTTCACATAGCAACCCACAAAGAATCTTCCCGGCAATTCAACGCCAGCAACATACCCTTGACCCAACAGAAAAACGATAGCAGGCTCTGCCACACAGTTGGACACGGCCTGAAAGAAGGAAAGTGCATGTTGCGGGTGCCTATCCATTGCTTGAACCGCGCCGCTAAGGACATCCGAGACAGCATGGCTAGATGTCTTGCTGGGGCTTCTCGTGCTTGCGCGCAACTTGCGCGCGGCTTGCGCGCGGCTTGCGCGGATTTTGTCGTGTCAGTTGCTGATTGTGGAAGTTATGACCGCAGAAGCTTTGGCTTCGTTTGGCGTCTGACTCAAGAAAACACCGCACCTTTGCAAACAAGCTTGTGACCTACACATGACCCAAGCAACATTCGAAAAGCACAAGTACAGCAAGAAGATATAACCTCCTTTCATGAAGCTCGGCAACATCGGTACATGAAACCCTTCAAAACTGCAACCTTGCGCGTCCCTTGGGCCGCACTTGCGCGCTCCTTGCGCGCGCACAGCTTTTGACAACTTTTACTTCTCCCCGTTCGGCGATAATTAAAACCGAAGACTGGGGTTTTAGGACGGCCCTCATATATATATATATATATTTGCCGGGTTCGTGGAAATCAAGCGGAACCCCAAAACTAGACCACGGTTGGCCCGAAAGCAGAACATCGCAAGCGAGGTCGGCCCAACGCTGCAGGATGCGTTCTTTTTCCCTACACTTCGTGAAGCAAGCGCGAGACAGCACCAGGCAAGGTGCTCTGCGCAAACTGGTCGGTGCAAGTTGGTCTGCGCAAGTTGCTCTACGCAAGTTGCACTGTGCAAGTTGCTCTGCGCAAGTTGCTCCGCGCAAGTTGCTCCGGCAAGTTGGTCCCTGCAAGTGGCTCCCTGCAAGTTGCTCTGTGCAAATTGCGCTCCCTGCAAGTTGCTCTGTGCAAGCTGCTCTGTGCAAGTTGCTCTGTGCAAGTTGCTCTGCGTAAGTTGCTCTGCGCAAGTTGCTCTAGGCAAGGCGCTCTGCGCAAACTGGTCGGTGCAAGTTGGTCTGCGCAAGTTGCTCTGCGCAAGTTGCTCTAGGCAAGGCGCTCTGCGCAAACTGGTCGGCGCAAGTTGGTCTGCACAAGTTGCTCTGTGCAAGTTGCTCTGCGCAAGTTGCTTTAAAATGCAAGTTGCATCTTGCGACGCCCGCCCGCGGACCAGGGAAGAATCGAACCCGCGACCCGCCGGCCCGGGAGCAGGCGCGCGAACCACGAGACAACTCCCGCCGATTCCCGCAGAGGGTTGCGCGGGCACCGCAGAAATCGCAAAAAACCTCGAGTTTTTGCACCTCGACCACGCCGATTCCCGCAGAGGGTTGCGGTGGCACCGCAGAAATCGCAAAAACCATGGGTTTTTGCACCTCGACCACGCCGATCCCCGCAGAGGGTCGCGCGAGCACCGCAGAAATCGCAAAAAAAAACATAGGTTTTTGCACCTCGACCACGCCGATCCCCGCAGAGGGTCGCGCGGGAACTTTAGAAATCGCAAACAAACCATGGGTTTTTGCACCTCGACCACGCCGATCCCCGCAGAGGGTCGCGCGAGCACCGCAGAAATCGCAAAAAAAACATTGGTTTTTGCACCTCGACCACGCCGATCCCCGCAGAGGGTCGCGCGGGAACTTTAGAAATCGCAAAAAACCATGGGTTTTTGCACCTCGACCACGCCGATCCCCGCAGAGGGTCGATTTTCGTGTAGTGTCGTCGGCACTACCCCGCCGCCCTAAGAAGAGATTTTAACTCCTCGCAAGTCAATTGCACTTGACTCCTTGCACTTGCAACTTGCACTTGACTCCTTGCTTGTTTCAAGGAGTCATTGCAAGGAGTCATTGCAAGGAGTCATTGCAAGGAGTCATTGCAAGGAGTCATGGCAAGGAGTCATTGCAAGGAGTCATTGCAAGGAGTCATTGCAAGGAGTCATGAGAGCCATTGCAAGTTGCAAGGAGCCAAGTGCATGGAGTCAAGTGCAAGTCGCAAGTGCACGGAGTTAAGTGCAAGTTGCAAGTGCAAGGGGCCAAGTGCAAGGAGCCAAGTGCAAGGAGCCAAGTGCATGGAGTCAAGTGCAAGTTGCAAGTGCATGGAGTCAAGTGCAAGTTGCAAGTGCAAGGAGTCAAGTGCAAGTTGCAAGTGCAAGGAGTCAAGTGCAAGTTGCAATCCTTGCCATGACTCCTTGCAATGACTCCTTGCAATGACTCCTTGCTCCTTGCAATGACTCCTTGCAATGACTCCTTGCAATGACTTTCATGATGATGATTCCTTGCAATGACACCTTGTAATGACTCTCATGAGAACAACTCAAGTGAACCCAGCGGAAGAACCCTTCGCCATGCTTTCGGGAAAAGCGAAGAAACAAATATAAAGGGGAACGAATTCTGATAAGGAATTGGGTGTGGCTCAAATGTTGAAAGAGCTAGGCTTCAGGTCTTAGTTTTTCTAGGTCCTCCAGTATGGAAAACAAAGGGAACCCCCCCCCAAAAAAAAAAGAAGAAGGAAAACTAAAAAGGCGCGAACGAATTCTGGGGAAGGAACTGAGTAGAGCCATGGTTACCGCTATGAATCGACCCGTATTCTTGCCGGGAATCAGGACCCCAGTTTGAGAATAGGTCGAAGACAACGCATCCCCGATTCCTCTAATCAGTCGCTTTACCTGACAAAACTGTTCAACTCCAGCTATCCTCCAAAGGGAACCCCCAAAAAAGCGAAGAAAAACGAATAAACAGGGGAACGACTTCTGGGGAAGGAATTGACCTTGCAGCTGAAAAAACTCCAAATCCAGCTGCCTGCAGCTCGTTGGCAAACGTCACTTTGGCCACCAGCTGCTTCACGTGGGCCTGGCGCCAAACCCATACCTCTCCCATAGGAAAGGCCGTTGACGGGTCGCTGGCAAGCAGTATATATATATATATATATATTTGTGTTTTTGTTTTTTGATATATGTATATATCTACAATATGTTTTTTGCTTTTAACTTACTGTTTGACCCTCCAGAACTCTCTCTGAATTGCCCACTGCACTGGGCTTCATCGGGACTTCATCAAGTTGTCTATGCGAGGGTCCCGTCCTTCTCCAGCATCGCCCGTTCCAGCCATACCGTGGATGGTTGCGAAGTCCATTTCGCACCGTTCAGAAACCCTGGCCTCTGATTCGATGCAGGATTTCGCAACCATTCCCTGTAATTACCCACCCACATTCACACTCCAACTGGGCCAGATGTTGGATGCCGACGGGGGGTCGTCTGGAACTCCGGAGGTCCCCCCCCCCCCCCCAATTCCATGTTGAAGGGGCTGGGGATTGTTGCTATTGCCTACAGGGTGGGGTGGGGTGGGGTGGGGTGGGGTGGGGTGGGGTGGGGTGGATCGCTTCGCTTCGTGGCGCGAGAAGGATGCGGATTTCCCTCACCGACCACAGCTCTCTCGGTTCTTCCCGCCTCCTTGGAGCGCAAAGCTGCAATGCCTGGGATCTGCGGGTAATGGCTCGCCATCTTCTGAGTGGCGCCTCTTTTTTGGGTGGGTTCTCAGAGAACCGAAAGGAAAGCCGTAGCCAGTTTAGGGGCACCAAGAAAAGGACACACCCATATCCCATTTTTCCAAGAAGTGTTTGTGGGACGTTTTTTTGCGGAAAGAGCCTCCAAACTCCTTGTATATTTGCTTCAATCTCATCCAAGAGAGTCCAAGAGTTTCGATTTCCAGTTGTCCTTTTTCTCTTGTCATGGCCTCGCGTTCGGTTTGCCAGCAGTCATTGCAATAGTCCCTTTTGGCTTCCAGACATGTTCCAATTGCTTCGGCTGGTCTCCCGTCGACATCCACTGGTGGCCCCTAAGGCTGATCTAACCTGCCATTTGCTTGAGCCCCCAGGGAAAACTGTAGTGCTAGATTCCCGGTAAAAACCACCCAAGGAAAATAAAAAAAATACTGTTTCAGCAAATATGCTCAGCAAGAAAAACACCACGCGACATGCGCTTGCGTGCTTCAAGCGCGGCACTGGAGGCAAGCGCGGAGTCGGTGGTTTCCCGAAGATCTGGACGGATGCTCGCGATCCGATCGGTGCTTGGATGTGCGTTGCCAAGTTAGCAAGTGGCTAGCCACTTAGATTTGTTCACCCTATCAAGGTTAACCCCCCTCAACCGGGGGGAGAGCGGGGGCGGGCAGGGGGGGGAGGGAGCAGGGAGGGGCTTCTAAGTGGGTTGCAACTATAGGCTGCCAACAACTCGCAAACTTGGCCGAACACCCAAGGGTCAAGTGAGCAGTAAGCAGTGCCCAAGACCCATTGACTTCTGGCTCTCTCTCTCTCTCTCTCTGTGCTGCTCGAGTCTCTGAGCGTGGGCCAAAAAAGCCTCGAAATGATCTAACTCAGGGAGTGAGGTTAAAAGGTTTCAGCTAGTAAACCACATGCAATTCTTGCTGGCCCAATGGAAATTGGTTTTGGGCGCTCAAGTGGAAGAATTTTGTTCGAAAAACCGGAACCCTTGACATTGTTTGTGGTCATGGTCTATGTGGCGTATGTGTCCCTCAAAACTGAAACCTTCACATTTGTCAAGCATTCTAAGTAGATGACCATCCCTGCAGCCCCCAAGCAAAGGAACCGGTCTCTTCACGACACGCACCAAACCCCGAAAACCCCTGGTGGCATTGGCAGTTGCATCGTATTTGCATTATTTTAGCCTTCCCAACCTCCATTTGCCTAAGTTCACTGGAAAAAATAACACCAAACATCCAGAAGTGATAAATTCCCCTTAAGGCCAACCGACCGGGGAAAAAGACAACATATTCTTAAGCAAATGGAAGCCAACTTTGAGTAGGTTCGCCCAAACTTGTCTTCCCTTTGTCTGACTTCTTTTGGTTCAGAATGGAACCCAAGCGAAAATCCTCCCGGACAGTCGAACGGTTCTTAGTAAGTGATTAGTAGGCCTGGTCATATCCCACTTAGAAGAATACAACACCATGGTAAGTGGTTTATGGCCAGGCTTACTATTCACTTACCTGACGTACCCTGCCCCTCTAAGTAGGGCGTTGCCCCAAAAGCTTACCGGCTTTGGAAGCTCACAATGATTCGGACCCTTGGTTGCTGTTTGAGGGGTGGCCAACACCAACCATTTTAAGCCACCGACTCGATCTTTTGGATGTGAATTTTAATCAGGGACCCGAAGAAGGTGGACATCACGTGGGGATTCATGGCCACTAACCACATGGCCATTTCGAACAGCTCTCATTTGGGGCTTGATCAATATTCCCTTACGGCCCGCCAGCTTTGACCATGGGCAGCTTTAAACCTGTGGTTGAAATCTGAGAACTGTTTCATGGTTCTCCATCCCATGCAAAGAACCCGGCAGTGGCTCAAAAAAAGTGGCACCAGCATGGCATCTTGGTACATGGATCCAAAGACTAACACCTGCGTAACCGTAGCTCTTTAATGTTGAGCTATAGCCACCTGTCGGTCAACACCCATTTCCACGAATGCCATGTAAAGAACCTGTTGGTCAGCACCCACCGTCCATGGACGGTTGAGGGTTTCAGCAGACACTTTGCCTGTCCTGGGCTCACATCCTTCTTCGACACCTGGCGCTTTGGGGGCGCAGGGCGCCCTGAGCTGAGCGATTTTGTGGGTACAAATTTGGGTGCCGTGTTTTGGAGTGAGGAGACTTGCTTTTTGGAGCGATTTTGTTTTGGGCTTTGGTGTGCAGTGTTGTTTTGGTGTTTTTTTTTCCCCTCACCACATTAGTCATTGGGTGGGCGGGTGGGGGGGTTCCTTGTTGTTAAACAAATACCCATGTCGTGAGAGGTACCACAGCCATTTGGGTCGGTCCTTGGTGCTAAACCATTTGGAGGATGCAAGGATTGTTGGACAAAAGGAGTTCAAAGGGAAACAACACATTTCAGGGTTCCTCAAGAGACACCTCCTTACCCCTTAAAACTCCAAGGATTGGGGAAGTTAACCTTTTACGGACCTATAGCCCATAGTTACCCAACAAGTTGGTAAAAGCTTTGTGTTTCTTAAGAGGCAAGCCTCGTCTCAAACGGGCCACGTCCAACGACCGAGCCGCATCCTTTCGCCTCCCTTTCGCCGGCCCCGTTGAGTAGGCCAAAGGGAAACCACCCGATGCCATTCTCTGACTTTGCCCCCCCCAGAAAAACCTTCAAAGTCATGATCCCAGTCTTGGGGGAGTCCAGTATTGCAGACCTTTAAGAGGACACATCGACTTGATTGCGGACCCCTCTGCAAAGAGTCGAAACCTTTTGGTGATGGTGGCTTCAATTCGGAAATCCCGCCTGAGTTCAACCCCAACAAGTTAAAGAGTTAAAGTCTAAAGATCCCACCTAGGTAGCACTCAAGCCGCTGAACTCGAAAAAATGCCAGGAAAGTCTTAGAGCAACTAGTAGCAACAGGGCTGTGGGAAATGACCACTTCGTGATACAACAAGGGCTTCCCAAACACTAACCAACCACAGAACGGGAAGGAGATTCCCTTGTTCTCACAGAAGTGGGGTAAAGCCCCTTGTGATCCCACAACCCTGAGTAGCAAGCCACTAGAAACATGCACGGTTTCTTCCTCACCCCTTAAAACTCCAAGCCCTGGGGAAGTTCATCTCTTACAGCCATATAGCCCATAGTTACCCCCAAAAAGTCGGGAAAAGTTGTGTTTTTAAGAGGTAAGTCTTCTTCTCGGGGGGCATCGCTCGCTTTTCTCCAAGCTTTGGGTCTCCTTCGCTGATAACGGGCTTCGGGGCTTCGGGCTTCGGGCCGGCTGCGGGGCCTCTGCGCCGGAGCTCTGCAGCGCCAGCAGCAGCTTGTCCAAGCGCTTGTGCTGGCGGAGTTGTATTTTTCCAAACAAAATACGATTATAAATGTGTTTCTCCCTTTTTCTCCTTTTTTTCTTTTTCGGAGCTCGTATCCAAACCCCCAAAAACCCCGGAGGCTGTGTCAAAACGACTGACTTGTTGTTTGGAGTTCGGATGGGCGCTCAGGGCCCGCAGGGCTGTGAAGAAGGGGACTTAAGGACCAAAGCTTTGCGGTAGAATTTTAGGTTTGGGTTTGAACCAAGCTAGGGATGTGGAGTTTTTGTGGAGTTTTACTTTTGGCTTTGAACCAAAGGGTGTCAGAATGCCGAATTGGTGGTGTTTAGTTATTTTTTGTTGCTTTTAGAGTGAGACTCATAGGCCCAAAACGAACCATGGAGTTTGAGAGAAACTCAGGTGAGGTCTGTTCAAACCCCGGATGTCGACCGCAGGACCCGGCGATCTTACATGTATGGGCGTTAGGTGAAGGATTTCACGCGGAACACCCCATTGACCAAACAGGCATTTACAAATGACATTGTCCCAACCCAAACATTCGGTCGTTTTGGCCGGGCTTTACCTGAGCTGACTACATCTGCGTTTTGCCCTACCCCCCGCTCCTGTGACTTCCCAAGCGATAACAGTAGGCTGTCCGTTGAAGGGAAGCTTGGTCTAGGTTCCTGCTTGACCTCCCTGATTTCAGGGCAACAAAAGCGTGCTTGCGCCTCTCTGGGTTTGCCCACCGCCGGGAAGTCCCTGAGCCAAGACCTTCTCATCTGCCAGTTTCCAGAGCTGAGGCTTTGCGCCAAAGGAATGGTCAAAACAGACCTTAAGAATCTGGAGGTCCGATCAAGATGTTCCAGTGCCGAAAGGGCTGGTCTTGAAGGTTCGGTTCGTGAATCTGTAGCAGAGAGGTTGTGGAGAACAGGAAAACCAAAAAGGAGGTAGCCAAAGCACCCACACCCAGTCTTACACACCCAGGCTTATGGTGGACATAGTGGGACACGCGCCCTGATTGAAAAGAAGAAGCCATGATTTATGTAGGGATGGATGCATGCCATGTTTTTGAGGTTGTTCCCTGTTGACATTTCCCACTTTGAGTCCCCCCAAAAGCCCCTCAACATGACCTCAACAACAAAAGCCCCCCCCCACCCACACAAAAAGGAGTGCCCAGAGCACAAGGTCACTCGAAGCCCATGTGGGGTCAAACTCCCTTGGACACATACGCACCTTTGTTCAAGAAATGGGCATGAAATCCCCGAAAGTGGTTCCCTCTCTCCCACTGATGATCCTTTAAAACAAATTCCATGTGGGTTTGTCTCCAAATGGCACCCCCCCCCCCCCGGAAACTTTGTTGGTCTCCTCTTGGTTCCCCTTTGGAAGCCACATGGGGCTACCCCCAACGACCAACAAATCTCTAGGGGTCCTAGAAGTTGGCAACGCATATGACTTTTCGTGGTTGGCCACGTGTATGACACACCGGCGCCTGCTCCGCGAGCTCATCCCGCAGGCTTCGCAGCAGCCGGGCGGCCCGGAAGACTCTCCTCGAGTGCAGCGTTTTTCGATTTGGGGGTCCTGTTGACGGGTCGCTGGCAAGGGGCAACTCGGTGCTTTTTGCGTTCATCCGAAAAGAAGCATTTATGTTATAAGGAACAAACCTACCTACTACGTAGCCTGACAGATTTGGCCATGAATGTCCTCCTATGGAACCACCTCAAAAGTGAATGGTGGCAATGAATCCCCTGAGAATTGATTCCACTACAGAATAACTTTGCTAGACCACAGCAGTCTGTCGGTGCGGCGGCAAGAAGGATTCCCCCGCGTGGGATTCAAGGAGCTTTTCAGATCACCCACGAGTGTGTCTGAAGGAATCATCCCGTGGACACTCAAGAAAAGGGCACCCTTGTAACCGAGAGAATGTGGCACGCTGGTCCCAGCGATATTGCCAACATCATAGACCAGCGCAACATACTGTTCACAAAAGGAACACATTTTTTACAAGAGGCGAATATGGTTAAAGTAGTTGTGCAACAGGGTTGACATCCATTTTTGTGGAGGGAGCTGCGGCGAAAAAGAAGAAGTGAGACCTGAGATGGTGACTTTAGGGCACGTTGCTTAAATCCACCAGGAGCCCCCCCCTAATCAAGCACCGTCGACACCCTCATTGCATTGAACTAAACCCAAAAGGTGATGCTTAACTGCAAACCTCCCTTTGCTCGTTTACACAGTGGATAGACTATCATTTTGCAAGCCGTCCAACCCAACAATTCCGCCAGTGAAAACCTCACCTGTTGGGACATCGATTGTGTCTGCAAGCTCCTCTTGGACTGCTTCTCCACCTTCCACAGCGCCTGGGTACCATGGAAATCCACGAAGCACGAAGACATATCGACCGCCTTCCGCTTGTGGCGCAACCGCCGGTGGTTGAAAAGGACAAGGGTTACTCATTTGTATATACCTAGGTCCTCCAGTAGAGAGGTTAGAATAAGGGTACCAACTTTTTCAGGACGTCTATTTTAGTAGGGGAACCCTCCCCAAAAAAAGGGCAAAAGGGCACTGCTGCGGGACCTAGATACTGTAAACACCAGCCAGGAACAAGCATCAGCTTGTTTGAGACGCTTTGGCAGGCTGGGCCATGCTGGTTGAACAGGAGGGGCGAATGAATCCTTGGGATCTTGATGGAATTCCATTTGGGGTCTCCGATTTGGGGAACCCCCCGAAAGCATGGAACGTATGAATGAAGACTAAAGAGCCGTCAATACAGGATTCCTCTGCCTTGGGGACTAAGCTCCAGAGGCGCCGTAAATGAATGAACCCTTAGATCCATCAATTAAGCAATTCCTCTCCCATGGGCGCTTTGTTGCCCGCATAGGCCTACATGAATGAACGCCTAGACTTCGTTCCCTCTGCAAGAGCTTTAACTGTTTGTGCTCAATTCGGAAAATCCGACCTTCGAGCAAAAGGCTAAAGTCCAGAGATCCCTTGAGTAGCAAATAGCCATAGAGTAGATCCATCAATAGAGGATTCCTCTCTCATGTGTTTTTATCCCATCGCGAAAGAACCTGAATTGCTAGATCCATCACTTCACGCAGCTCCGCGGACTCAATCGGACTCTTTCCGTGTCCCTCGCCATACCCATTTTTTTCCCATAGGCGCCAAACACAAGTGAAGTGCCAGATCCATCACTCTAAGGGTTGATTCCAACCATTATTTTCAGCCATTGTTCTTTTCAAAAACCCGACATTTCCCCAGGTTGTTTGGTGGTTTTCTAGAAAGATCGAAGGATCTCTGGAAAGAATGGAAATGGATAAGTTACCCCTAGAATACTCCCCTAAAACCAACGTGGAACCCTAAAAGGGTCCCCCAGATGTGTTGTCAGAATGATACGAACTCAGGGGAAACGGAAGCTACCCCTAGAATCACTTAAACAATTGTTATTTTCTATTTTTAAAATCGGGGAACCACAAATGGCGTGCGAGATCCATCACCGATTTACGCGGCTTTCCACTTGGTCCAAGCCGCCAGGACCCGGTTGTCCAAGCCGTCCAGGTGAGCCTTCAGCTGGTTCAGCGCCTCGCCGCGGAGCGCCATGCTGAGGCGATCCGTGGCCCAGGGCAAAACCGGGTGGTTCTTGGGTCCAGATTTGAGAGGTTGGAATAAGCTGGTACCCGATGTCTTTTTTTGGTCTGTTTTCGTAGGGAACCTTGGACCCCTTTTAAGGAATATAGGTGACTGATCCCTATCTTGAGACAAATCCCAATGCAATTGATTAAAACCTCATCTTGAGTCAAACCCAATGGGTTTAATCAACCCCCCCCAGTGTTGTTTTTGTTCTTGGGGTGGTTGAAGTTAAGGTTAGCCCATCCCCAAGAAGTCGGCCTGTGCTTTTTGAACTGAAGGGGAAGCCAATCCAAAAGACCAAAACAAGTTGACACATGTTTTTTTGTTCTTACTGGGGGGTCTGGGAGGAGCTCTTTTGGGTACTTGATATTTCAAAGGCAAGCCCTTCCTCAAAAATGAACTTGAATGGGTCCGGTGGCACGAGTTGAAAATCCCACATTCCGGTTATTCGAAGTACAAGCCTTTGAACTCATTCTGACCCGACTGCCTCGCAATTCTCTTTGGACAAGGATGGTTCGACAAGGGCCCTTTCAAGAGGATGGTTCAGAACCTGAAAAGTCGATTGCAAACTTCACAAATTGGCTGTGGCTTAATGGAACCAACAACTAAAACCAGCGGTTTGCCCTAGCTCTTTTATATGCATACAGGCCTTTCATGAACCAGGCAGACCCCACCAAACCGGTCAACCTCCATTTGCTTCTTCGCCCCCTGGAAAAAACAAACATAGAAAACTATGTCATCAATAGTGAAAGCCGTTTCCCCATGGTTCAAAAAAACCACACAGACAACAAAATAAACCATCCGCCGCTTCCTTCGCCGCTTCCTTCGCGCCTTCCTATTGGGGCCCCGGGCGGTGCGGTGCACCATGCAGTCCAAGAGCTTCGACTGCTTGGTGGACAGCGCCAGCCAGGTGCGCTCACGCTTCACGCCTGGGTCGTTTTTGTCGTCCCCATATGGGTGTGGCTCAAAATGAAAGGAAACAGGAGGGGTTACCAAACCGCAGGGAGTTTACGAAAAATGCTTCCACTTACCGATCGGGCAAGACATTTTGGAATTCCGGTTTTTTGAGCCACAGCCAAATCACAGACGCCGGTCGAGACCTTCTCTCCCCCGTTGACTCACTTCCGATCGAGTGGACTGGCCAGGAACAGGCGTTTGATTTGTTGCATACCAGCAAAATGGTCCAAGCCCAAAATAGTGACTAACGTCCAGGAACTTGGATGCGCCAACAAAAAAGTTGGCCGAACTAATTGTTTGCCACTAACATGGTCCAATCCCAAACAGCGACTCAAGTCCATAAACTCTGGGAGTGAATTATGGTTTTTGAACACCCATTTTAAACGGCCCAAGTGATCTTCAAACATCTTCAAACCATCCCAAAATGGGAAACATCGAGTTGGATCCATGGAACACGCAAAGCTTCCTGTAGAACAACAAATCAAAAGGCGGTGCCTCACCCTGTAAAAAGCGCAACCTGCCGGGTCAACCTGGCCAGAATTCAAACTGCAATTTGTTGGAAATCACCCTTTTCTTCGCCCCCCCCCCCCAACATGGCATCGGGTTTCCGTTCCCTTCGAACCCACAGAAACAGTACCAACTCAAAAACGACAGACCCATTTGTTGCTGGGACAGTACTCAAGGGTTCAACCTACAGGAGAAATGGCGGGCTGGGCTTCGCGCGCGCTGATTCCAAGTTCACCTCGCCTCGGTGGAGAGACTCCGCGGCATGCTGGCCTCATTATTTTGCCATGAGCAAAGTCACCCCATAAGTGGTGGGTTAAAGGAAAACACCCCCCCATTGTGTGACTTTGATAACCAGAAACCATCAAAATAATGACCCCAGGCATGGGCGCAAGAGACACTTGAGCCCTCTGATGCCCTCTGCATGGTAGGGGCGTCCCAGGTACGAAAGGTGCCCAGCCTGATTTGGCAGGCCAGAACCAGTTTTCAATCATTTCCTCTGCGAACGTCTGGAACCTCACTGGGCTCCCTTGAAAAGTGAACTGAGAATTGTCCGCAACTCGTGAAGGCTGGTCCGCCGGATCAAGCCGGGCAACCGCTTAAAGGCTGCTTGTGGAACAGCCAAATTGGGCAACTCACTCTTTGCAAGAATCTCAAATCTTCAAAATTATACAGCAAGTCGCTCGTCTTCCCCTGAATCCAACCATCAAAATCCCCACATACTGTGGACGAAATCTTGCACCACCTAAGAAACGCTGGCTTCTGATGATTCCCCTGTAAATACCAACAAATACTGGCTTCAGCCATGGTTTCATTTTGTGGTGCGAAATGGATTTCGCAACCATCCACAGTATGGGGCCAGTCGCTTTTTCTTCCCCCGCGAATCCAACCACTCCCTCGCTGCCGACTCCGGCGAGACGCAAAAAGCTCCGATCTCGAGGTCCCCAGCGCGTGCTGAGCCCCGGCTGCGACACCTTGCGCACCTGCATCTCGAACTGGGTGCAGAGCCTCAGCTCTCACTCCTTCCCCGGCGAACCCCGGCAAATAAGACAAAAAATACTTGGAGATTTGTATCTTGAAAAAAAACACCATAAAAGTAACACTGTGTAACTACCGAGAAACTCTTTGATTGAAAATTCCAATCTCAAAATGAGCTTCATTTACCTTCAACATGGCCCCAGGAAGTTGACAGCTCTGACTCGCTGGCCCTCAACCTGCACCGCCCTAAGAAACCCGAAGTGATTCGATTCCCCTTCAAGTACCAACCAAACGCGTTTCTTTCAACCATGTTTTCTAAACGATAATACGCAATGGAGTTTGTCCGCCGTATCGTTGGATGAACTCCTGCGGGAAGGAAAGAAAAACAACGACCTCCCCGTTGCTTCTTCGCCTCAAAGGAAAAATGAAAAAATGTGATTTCAATGGTGTTAGACTCCCTTTAAAACCAAAAAGGGAACATACAAAAAGGTTCCTTTCAGTTAATGGAAGTAAATACTTCCGAAAAGTCCTCGCAGAAATGTGAAAGGTGTCTGCGAGAAGGATTCTTTCCTCCTCAAAATGGTTCAATGGCCAGGGACCCATGGATGTGCCTTCAAAAAGCAAGGGGGACCCAACCGCAGTGGTTTTCTTTTCGGCTTACCTGCAAAGGGCGACTTGTGGGTATCCTCAAAAAGCAGGCACGCGCCTGGTGTAGGTACGACCCTCAAACTAGCCCAAGCGGATGCAGCCAAGAACATCACTCTAGTTTGAGGCGAGTTTGAGGGTCCAGGTACCCTTTTTTGAGCCTGTGAACTGGGGAAACCACGAAGACCCACCCATGGGGTTCCTCCGTTTCGACATGCAGGTGCTGATTCAGAGCCACGGAGCCATAGGAAAGCCATGGTTTGCAATGAACCAAAAGGCACCAAGGCTCTGGCTCCAGAACAAGAGCAACTTCTCATGAGTCTGAGCAAAAACAACAGGACTGCTCTGAGCAGCACCCACAAACCAGTCGCTTTTGGCTATAACGGCTTATATGGGCGCTTTTTTTGATGGCACCCCTTTTCGGCTGGTTTTGAAGGGAACCAAAAGGACCACCGCTGCGCCATTTTGGGTCCCCAACGGAAGGCATGTCCAAATGGGCCTTCGCGCCCACATGGGCAGCCGGAATCGGGGCGCTCTGAGGCTGCGGCTCGTCGCAATCACTGGACTCATCCCGCAGCGTGCCTCGGATCGGGTTTTCCTGAAAAGGAACCATGATTAGAGTTAGGCCCAGTTATAGAATGTATATTTTATGGTTTGCTACAATTCGAGTCACTGGTAAAATGTAAAATGTAGCCTAAATCTACCTCAGGAACATTGCCAGCACCCGAGTGCATAGCAACCACTGCTTGTTGGTGACACCAAGGAATTGTTCTATGAATGGAAAAACCAGTTAGGGGGGCCGGCTTTTGCGCTGGCTGTTCGTTTCGGTCCCGCATTTTGATGCCAGCAAAACCAAGCCAATGCAACCAAGCATTGTATCAATCCCTTCCCCCACTTCTTGGCCCTGGAGTACACAGAAATGCTCAGATTCCGCCCCCATCTTTGCGAAGCCCCCCAAAAAAATCGGGGAAAATACGAAGAACAAAAAAACCCTGGCAGGAGAGCAGCCCTCCAGAATTCAAGCCAGGCCTTCCGCCCCTTCCGCCCCTTCCGCCCCTTCCGCCCTCACCCCGGCCCTTCTGGAAGGCCCAGGCTGTTCAGAAGCTCCAGGCACACTTGGAGCACCGCGCCATGAGGAACCACCACCTGGCGACCAAAAACTCCCCTCTCCACAGAGACTGGGTGCTCCTTGTTGGCTCCCTTCAAATCCACGTGGATTTTTTTTCGGTTTGGAACGGTTTCTGGGGCCCAGTTAGCCCAAGCCCTGCGCTTGGAGTTCCATAGCTTCGGCCCGTTTCGCTGGGTCGCACGGAGCGGCCGACTTCCAGCGGCAGATGGAGGCACTCGCAGAACAAGGTGATAGATACCTTTTGGAGACCCCAAACCAACCAAGGGGGCGCCCTAAGCTTACCGCTCACGCTCAAACTGGGATCCGGATGCATTATACACCTGAACATTGCAACTTGTAAATGGTGGTTTCCAAAAATCTTGGTGGAAAACGCAACATATTTCAAATGGTTGCAAAATGGAGATCTGTTAAGGAGCCCCGTCAAAGGACCCGCTTGGTTGTTTCTTGTTTCCATGACAACATGGGCTGACCCTGCCTCGGACTGAGCATACTCCGCTACCTGCGTCTGGAAAATGTCCACCGCCTGGCCAAGTGAGAAATTCGCCCCCCAAGGGCGAAACCGAAAAAGTTGGCGCCCCTGGGCTCTGCAACTACCCGGAAAAATCGGACGTTGCCCAAAAAATATGGGAATGAATCGCTGTTATAGGGGCAGTTTGGGGGTCCAGGCCCTTTTGTTGAACTCTTTTGGGGTGACTTTAATGGGAAAGCAACAGGAAACCACACCCAGTTTGGTTCAAGACTTGGTTTTGAATCGCTCGCTGAAAGGGAAACCCACACCCCCAATCTCAGACGCAGCCCCTGCAGTTGCCGGGGCCCCGGCCACATCAAAGTAGTCGAGGAAGAGGTCGTCATCACGGTGGAACTCCTCGCTGAGATGATGCATCCGCTCCATCCTCTCGAGATCTGCTCCGCACCTGAGCGCAAGTCTGAGGCAGTCAAGAGGCAGCGTCGCATCAACTTGTTCATAATCCCATGCTGCCTACGCGTCCGAACTCATCCGGAGACAAGCCCAAAATGAGGTGGTCAAAGACATTCTGACAACGCACCTCAACAGGAGTCCCTATTTTCTCGTTTCAATCTGCACCTTCTCCAAATGGGGTACTTCAAACCCAAGCATCATAACAGAACACAGGTGTCTCTGAAAGGGCTGTTTGGATGTTAGGTGGTATCTTCCCCATTTGCAACCAAAGGAGGGGATACGTGAGGGGTATCTAATTCAAACAAACCCTAAATTTGGGGGATTCGAACCTCTGGATTTGGTCGTGGGCAAATGGGAAAGCACCCAACCCGATTCAGATTGCCCTCACCTGGTGATTTGGGAGGGTTGGGATTTGAACCTTTGGATGCTCAGCGTAACGGCCTCCCAACCACTAAACGGGAAGCAGCATCAAGGTACCCTTACTGACCTCCGGGGGGGGGGGGGGAAGGGGAATGTGGCAACTCCCGGAAGGTGCCGGAAGCTGAATCTGGGTGTGTCTGTTTTGTTTGAAGAACCCCTTTGGGCGGTTGGCTTTAACAGGTGAAGGGAAAAGCACCCGCCCCAATTTTGGGGCTGGCTCTCATGGAGTCTTTAGGTGACCCACCTCCCCCCCCAAAAAAAAAACCAACAACTTGCTGTTTTCCCTTTGGTTTTCCTTGAAGGAAAGAAAGAGAACCCCCCCCCCCTCCGCCAAAATTGTAATCTCACTTGATGAATTGTGCGATGTGTTCCGCCCATGGCCGTTTTTCACCTCAAAGGGTCTTTTCGGCGATGCTGGCCATGAAAAAAGGGCGGCAAGGAACAGCTGAGCACAAAAGCAAGAAGAGAAAAAACAAAAACACGTGCTTCTTTGTTTTCCTGGTTTCTCTTGACAGAACTCCTCCCCCCCTCCAAAAAAAAAGAAACGCTCCCCCACCCCCAACAAACAAAAAGCAGAAACGCAGGCCCCCTTAAAAAAAGAAGAACCCCCCCACCAAAAAAACACATGTTGCGCTCCTTTTGGTTTTCCCTTGAAACAGACAAACACAGGACCCCCCCTCTCAAAAAAAAGCACACACTATGTTGTGTTCCTTTTGGCTTTCCATTGAACAACAAACAAAAAGCACCCCCCAAAAAAAACAAACAAACGTGCTTTTGTTAGTTTTTCCTCTGCTGGCGTCCCTCGGACACCACCCACCCCCCTCCCTCGCGTCCGGCCGGGCTCCAGCGCTTCACCTCCTTGGCACGGTCCACCGACCCGAAGTTCTGGGCCGAGCCTCAGAACAAGCTCGCGAGTGGATTTGGGGGAACAACAAGTCGTGTGGGTGGTGGGTCCTCCAGTAGAGAGGAATCCATTTCGCACCACAAAATGAAACCATGGTTGAAACCAGAGCGTTTGTTGGTATTTGCAGGAGATCATATCATTCTAGGGTTTCTTAGGTGAGGATTTCGTCCATCCACAGTAGGGTGCTAGGTCCTCCATGTTTGAGCCTCCAGATTTTGGGGCTTGGTTAGGTTGACTTCTGCAACCACATCGGCCTATCCAAACAAAGCAGCAAGTGGGGGGAGCTACACAGGTCCTCCAGACTTGAGAGGTTAGAATTAGTTCGTGCCCGATTTTTTCTGTAGTCTATTTCAGCAGGGGAACCCTCCCCAAAAAAAGGTAAAACAACCCCAGCTTCATTTTAGAAGAAGATTTGGGGGAACGAAAGTCGTGTGGGTGGTGTTGCCACCCCAGCTTCATTTTAGAAAGAACCCCCTTTTTTGAGAGGCGAGCTTTCTTGCACATGGGGTTTCGAAACAATTCGTGGGCGAGTCCGGTTGGGTTGGCACGCCTTTCCTGGAATCCACATCACATGTAAGCCTTGACAGCTTATGGAAGATGCACCCAAGAAATGGATCTGGGTGAATTATGATATTTCACCAACCTGAAATAAGGTGCTTGGGGGGCTATTCCAAGCACATAAACCACCATTTGGGGTGAATTCGGTCGTGTGAGGTCGTTATCATTCACCCAGATGGATGTGTTTTGAACGAGCCACATATCGATCCTCCAGGGCGCGCGGCCCAACAATAATTGAGCTCGGCTGCGAAATAGAAGTCTCGCAAGGAATCAGAGGACGACAACGAGCAAACATAGACTTGACCGAGCAAACTCAAAAGATCCCCCTACCTCAAGGGGCAGGGGGGTGGGGGGTCCCACAATTTCATTTATTCAGTCTTCCCCACGAAAGGGAACATGGAACATTCCAGGGGTCACCCCCCTCCCCCAATTCCATTTTGCAGGGAGTGGGGATCTCAAAAGCCCAACACTCTGAGTCAACCAGTTTGCTTATGGCTTCCCTTTAAGGCCCAAAGGGTACTGGGCCTTTACAATAATTCTAGGGGTTGCCTCCAATTCCATTCTTCTCAACCATCGTTCTTTCGACCACCGGATCCGTTTTCTTCGGGTGTCTGCAGGTGTTCTGCAACGAAGGATCCCAGGAAAGATTGGGGAAAGTACCCCTAGAATAATCTAAACTTGCTGGTGCGATAGGGAATGACCTTCCGTGTGTTGGTAATGAACCGGAAGGGGATTCCCGCAAAGGACACCATAGGGCGTGGTTTATCTCGGGGTCCATTCCTCTCATTCCCTGCTGAGAACCACCAAGTCAATGGGACATGCCCAAAAACTTACTTCCAGGAGTGGACGATCTGAACTTTTACCACCAAAAATGACCTTCCCAAAAAGCGTCAAGTTCAGGAACCCAGTGAGTGAGAAAAAACAACGAGCGGTTCCGATTCGAGGGTGAGAGTCCACTCGCACGCACTTCCGACGTCTTTTGGGGCACGCTGAGCCGCGGGCCGTATTTCTTGGAAAGGCCCTGGCGAAGATTTGCATCCGAAAAACCTGCCCTCCCGCCAATTGACACCTGGAGCCTGAGGTGCGGAGGCTCCTGGTTTGGACCATGTTCCTTTCGAAGGGACTGGGTCTCAACGTCAGGTTCCAGGTGAAATGGTTGGGAGGGGAACTAACTTTTGGTTGAAATCACATGGCCCATCACATTGCAAAAACCTCAAAAAGAAAAACCTAGAAAGAAAAACCTCAAACAGAAGCACCTCAAGCAGAAACACCTGAAACTGGAAAACCTCAAATTTTCTGTGGGCCAAGAGTCCAAAGTCTCTTGTCAAAATGTTGTAAGGCCGAGAGTGAGAATTGCTTGAAATCGCCTGGCCCAAAGATACCCTGTGAAGGGTTGGATGACCCATTTTCCACCAAGCTGTTAGGCAAGACGGCAAGATCCAATGTTCAAAGAGAGCTTCAGGGTCCAGAGAGTCTTTTGCTGTGGAACTCACTGGTTTTTGGTTCTACCAAGGTGGCAACAGGTATATTCAAGCCAGGCGACCCACGGAAATAGGGAATCGAACCCAGTTGGCCAGCATACACTTTAGAGCGTTGCTCATGGGCGTGTCTCAAACTCAAATGGGACCCGGTTCCATCTGCTTCCCCTTTGGGAGGTACCAACTCCAAAAACACACACACACACACACACAAACAAATGACCAGTGAGACAGGCATTGCACATCTCAACGGTCCTTTTTGCCATCTCCCATAGGGCTGGTGGACCTTCTGCAACCAGCACTTCGGCCTATCTAAACAAAGCGGCAAGTGGGGGGAGCTACACTAGGGCCTCCAATGGAGAGGTTAGAACAAGGGTACGTGTTTTTTCTTTTCTTTTTTGGTTTGCATTTTTTCTTCCGGTAGTCTATTTTAGTAGGGGAACCCTCCCAACCAAAAAAGTTGGTGAAGGGGCACTACCGGGGGACCTAGTACATGTGAACTTCCCGGGATTGAGTTGTCCACCTCCCCCCTGCCGCCCGGTCTCCTTTGTCAAAGGAAAGGGGCTACCAGTATTTTCGGACGCCTTTTCCGGAACCTTTTGACTCAACCAATTCGAAACAACACGTAGCCATTGTCGAAAGTACACGGCATACATATTCTTAGGTTATCTCACAGGGATACCAAGCAAGTGTGTACCTGGACTACAAGACCACCCTTCAAAGTGGGGCACTGCACCAAACTACAGAATGGATTGCAAATGAGTAATTTAGTTTCAGGGTTGAGGTATTTAATTGCGGCGTGTTTTTCTCATGGTACGCTTTGAAGATTGGTTTAACGTGCAGCCAAAAGAAAACACCCTACTTGGGGGTCCCCCTATTTTCACAAATATCCATTCGCGGGTTTAGGATGACCATTGGATAGGAATCCGCTCAAAAGATGTGATATTTCCCCACAGAGAAACAGTTACCCATGCCTGGTGTCTCCATGACCCTTCAAAAATGGTCGGCCATGACCCCTTTCTTTTAGGTCATGATCCCATTTTTCAAGGGTCAGAAGAAGACTCCAGGTGGTCAAAACTGGCCAGTGGGGAAGATGGAGCAACCCCTCGCGGCGGACGAAAAAACATCTGACCTCCACGATGAGCTTTCTCACCTCCGTGTCGTTCACCACGGTGGCAGCCTTCGCTTTCGAAACGGAAACCAAGCGGAACTCGGTGGCGAAATCTGCTCCCCGGCTAAAAGTGAATAACTTTGAGTGGTTTAATACGGAAAACCCATTAAGTTGGCAAAAAGCTAAAGTCCTAACATCCAAGCAAAATGCACCAAAGGGAATTTGCAGCTTCCCTCTGATTGGTGCTTTGGATTGGTGGTTTGGTGGTTAGGGGGGTGGTTTCCCACCTACCCTCTACAAGAACCAGCCCAAACCACTGATTGAAACCACCAATTCAGGGTAACCTGATTGACCCTCTGCCTCCCCCAAAAAACTCATACGTGTTTCAACACCTCCAAAACCTGACAACTGATCCCCCAATCAAGGACCTCCAGTCTACCTTGGGGAGCCTTGAAAAGATCATACTTTACATGGTCATGGCCCTGTATGGCCATGGGTCACAACCTATGCCTCCATTTTGGGGCGGATGAACACCCATGTACCACATATTTTGATGTTCACCAAGGCTACAGGATTTTGACCCACAGCCGTATAGCGTTCATAGATGTGGGTGGGGGCACAAAGGCTGCCACTTGACAAGAGAAACTGCCGTCAACACAACTAGTATTTTGCACACACCCCAAACCCCATCGAGAACCTGCCGTTGAAGGTTTTCATGCGAAAAATGGGATCTGACCTTAATGGGTGATAGCCTGTCCCCATGCCCCCCTTGCTGTGATTAAGGCTATCCAGGTCTCCAATTCTGGGCAACGTTTCTAGAATCCCCATACTGGAACTACTGTGGATGCCCGAAATTGCAACACCTAAGAAACCCTAAGAAACCTTGGTTTCTGATTCGATTCCCCGACGTAAATATATAGCAAACCGTTCTGGTTTCATTCCCATGGTGACTCATTTTGTGGTGCAAGAAGCAAATGAATTTCGGGCAGCCATCCACAGTGCGGACTGCCCGTGTAGCCTTGGTGAAAACGCCTGGTTTCTGGGCGCTTTGGCAGTTTTTGTCCGGGGCCGGGTGCCCGGATCTCCATGTGGAAGCCCGGGTATGTGTCAAGACAAGGGGGCCCGGACCCCCCAGCAAGGGGGCCAAACACCAAAAAATGGACTGACGAACTGACCGCTTGAAAGGACCAAGTCAAGGCCTAGAATAAGAGGGCTCCCGAGTTCTTTGCCCTTGAAACATCACTGCCAAGGGACGCTCCCCTTTCATGGGCCCAAAAGGTGATGTTCAAAAGCACCAAGAGGGGAAATGCAGGGACCCCTGAATAAGAGGTTCAAAGGCAAATGCAAAGACGCGTGTTGTCATTTGCTTCTGCAATCTCGTTTTGATCCTGTACACCAACCCCAGACCCTTGCTAAAAGTTGAACTTGTGGGAAATGCCATAAACCCCCTCCTTGCTTTCTGTTGACCCCTCTGCAAAAAAAAACAACAACAACGTGGGTCCAACAACAAAGTTCGAGTCTAAAGATCCAGCCCAACAACCCCAGCGCAAAATCCGCGCAACATCCCCTGCTTGGGTGGGTTCAAGACCTGGAGGAGGAACACCGTGTGTCTTTTTTTCCTTGCGTTTGAGACTCCAAGCAGGGTATCAATCACCCTGGCTGCCTGGTCTGCAAAAAAACCGGTGGGTCCAATGGAAATCCTTGATTGTTCACAAAAAAAGGTGAAAATCTTAAGATCCAGCCCGGTACTTGCTGTGGATGGACGAAATCCTGCACCACCTAAGAAACCCTGAATGATGATTCCCCAACGTAAATACCAACAAACGTTACGGTTTCCCATGGTGTCCAAGTGCTGCCAAATCAATTTCGCAACCATCCACAGTATCAAGCCTCTAAACTCAACAAAGCTGGGGGTCTGCATGGCTACCGCCCCCCGAGTCTTAGAGGGTTTTCAGCGAGCGAGCGCCTTCTGCTCGCTCGCCGCCTTGATCTCGGCGTCCGCACCTCGAGCGGGGGACGGTCATTGCCTCCAGAACTTGCCCGGCTCCAGCCAAAACACGGAGCAAGCATGTGACATATGCATGTATACAGCTGTATACATGTACATATATGTATGCTTTTCTTCGGGAACCCCAAAACGCTTCATTTCCACATTCCCTACCTTGCTGCTGCTCAGGGTAGGGAATGACGGGCATGAACCGTTTTGGGATTCCCCCAAGGAAAGCACACCACCAATGTTTTCGTTGTTCAAAAATAAACCCATTTCTATATATATATATATATGTGGCCATGGGTCACCCCCAGTGAACATCCCAATCCCCACTAAAATAGGTTCTAAAATGGTTGGTGAATTCAACTACCGACCAAACCGGGATCCCAAAACAGTTTTCACAACCACAGCCATATCTATCTTTAAGAAAAAATCCCCAATTTATAGACATATATATATATATATATTATATTTCTATATGTATTATGTTTAAGTGTTGTTTAAGCACCTCATAAGCAGGTGGTTTTTTTCTGGCACTTGAGCCCCCGGACTGGCCAGCTCCGCCTCGAGGCGCTGGATCTCGGTGCCCTGCGCCTCCCCACTCCGCGAGGTTCGGGCGAGAGCGAGCGAGGTTGGTGGCCCAAGGGTTTCTTGGGCTGAGCCAAGGGGCTTCTTGGGGTTGGTTCTTGATGGGTAATCATATTTGGAAGACCACCTTTCCTTTTGTATTTTGATGGGTAACCATAACTTTTCAGGTCTAAAGTTGGCTTAACTTTACCTAAAGTTGGCTTCTGGAAGACCACCTTTTGCTATTTTTGCTTTTGTAGGGGTCCAATACTCTTGGGACAATCAGGTGTACTTTGAAGGAACCCTTTCCCCGGAGAAGAGAAACCACCAAAGGATTCCTCTTTAGAGTACCCGGGTGGGTTTTCAAGAGAAGCCAAAAGGAAGTCCGCAGGATCCATGTTATGTTGAGATACCCATGCCAAAGGGACCTCATCTAAACATGGGGCTCCAACCAGGATCATTCCTTCTCTGCTTGAGTTGTTTATTTTTGGGGATATGTGTAACATGGTTCGATACGCTGATCATCAAGGTGCTGATGGGATATTGCCAATGGGGTGAGGACCCTTTTGGTGCATACCAAGAGCCTATGTCGCAACCAACTTGGGGGCATGGCTTTGATGTTTCTGGGCGGCTTCACTCCAATTGGTCGCTTTCAGCCCGGTGTTCTGGAGGGGGTTCCCATTTACCCTCTACAAGAACCAGGGGTTCAAATCAAAATCCAAACCACCAATCCAAACCACCAATTCGGAGTTACCTGATATTTTGGGGTGAGTCGCCTATGCAAGAAAAAACGAAAGACCCCATAGGGCCGGGTGCATGGACAAAGTAGCCGACCTAGGGAAAAGCTGAGCCAGGAAAGGAACCTTTCAGCATGTTCCGGTCTGAGGGTTCTCAAAAGCTTCGTGCGGAGAATCCTAAAGCAGTCTCTCTCCACTAGCGACCTGTAACTTGCTCCAAGAAGGCCAAGCCCAGTCTCCCAGAAAAAAATCCCCACTTCAAGCCCTGGACTTCTTCTTCCGAAAACAACATACAGTTTTTTAAAAGAAAAAAAAAGAGCACAGAAACACAACAACACCAAAAACAAAACAACAACAAACAAAAAACAACAACCGAAAAAGAAAAAAAGACGCCGGGCTCCTTGATGTAGAGCTCTGCCACACTGAAGATCTTTGGCCACGGCCTTGATAGGACCCCCCTGGAAAAATCTCACGCGCGATCCAACGGGAGACCAAGGCAGCGGGACGAGACGCGGAGGGGCGAGCCAACTTCTCTTGGAGTTAGGCAACCAGTCGAATTGGGGGATAACCTATGATTAGGACCAATTGAATTGGAGTTAGGCCCAGTTAACCTATGATAGGAGTTAGGCAACCAGTTGTAGAATGTATATTGTTCATTGTTTGCTTCACTTTGAGTCACTGGTAAAATGTAAAATGTATCCTAAGTCTACCCCAGTTAAGAAGTAAGGCCTGAAGATCCGTGGCTTATCCTGACCTAGACCTCCCCCCCTACCCAGAATTAGCCCCTAGGGGTTCATGAAATGGAGACCCTCAAGGTTGATCCAGTCGACGTGGTGATAAACCAAAGGGAATGAGTGGAATGCCCCCAAGCGGTTTTGCGGTGTCCTTTGGTTTAAGGAAACATCTGTTCCCGAAACCCGGAAATCATGCCCTACTGAGAATGTCAGCATAAGGATTTGGACCCCAACATGGGCCTTGGACTCCCTGTTGTTTCCCGAATCAACCCTGAAAACTTCCATTGCTTTTTCGCCCCTGGCAAAATGAGAAAACGTGTCCAAACAAACTCCCGCTTCGAAACAAACAGGGGGACATCAAAAAAAACAACTCATTTGGCTGTGGCTCAAAAAACCGGTACCAAGCTGGAACCCTGGTAAGTGGAAACATGGACCAAAACCTGCGCAACCCCTCCTGTTTAATTTTGAGCCACACTCATTTCAGCCAATGAAACGGGATACCCCGACGTGGTGCCTTCCTTTTAGCTTCTGTCTGCCTGGATTTCACGATGAGTTTCAATCTAAGACACGCCAAACCACGGGACTCAGGGGAAAACGGAGGTACGTAAAGTTACATGCGCTTTACATAGTGGCTACGCTGCATCTTGATAGATAGATCTCGATTTATTTATATACATCAATGTGTCACGTATCGTTCCTACTGCTAGGCTGCAACGCACCCCAATTCTTTTTCCCTTCTCATCATTCATAGTCTGCACTGCCCGTGCCTGTCACAACCCTCATCACCTGAGGGATAATGCTTTGGATCTCCATGCATCTCCTGCATGGACTGTGCTTAGAGGGGGCCACCGGTCAACTCCGGTTGGGATGCCTCTAACATCCTTAAAAGTTCCCCTCCCCTCGAAACAGCACAGTGCGCCCTTGCGCAAACCCCAGTCCCATCGGGACCTTCCAAGTTGTCGGTCACTGGACGCCAGGCCAGACAACTAGGGTGGGTTGGGTGGGGAAACCAAAAAGGTGTCTGCCAATTTGGCTCAGTCTTGATCCAAAATGGCAGACCCATAACAATTGATGATACATGTTCACCCAATGCCTGCCAAGCTCTAAACCTGGCATACATCAATGTGTCACGTATCGTTCCTACTGCTAGGCTGCAATGCACCCCAATTCTTTTTCCCTTCTCATCATTCATAGTCTGCACTGCCCGTGCCTGTCACAACCCTCATCACCTGGGGGATAATGCTTTGGATCTCCATGCATCTCCTGCATGGACTGTGCTTAGAGGGGGCCACCGGTCAACTCCGGTTGGATGCCTCTAACATCCTTAAAAGTTCCCCAATGCACTTCATCAACTCCCAAAGCACTACAGAAAGCTCGTCACCGCGAGCACAGCTTCCACATGATGGGGAAACAGAAAGCAGTAGACATTGAGAAATCATTCTGGCGGGCCCATGGGTCCTGCCATCCTAAACGGGAAATCGCATCTGACCAATTGGACTTGGAAGGGATCCATTCCCAATACATCCAGACCTTCAGCCCATACAAAATTGTGTGGATCACGTGGGACATTCGTTCCAGGTCGGGTTCTCTGGATCTACCACGGATTAAGCACATCAGGGCTGCGGTGTTGTCGATGTACCACACTCCCCGCCGATTGCGGAATGTATCCGGCCGGCAGAGAAGTACAACACCATGGACAGTTCCAGTTGAGCAATCTTCCGGTCCCCCGGAGTCCACAACTCGTAAAGCTCAATTGGGATGTCGGCTACAAAAGCTTCCCGTCGCTCGGTGAAGCCGTCGGCCCAAACCATCAGGAAACCTCCCGTCCCCTGACGTGGGCTCTCAAGAGCCGCATCGGAAGCGATCACAAACCTCTCACACGGCACTGGCAAAACTGGCAGCACTCGCCGTGGTTGGGTGGCAAAGACTGCTTCTAGCAACTCAAGGCTCGCCTTGATAGGCTCAGTCAGCTCAGATGATCTTTCAGCCTGCCGCATCTTGATGGAGCCCAGTCCTCCGCATCCCACGCGGCCATAGACTCCCATCTCCAAGAAGTTAGCCAAGCCGTAGATCTTAGCCGCAAGGCCAGGTGCTAGCTTCTCCTCTGTCCTGACCTTCTGGATCATCCCGGACATCTTCTCGTGCAGCCGCTCCCGAGCCCAGAAGGACACCACGCCGTTGTGCAGTGCGTGAGACAGGTCATGGTCAAGCCCCAGAAAAAGGCCTTGGGCTGCCATAGGCTGCTTCTTGTCCTCGGAGAACGGCGTGCCCAGCAGCCGGTTCAGCTCTTCCAGTGCCCACTGGCCGGAGCCACCGGCTGATCGCCAATCCGTGATGTGGGCGTCGTCGAAGTAGAACGAAACCAGAAGGACCAACAGTCGCCTGGCCAGCGATTCCGCCAGCCGAGAGTACCGGTTGAAACTGGTCACGGCCAACGGCAGGCCAAAGAGCAACCCTGCGTACCGCTGAAATGCAGGCGCCCCCCAGCCTTCATGCCAAAAGCAAACGATACAGCCTCTTGCCTCCTCACTGCTCATAGGAGAGTGGCGATAGGCATCTGGCCAATCCTCCCCTCCGGATTCCCACGAGTCACCCTCGCGGGCTGAGCGAAGTTGGCGCTCATCCATGCGTTGCATCACCGCTGCAATGTGCTGAGCTGGCCGCAGCGGCGAACAGAGGACTAATTTGTTGGCGTCCGATGAACGGAGGGACTGTCCCCCTGTATCTGCGTTGCCGATCACTCGCTGTTTGCCTGAGGACTGTGCGATGACACACCTGGGTATGAGTCGGAATCCCTGCCCCTTGAGCTCCCGCTGCAGCTCGGACACAGGGACATCGGGGCCGTGCAAAACCCACGATCAGCGTCCTTCTGCAACTGCTCCAGTAAGAAAGTGTCATCCTTGCCCGGACGCAAATTGGCTAGCACGAGACGATTGTTCTCGCCCGCCCCCTCCAGGACCTCCTCAAAGGTAATCCTCCGCGCGTCTTGCTGGGGGAAAACGCCGTAGTGGGGCTGCTGGCAGGCCGACGACCAGGCCATGGGGGTATGACACGTCGGGCCACGCCAGCAATATCACCAACAGGCCCAGCAAGCCAATGTCGCTTTGCGCTGTCACTGCTTGAAGGGCTGGTGCCTGGAATTGCCTCAACTGATCATTCACTCGCTTCCATCTCTGCTTCAACTCCTTGACGGCCCCAATGGCGCCACGACGCAGCTGGCGCAGGTCCCGCCTGCGTGCCGCCATGACTGAAGCCACGAACTGCAAATCCTCGTCCATCACTGCTTCCTGCTCCAGTGGAGTTGGTGTCATCTTCATTGCCAAGGCCGTAGCGAAGTGGTCGTCCGGATTGGGCTGCCTTGTGGCTCAACGCGCCCGCTTGCTGCCCCTCAGCTGTGCGCGACCGGATGCGGACCCCCGCCGGGGCCGTGGTAGCTCAGGGAACCATCCCAATCTAGCTGCTGCCCATGCCGCCACTCCGCATAGTCGGTGAATGGGGATTGGTTGATGAGGTCCTCAATCATGGGGAAGCGGAAGTCCTTGAACCAGGGTTCAGGGAAGAGGCCCAAGAAGCAGTTCACCACTGCCTCTTGCGTCCAGCGCCTCCACGGCACTGCTCTGGCATCCACTCCCGGCAAACTGCCCCATGCCAGCAGAACTCCTCGTCTCGGCACTCGGCGGTTCCGTCGTGCTGGCTGTGCGGCCGATTGTTGGACACACTCCTCAAACACCAAGCCTGCCAAAATGTCGGCCTTGCACACCTCCTCTAAGCTGCAATCACAGGCCAGCCTCTTGCCCATCAGCTCCGGCAACCGGTCACCCAGGCCTGACTGATGGACATACTGCACAAAGCGTAGGATCCACTCGTCCCACGAACAGTCGTGCCCCACCTCGGGTAGGGTCCCATCTTCGTACAACACTTCGAGGATCACCACTCGCCGCGGCACTGTGGCACCCGAGGCCAATGGGGGTGGTGTGAGCCCAAGGCTCACCGCCATCGGTGCCATGGCCCATTCGCGCAGGGCCCGTCCATCGAGCTCCAACCAGTGCTCCCGGCGCCCCACCGTCTCGATCGCTGGCATCCGCGGGACCTTCAGGCGTGCCTTGCCGACCCGGGCCGCCCACCACGAAGCCGCCACTGCGATGCTGAATGCCAGCGCTGCCGTGTACTCCGCCTCGGCCTTAGACGGGTACCACCTGCCGTCGGAACTCTCCTGTGGTTCCCACTCTCGGGGGTGGTGAGTATGATGGCACATCAAAGGCGGCCACTCCTCGATCTCCTGGACGTTGTGCCTGAGGCACTGGAGTTTGCTCCGGGCCCCCGCAAACACGCATGCGGAATACTGTGTGTCCTTCCACAGTCCGGACTCCATCATCGCCTGCTCCTGGGGGAGGTACCAGTGCAAGCTCCTCCATGGGTTCTCCCCCCCTTTTTCGGCGTGCTTCTGGAGCTGTGTGAGCATCCAGCCGCATGCCGCGTTGTCCGTGTCCACCCGAGCCTGGTCCTTGACTGACAGCCCTGGTAACCCAGGGGCTGGTCTGCCGACCTGAGGGGCTGGGGTGCTGGTCGTCCATCGTTGAACTTCCGCGGAATCTCCCTTGCCCGTGACTTGGTGGAGCAGTCCATCGCGGCCGCAATGAAGTCGGTCTCCTCGAGCTGGTCTGCCAATGACTTTTGCCTCAGGAGATTAAACAGGTCGTGGGCAGGGTCAAGGAGCCAGTCCACGGAGATGGTGCGCCATCCACACCACAGGAAGGCTTTAACAAAGGGAGGTTCGGACCACACATGAGGTCAGCCATCAACGGTGGTTCGCCACCAGGCAGCGCTACCGCAGCGGACCCAGAGGATGCAGGTTGTGGTTGCTACCCCCACAGACGCGCTCACCCCTGGTCACCAGTCCGCAACGGTGGGCCCCCTGCTGACACTTGGTCGCCTTGCAATTGCCATGCTGGAATACTTGGCACAGGGCAACTCCATCTTTCAGCACCTTAGCCACCGCCCGACCGCCGATCGGCTTGCCCAGCTGGAAGAGGGACGTTGGGGTGTTGGTCGCCACTTTGCCCACGGCTGGAGTGGCCGGCGCGGCGCTCCCCTCGCCGGCACGCACCACCCAGTGCGGGTCCCGGGCCTCAAACACCTCCATGACCACCGACAGCACGAGCTTCGTCCAGGTCCCGCTCGATGTCCCAAAACGGGTGCTCCAGTCGCTCCCGCACCAGAAGCGGCTGGGATGGCTGCAGGCTCAGGACCTGGGCTGAAGTTCCGTGAAAGCACCAGGACGGCCTCCCTAGCCGCCTCTGGAGCACCTGACACCCGGCCCGTGCCGGCCAGGGCGTAGGCCACCAGCAACGTGTAGAGCTTGTCCAGATAGCCCTCCCAATCCCTGGCCACAGTGTCCTCGTCCGCGTCTTCTTCGACGAACAAGGTGTCAGCCAGCTTCCTCTTCTTGCTAGATGACGTGAGCTGGAATTGCAATGAACGAACCTTCCAAACATCGAAAACACACAGCAGCCTCTTGGACATCTCTCGACTCACTCGGGAAACGGTGGCATCCGATGGGTACAATTCCGGGGGGAGCCGGACTCGGTACCTGGTCCAAAAGGCCACCTTGACATCCCGAAGCTCGCTGTCTCCCAGCAGTGAATCGGTGTCACACTGTTTGAAATACAGTGAAACCGCGGACCAGGCCCGCCTCAAACGGGCCACCTGGATCATTCGATCATCTCCCAGATTCAGTTTGCTCAGGAAGGTTTCTACCTGTGCCTCCGAGTCGAAGAAAAATCGAAACTCTTCCAGGTTGGCAATCTTGTGTTTGAGGAGGGCTTGGACGACCGATTGCTCCAGATCAAAGTTGACTGCCAGGGCATCAAGGGTTTCCTCAATGGTCTTCCCAGGTGGAGGCACCAACCCCAAACTTGCCATTCCCGCCGGGGTCACTCCCCGGCCTGGCCGTCAAAGCCGGATCTAGTCCTGCAATACGAAATGGGCTGAGGCAGACCCCATCCCATGACTGACTTCCCTCCCTGTCACCCGGAGTCAAGCCATGAAGCATCACTTGCGAGGGTCTGTCACTCGGCCTTGCACGTCTCCCAGAAACTGAAAGCCCACCCCAAACTCTACACCTCTCAGGGGGGCCTCAGTGGTTCTTGGGTTGAAACAGTTCGTCCTCAACATCGACTTTCTTCTCGCTCTCAGCAGGGTCGGGCCCGTCGGCACAGGCTGAGGCCCGTGCAAAATGGGGACCCAAACTTATTTGGATGCGCCGGGGCGCTACAAGGCAAAACCGCAAAACATCAGCCATAGTCTACTCACTGCGCCGCCACCCAGCTGGAGCTCGCGCTTGGCCAGGATCGGATCCTTCATTGCAAGCGCCCAGCACCAGCGCGCCTGCTTGTGGCTACACAGCGGCGCATCGTTCATCATGCGCAGGTGGATGTTCGAGCGCACCGTGGTCACGTAGCCCACCGGCAAAGGCCACGAGGGTCCCACCCTCGTTTCCTGCCGCATTCGCTCCACCCACATCCCAGTGTCCTTGTCGCGGGCGATCTTGCTGTACTCGATGCTTCCTCCGACTCCGAGATGGTCTCCCGGGTCAAGACTGCACGGGCCAGGATGCCCATCGCCGCAGCCCGGTGCCGGCCCGCCATGCAGTGCACGAGAGCCTGTTCACCTGCAACGTCTGCTGCAGCACGGCCCACATGTCCTTCCAGCCCTCCGTGCGGTCTCGCGGCTTCGTGATGGGCATGTACACCGGGAGCGCCCCCGGCAAAGTCACACCCCCCCGGCTCTCCGGGCTGCTCGGAAGGCAGATGATCTGCAGGGTCACGGGCGGGAAGTCGGGTGCTTCGGGAGTCCGGACAACCACAAACGGCCACCCTTCGCATTCTGGTAGATGCACGTAGCCACCTGCGCGGCGTTCCTCCGCAAGGGCATCAAACAGCTGGTCTCCCTGGACCACAGGGAGCACAGCCGCCGGACGCGAAGGCTTGGGCCTCCGAGTCACCCTCGGGCCAGGCGTCACGCCTCCTCCGCTTCTCCTCAGGGCCGCTCGGCTCTGGCGGCCGCTTCTGGGGCACCGCCTTGATCTTGGGCGATAGCATCATCGCTTCGGCACTGGTCGAGCCACTGCTCGCGGCCCCCGACGGCCGAGCCGGGATGGACGACTCCGGGTCCTCCACCATGACCACCTTCCTAACCTGGCAAACGCCCGCTGCATGCTTCCCACCGCAGGCTCTCCCCGTCAAGCGGATGCATGCACAAAGGTGCGCAAACCCGCACACTCGCTCCCCGGGACAATGCCCCGCCTGGAACGCCGGGCATAGCCTCTTGACTGCGGTCAAGCGCCGGCCGTTGAGAGAGGCCGGCATCGTGGTTGCTGGCTTAGCTTGAGCTTCTGCGTCAGGGCGAAGCGCTTCTGAAGCTCCTTGGGCGTGGGGGGGCCGCCCACACCACCTGGGCGTCCCGCGCCTTGGTGGGCTGCCGCCGCCTGGCCAGCCTGGGCCGCCTCCTGAACCTCCGCCGGCGGTACCAACTCCCAGGATTCGTGGTGGGTCAGAGCCGCCACCGCGCCCACCATCCTGTGCTTGGCCAACAAGGGCGCCGCGTACTTGGCCCCGCTGTAGTGCAATGGCATGCGAGCATCCAGTTGGCCCACAGTTGTACCAACCCGCCGGGTTCGGGATCCCCTCCCGACGGAACGCCAGCCCGCAGTCTGCCTTCTGCTTCTCCGGCACCAGGGCAAAGTCAGAGCCAGGCCGCCGACCAGTCCCACCCGGTTGACAGCTGTCCGGGCACGCAGAAGTCGAAGCCCTTGCGCAGTCGCCGCTGCTTCCCTTTGCTGCAGTGCGCGTGGACCGTCGACATGGTCACCTTCCGCACCTCCGCCCGAGTGAGGTGCTTACTCCTCCATAGAGCATCCACGCCGCCAGCAATGCTTGCCAGCGATCATCGCCCTGCGTGTAGAGCTCCTCCATCCGCTGCTCCATCTTCAGCAGCATCACCGGTTCCACCACCGCTGCCTGCCCTCTGGGCCCTGCCCGACGCGCCTGTCCCGCAGGCGGCGCAAGCATGCCCAACCCCAGATCCACCCTCGCCTGCTTGGTCAACCAGCGCAGCGATTGAGTAGCACGGGCCGGAGCAGCTGTTCCTTCGTGGAGGAAAACATCAAGGTCGACCACTTCTGGTGGCAGCGGTCGAGATCGTGCCTGCATAAAGGTGATCACCTCACCCCATGTGCGCAAGGCATTCAGCACCGTGGCCCTCTCCGCCTCCGTCACCAGCCGCTGCGCCAAACGAGTGCATGATCCTCGCCACTCGCGCCGCAGCTGCTCCGTCAGGACTCCTGTCGGCTTCATCGCACCCATGTCCTGCAGTGCCTCGCTGAGCCGCTGGACCTGCATTGTGATCGCCTCCGGTTCGTCTTGAACTGCTCGAAGGCGTACCGCCGGAGCCCTCGAAGGCCGAGGGGCCAGAGGCCGAAAAGGAAGGTGAACAGCCGTCCCCCGGCTCTCGCCCTCCACCACATCAGCCGCGGCCGGCAGCAGCTCGGACTCCTGGGCGCTCCGCACAAGCACCCACGAATTGGCCAGGTCCCTGCCGCCAGTGGTCAGCGCCTCCTCAAACGAGTGGAAGGCGAACGCAAAGTCCGCATCATTCTGCAGCCCGTGCTCGCGCCTCCACCTGGCAGTGTGCTGAGCGCCCACCGCCCCCAAAGCCGACTCCGGGCCCCACTGCCGCCCGGCGTCCCCCGCCAAGCGAGCGTAGATCCCGGTCGGTACAGCTGCCATGGCGCTAAGGATCCCCCAGAGAGACCAAATGGCTGAGGCATTCCTCGCAGATTGGCCTGTCCCGGACGACGTGCCGTGTGAGGGCCCCACACCGCATGCAAGGGGGGGGAAAAACACGCTCTCCCGCTGCGAAGCAAGCAAGCCACTGGCCCAGAGCCTTCCCGGCCCACGCAGTGGCCCCATCGCGACTCTCCCAGTCGCCGGAGGGGATCGGCTCATATGCCGGCTCTCGCCAAGAGACACGGCCTGCCTGCCACCTCCACGCCCAGAAGACGGCCTCCCGATCGAGGCCACACTCCTCAAGGCCGGCCAACTCCACGTAGCCAATGAAGCGCGCCATGTGCTCGGGGACCAGCTGCTGCACTCGCATGCCCGAGTCAAGGGCCCGAAGCTGATCCTCATCCAAGTAGTCCCGGCCCGCGTAGTAAAGGCCCCAAGGCCAACCTCTGCTTGAACCAAGACTGCGCGTTTGGTTCATATCCCGAGCCACGGGAACTGGAACCCCCCACGCATCTCTGTGCACCTAGCACACCCTGCCACCATGCAGGGGACCTCCCGCAACGGTCGAACGGCCTGGTCCCGTTCCCCACGCGCCAGCAGTCCTTGCACGTGGGCTTCGAAGCCCAGGAGGGCCGCCGGGTGCAACATCCGCGCCTGAGAATGGGCCACCAAAGGGCCTGCATCAGCGCCAGACATACCAGAGTCCCACTCCAGTCAACAATGTAACCGAAACCAAAAAGGTGTCTGCCAATTTGGCTCAGTCTTGATCCAAAATGGCAGACCCATAACAATTGATGATACATGTTCACCCAATGCCTGCCAAGCTCTAAACATGGCATAGATAGACAGACAGACAGACAGACAGACAGACAGACAGACTGACTGACTGACTGACTGACAGACAGACAGACAGACAGACAGACAGACGACACAGAGACACAGAGACACAGAGAGACAGACAGACAGACAGACAGACAGACAGACAGACAGACAGACAGACAGACAGACAGACAGACAGACAGACAGACAGACAGACAGACAGACAGACAGACAGACAGACAGACAGACAGACAGACAGACAGACAGACAGACAGACAGACAGACAGACAGACAGACAGACAGACAGACAGACAGACAGACAGACAGACAGACAGACAGACAGACAGACAGACAGACAGACAGACAGACAGACAGACAGACAGACAGACAGACAGACAGACAGACAGACAGACAGACAGACAGACAGACAGACAGACAGACAGACAGACAGACAGACAGACAGACAGACAGACAGACAGACAGACAGACAGACAGACAGACAGACAGACAGACAGACAGACAGACAGACAGACAGACAGACAGACAGACAGACAGACAGACAGACAGACAGACAGACAGACAGACAGACAGACAGACAGACAGACAGACAGACAGACAGACAGACAGACAGACAGACAGACAGACAGACAGACAGACAGACAGACAGACAGACAGACAGACAGACAGACAGACAGACAGACAGACAATAGACAGATACAAGCTGTGTATCTGTTTAAAGGGCGAGGTGGTTTGGGCGTGGCGGAAACATTCCGGGCTCCAACTCTACTGCCCCTCAACCTTGCCCCGTTCAGTGTTCATGCGCCCAAAACCCATTCTTTGACCTTTGGTTCTACTGACATAGGGCTTACAAATTCTGTGAAGCCAGGTAGCTACCATGGCCAATAGGAATCGCTCTTGGGCGCCAAAACCTGAAAGCCAAGAGGGGCTTCGGATCTCAGCCTCTGGCATGACACGCGTCCTGGCAGAGGGCCGCGGAAACCCGAGCTGCGAGCTCTTAGGGCCCATCCGTGGAGTACTACACGAGGCTACCTGAACTCGGTGGCGAAATCTGCGAAGCCCTGCTAAAAGCGAACAACTTTTAGTGGTGTAATACGGAAAACCCATGAGTTGGCAAAAAGTTAAAGTCCTGACAGCTAAGCAAAATGCACCAAAGTGAAACAAAGGGGAGATTGCATTTGGCTTTGTCTCAGACTTGACATGGGTGGGTGTCCAGGCTTTTTCCCGTCTAAATCGACGGCCAAAAAGGGTCGCCTCAAATAAACATACGCAGGGGTCCCTCCAGCCCTCATTCTGGACCACTCCAAAGTGGCAAAGTAGCTGGGACCCACCAGGAAATTGCCACTTTAGGGGAAATCCAGTGGGTCCTGTAGTTCTGCAGTTATCCCCGTGGCTCGCGCAATTCTAGATATGGGGCAAGACTCAAATCAAACGCGGCAGATGCGCTCTGGCACTCGCATCAAGGTGCTGATCTCGTCCTCGCGTTCGAGACAGTGACTTGCCGCTTAGTTTGGGTTAGAGCCGTGAGCAACCACAGGGTGTCCCCCTATTTCCCTTTTGGAACCTCTAAAGATGGCGATCGTTTCAAGGGATACCACCAGTAAATTGTAACTGTTGGAGGGGAAATCCAGTGGCTGCTAAACCAGGCAGAACACAGTTGCAGGTCTTTTTCCTGCAGACCTTTTCACACTTGAACATTGCTTCTTCTTTTGTTCGGGAAAGCCACGACCTGGCCAAGTTGGCTGAACCGCAAAATATGTTTAAACATCACCCGAAAAAGTAAACTCACCGAACAAAATGGCAACCAACCCTGTCTCAGGGTGTGTCATGGTGTGACTCTTGTTGATGTTATACCTTTGTTTGGTGGCTTGAAAGAAAAACATGGGTGTCAATCGCTCGCTCCAAACGCAGCCCTCCCTCCTGCAAAGTTTCTCCCACCAAATTGAACCCAGATCCATGGTGCTCAAGCACATGCCTCCAGGGAAGTATGTCTTACCCATGTTCCATTTGCATCTTATTCTAGGGGTACCTTCCATTTCCATTCTTTCCAGATCCTTCTTTCCAGAAAACCTCCAGAAACCCTGGAAAACAGCAGGTGTTTGAAAAGAACGGTCAAACATAATGGAGAATCAACCCCTGGACTTACGCTGATTCAGCGACAGAGAAAGGCTGAAACATGTGACAGGCAGGTGACTGTCCATTCTGAGCATATGGCTGTGGGTCAAAAATAGGTAGCCAAAATGGCTTGCCCTGGTGAGTGGAAACATAGACCAAAATCTGCGGCCTGGTGGTTTTACTTTGACCCACACCCATATCCGTTCAACTGGATCGGTTCCCACAGCAGTCCCCACCACACACGCCCTGGTAGGAGGTGGGAACGATGCTGTCCTGGAATCGACGTTGCCAAATCGACGTGCCAAATAGGTCAAGTCGAAACGCACAAAACCCGAAAACTGGAGGCTCCCACAAAAATACACCAAGGGTGACCTCCCGCAAAATCACATTGGCAAGTCATCCCATACTGTGGATGGACACAATCCTGCACCACCTAAGAAACCCTGGAATGGTTCGATTCCAACGTAAATACCAACAAACGTTCTGGCTTCAACCATGATTTTGGATTTCGGTGGTGCCTTAGAAGAATGCCTTCGATGAGCCCGGTGGAGATTCAAGGAAACTGCTTCACCCAGGTGACACCTCCTATTAATCAACCAGGGTTAAATTCTACCCTGCGTTTCCACTGGCAGCTGTAATTCTTTCACCCCCCGCCCCAACAAAAACAAAACGCACACCAAGATGGCCTTTGGGAGAAGTGGGGGGCTCATATGCCAAGAAGAAAGAGGGGTGTCCACCCCCTTCAAAACTATCCATACACCAAGAACTTGAAGTTGGACCCCTGCAAGATGGCAGTCATTCACATTTTGCAAAACTGTGCAACATACAAACGGCACGATTTAGTGAGCCGATCATCAGACCCTGGCAGATATAGCTGGCTTTTCCTTGGGCCACTCGGCGTTTGCTTGATTTTCGGTCAGCCCCGGGATAGGAGTGCGAGACCTGTAGTGTGGGAGACTTCCATTCGCTTTTTCCGCCTGAAAAAAAATGAAGAAAATGTGTGTCCAGTGATAAATTCCAACTTGAAAAAAAAACCGCAAATCACATATGGCTGTGGGTCAAAACCAATGGTACCATTTTGAGATAGGTGCAGCACCCATTTAGTCTATTTCAGTGGGGATTGGGATGTTCACTGGGGTACGGGGGTTGACCCATGGCCATATACTCATTTCAGCAAGTGGCAGGAGACACTTGGTTTGTAGGTGAGAGGGAAGCTATCAGACTGTCTTGCCTTGGCTGCCCGTTTTCTAATCCCCTGCTAAAAGAGACTACCTTCTAGCCCACTTGCTTTGGACACCCAGCCAGTAAACCAATAACAGATCGAAAAGCCGGAATTCAAAAGATCTGAAAGCTCAAAAGCATAAGGAGTCAAACAGATCTACAAAAACTCAGGAACCTAAAAAGATCTGAAAACTTAAGGAACCGGATGGCTGGGAACTTTGCGAAAGGGTACCATACCCCTACAGGAATAGGCAAATAATCAAACATGTATACATATATATATATATGTAAATATATTTGTATATGTATATATATATATAAGTATACATATTGTATATACTTCTATGTATGTACACGTATGACCAATTTGTATGTGTATATATATATATAATATGTATATATATATATATATCACCCACGGAACGCAGAGACTGCCCACTCTCTTCGGCGCCTCCACGAGCGAGTTGCTCTCGGCCAAGTCTTCGAACTCGGCGCCTTCACGCGCTTCAATCGGCGAAGGGATGTGAGCCAGGGGCACACAGAAAAACACCTTTGGCTGCAAAGGACGCTGAAGGAAACTGAACATGTCAAGCAAGCCGAACTCTTGGTAAAGCGACCCAAAGCCATATGGCCATGGGCCAAAATCCGAATCGTACCCCCAGTGAACATCCCAATCCAACCACTAAAATAGGTTCTAAAATGGGAGGTGAATACCATTGGTTTTGACCCACGGCCACATCAGGGCGTGTCTTCTTTTGCAAAAGCCTTCTTGGTGGCTGTTTTTGGCAAGCCGAAAAGGAAATTCGAACAAATCCATATTTGGATGTTGGGTGCCCTAAAGAGGACACATGTTCTGATGTGATTTGATGCTTTGTCTACCCTGAGATTCTAGCATAGTTTTGTAGACCCCAACTATGGGGCTGTGCTTGTTGAGTGTACCCTTTCTTGGTTTGGTTTCAAGGGGAACCGCAAGGCAAAACACATATCTTGTGTGTTTTCTGTGTTTTTGTTGTGTGTGTGTGTGTTGTGTGTTGTGAGGATAACCCGTTTTGGGGTGAAGGGAAACCAACAGGGGGCTCCCCTTTTTGACAACCACCATTGTTTTGGGCTCCCTGTCTTGACACATCCATCTATACATTAAAATTGCCTGGGACGCCCCCTTTGAGAAAAGAGTTCCCGAACCAAGAAAAAACAATCTAAGCTTCCATTTGCGTTGTCGCCCCTGGAGAACGTAAAACTTGTTTCCAATAGTGAGAGAGCCCAAATGGAAACTATCCTTAAGCAAATGGAAGTAAGCACTGGGTATTGCCTGACAACTATGGAAAAAAAAGGTCTTCGAGCACGCCTTTGAGGACACTTGCCTCATAGATACCTCCCAAACAAAAAATAAGTTCAAGGCGGGGGATGGCCCCAGCCTTTTGCAATGAATCCATTTGGGAACTATTTGGGATATGGAACTTTAAACTGGAGCCCACCGTCCTTATGATTTCTTTACAGGGACGTCGGTGGGCAGCCGAAGCCTAGTTTGATCTCCCCACTTTGGGACAAGCCCACGTGGGTCTGCCCCAGGGACCGACAAACTCAGATTTTTCTCCCGCCAACGAAGGCTTGCTGCACAAAAGCCCTTGTCCAAAAGGCAAATCATGTTTCTTGATGGAAGGGTAAGGGAAAAAGCCATAAAGCAAAACCTCGCGAAATGAAACCTCTTCCAAGCGATTTGTCTTAGAATTTGGGACTCCACCCCCAAACAAAAAGTTTCTAGGCCTCCCAAGATCTGGCGCTCCCCAT